CCTCCCATGGGTCTTTGACAAGCGACCTGGGGTCCATTGGGGGTCTGTCCGTCCTGGGGTCCATCCTGGGTAGACCGATGTTGGTGGGACAGACTGGAGTCGTTGTTGCTCCTCTTCCATCATTACTGGGTCGTCTGGGGTCGTCTGCAGAACGACCTGGGGTCCACTGGGGGTCCGTCCGTCTTGGGGTCCACTGGGGTCCGTCCGTCTTGGGGTCCACTGGGTAGACCAATGTTGACCGACCGAGAGGGCTGCATCTTGGGGTCCCCTGGGGTGGTGGTGGTGGTGGTGGCCCTGACATCCAGGTAGGGGCTGGTCGTCGTGGTGGTGAGGAACAGCCGTGAGTGTGGTATAAGGCAGCCGTCTCCCTCTTCTGTATGTGCGTCTCTCCTCTCTTCTGGCTCCCACCTGTGAAATGAACAGAAAGGCGACAATACGTGTTCCCAAGATGTTTGTGTGACCCTGTCGTTTGTATAGGGTTACACAGTCCTATCATACCGCTCTCCTCCTGGCAACAACTACACTTCAATTTTTAATAATTCAATTAACTCTGAATGATATTGACTTGGTGGAACATAAAACAGTAACAGAGTAAAGTTAGAGAAGAGAGAATAAGGTCATCACTACTTAATTTGTCACTAAACCAATCTCCACAATAAATATCAAAACTAATAGACCAAACACTAGCCTAACTTAACTATACCGTTCCTAATCTTAAGTACATAATTAAACGTTACTCCCACCCTTAACCTACAGCCACCTACGTGACCCAGAGTGTCTCCCTAGCATCTCCGCCGGTCAACAACCCCAAACTGTTGCCACCCCTGTGACCAGACTATCTAACGTCGAGCGTCCCCAACGTGAAGTCTACTGACATACTAAGGCTCCCCCTAGCATGCTGTACAAGACCAGTACACCTCGGGTTATTGCGTTCAAATGGAGTAAAACAGTCGATCGCAATAATCTGAGCAGAACCACTACTAAATTCTACTTAAGAACTACACCTGCCACTCCCGTCTGACCTGGAGACCAGCGGTGGCTGGGTGTCCCCGTGGGACATGCGAGGTCACCTGTCACACTCAGCTGACCTGCACTACCAACACCGCTAAGTTCCCAAATCGCCAAATCTTATTACTAACATTAATCACTACACACGCAAGTTCTGGTGAACATTCCCTGAACACCACAAAACTCACAAAATCACTAAACCACAACACCAGAGAATCACAATCTCCTAACCTGAAAAAAGTTCGCTAACTCGCGAATATTAAACACCTGTCAAGATCTCCCTGATAGCGCCTGAGCGGCAAAAAGACACGTGGGACTGAACAATGTTAAAAGAACACCAATACCTTAAACATTGTTCAACACCGCTGCCATCATTGTAACGGGGGGTGGGGGAAATAGCTCTATCTTGTCCATTATTCCACCCCCCAGTTAACTAACGAGGCCGGGGGAAACAGCTCTCTCTTGTCCGTTATCCCGTCCCCAGTTAGCTAACTATTCTAGAGCACTCCCAGAGTTCCTAAGGCAACCTCTCTCGTTCAACACCTTGTAACCTAGGTATTTGACTACCTAGGTGCTAAGACTACAAGGCGCCGTAACTTGATCAGCTACCCGAAACTCTAGAGAGAACTCTAGAATACAGAATCATTGCCACAAACGTATAAGTGAAAACGAAAGGAAAGAAATGAATAGTGAAGTAATTAGTGAGGGTTTGGGGTGAGAGGCAGAGAGGTGGGAGGAGCGAGAAGGGTCATTAGTTGAAAGTGAGAGTTTAGAGAAGGCTGGAGGGAGAGGTGTAGATAGGTAGAAGTAGAAGAGTAGATAGAAGTTGTAGAAAGTAGATAGTAGAAGACGAAATGCTGCCACCATCCATTCATGATCATTACATACAAGACAAGGAATGGAACTTGCCTGTATCACAAAATTCTCAAAGGATGTTATCATGAGTTCATTATTAGTATGTTCCCTCTGTACCATGTATCAACTCCAAACATGTACTCATTTATATCATGAACCCAGTAACCACAGAGGCTTTCTCAAATCCTCAACTCAAAGCTCTAGGGAGCAAAGTTAAACACAATTTAAATAATAAATTCATAATTATATTTCACATGAAGTATCATAATTTAGCAATTCAATTAAAATGTTCCAGTTTAATATGCAAAGTGAGTCATCATCCAAGAATTCGAGAACCCTACAACTTGACTGCCCCTGATCATCACACAACATATGTAAACACGACCAAGTCACCTTAATGTTCACTCACCGAGTACGGAGTCTAAGTTGAATAGAGAGGGGGGGGGGGGGTCTGTAGCTTGACAGAGACTGTCTCCCCCCTGCCGGCCGACAACCTCCCTGGTAGGGACGTCTTCTCTCTCTCGTCTGCTGCTCTGTCTGTTAATGCCCTATGCTGGATAGCTCTCCGAGTTTATATTGGGGAACCTAGTAGCTAACTCCGCCCACAAATAGATAGCCTCCGGCACTACCAAGCCACTCCTTAAACGTCGGCTTGTTTGAAGGCTACCAGACTACAATTAAGAGCTTAGCGGAAGCAAGGTGAAATTCTCATGATCTGACCTCAGGTCACCTGAGGTCATTAACGCTTTGAGGTGTGAGATCTCAGGCAGACAACTGGCGCCTTTCCAAATCCCTGTCTGTGACTCATATTCTATATATATTTTAAATAAACTAACCCAAACACTTTTACAGTGTTACAACGTAGATATATGACCGAACCTAACCAACCCTACCTAACCTAACCTAACCTATCTTTATAGGTTAGGTTTGGTTAGGTAGCCGAAAAAGTTAGGTTAGGTTAGGTAGGTTAGGTAGTCGAAAAACAATTAATTCATGAAAACTTGGCTTATTAGGCAAATCGGGCCTTGCATAGTAGGCTGAGAAGTGCGTTCTGGCTACTAGGTACGACATATATATATATATATATATATATATATATATATATATATATATATATATATATATATATATATATATATATATATATATATATATATATATATATATATATATATATATATATATATATATATATATATATATATATATATATATATATATATATATATATATATATATATATATATATATATATATAGAAGCATTCTGCAACTGGTGTACAGGGCACCTTCACCACGCGACCATCACGACCGGACAGAAGATGATGGTAGGCGAGGATAATTCCCCATCATCCCGCCGGCACTCTGATGGTACCCCATCTGATGGGGTACCATCCTACCACTGTCCTTGGCACTGTAGTTCAGTGCCTCCTGCCTGTCGCCCTTTTTGTATATTGGGACCACATTCGCCGTCTTCCATATTTCTGGTAGGTCTCCCGTCTCCAGTGACTTACTATACACTATGGAGAGTGGCAAGCAAAGTGCCTCTACACACTCTTTCAGTACCCATGGTGAGATCCCATCTGAACCAACAGCCTTTCTAACATCCAGATCCAGCAGGTGTCTCTTGACCTCTCTCGTAATTTCGAACCCTTCCAAGGCCGCCTGGTTTACTTCTATTTCTCCTAGCACAGTGACCTCACCTTGTTCTGTTGTGAAGACCTCCTGGAACATCTTGTTGAGTTCTTCACACACCTCTCTGTCATTATCTGTATACCTGTCCTCGCCTGTTCTAAGTTTCAATACCTGTTCTTTCACTGTTGTTTTCCTTCTGATGTGTGTGTGTGTGTGTGTGTGTGTGTGTGTGTGTGTGTGTGTGTGTGTGTGTGTGTGTGTGTGTGTGTGTGTGTGTGTGTATTTGTTTGTGTGTTTGTGTGTGTTTGTGCGTATTTGTGCGTGTTTGTGTGTGTGTTTGTGCTTGTTTGTGTGCATGAGGAGGGTAGAAGGAGAGAAAATATCCAGATCCAGCCAGCTATAAAAGCGAACACCTGCCTGGCTAATATATATACAAGTTACAGCCCCGCTCCTGTGCCAGGTAAGCCCACTACGGGCTCACCATAGCCCGTGCTACTTGCAACTTTTGGTTCCCAGTAGCTGAATCTAAAATAACAACAACTGGCTATGTAATGAGTCGTCCCTTCCACACAGTGTTGTAGGTTGGTATCACCGCCGCGTGAGTACTCTGGCACAGTGATTAATGCAGCCGGAACACACTTCACTGTTCCCGGTGTAACAGTGATTCACGCTGTCGACTCGCACCTGATTCGTCCATGTGCAATTTACTTCTGTGCAATGATTAGGATGAGTCAGTCTAAGCATTTGTATACCAGTTAGACAGTTAATTGCAGTAACACAATCAATGACGCTCGGAATATTAAGTTCCTTTCTCATGTTAAGTATTTTTGTAGTACGAGAGAACCCAAGGATAATCCCCAAGGCTTCGTTCTCCATTTTTTCAAGTTTTCAAGTTTTTTCTCTAAGCTTTATTTCAGGCACCGGAGCAAGCAGCAGAGGTGCAGCATAATCCACTAAAGATGTGATGTATGCAAGGTACATAACATAACAATTGTAACATTGACACCATAGCTTGAATGATGCCATGCAACAGCCTTGAGAGCCTCTGTTTATACTGACGACAGTCTGATCATATGGGCCAATAGGCCGTCTGCAGTTTCCCTAACTCATAAAAAACATAAGAATAAAGAAACCGGCGTAAAGCCTATTGGCGGCCCATACGCTCCAGCTCATGTTTATATCCACCCAATTTATTTCCTACACCTGTCTAATATATAAATAAGCTTGAAACAATCCAGCGATCACACGTGTATTATACTACCCGCCATTTTGTTCCACGTCAACACACTTGTTTCCAAACCAATATATATCTAGGTGTTTCCTAAATCTAAACTTCCATAGTTTATATCTTTTGTTGACACCCAATCTACACATAGGATCCCGGACGGACCGAAGCCTCATCATTTTCATTTCTTTTCAAATGTGTGTATGAGGTTGATTATGAGCCGCATTATTGTGACTTACTCTCCGGATATATCGATTGTTTTTGTTGTTGTGGTACAGGGGTGTGTGTATAGAAACCGGAGAATGCAGCGGAGGTCGCAGGTTGTGGTTGGGGTGGCTGTGACGACTGTGGCGGCGGCACTGTTAACAGTATGGAGCCTCAGCTGGTGTACCAAGCCCGCTACCAGCCCCTATTACCAGCCTTCCGCCCTCAGGGCACAGTACACCCGCTGGCCTGCGTTCACTAGCACAGGAAAGCACTCTAAGGTAAGAGACCCGTCCATTTGACGCTGGGTCCTGGTTAAGTCACAGTATTGTGCCTACTAATTTTTGTTAAACTACCATTCAAGCTGTCATTGCAATCAATCTGAGCTACCTATGTGCTTAATATACCTACAATTTTCTCTCATCTTTTATTATTTTTTCCTTGCTTTGTAACTGTTATCATTTTTTTTATAAATTTTGCAAGTATTTACCTATATAAAATTTTCTTAGATTAAGGACCTGCCCGAAACGCTGCGCGTACTTGTGGCTTTACAAGATTGTAATTACTATACTATGTATCCTCACAATTCCAATGTACCTTCTTGTATATATATAAATAAATAAATAAATAAATAAGGTTCGGTCATAATAAATAAATAAATATATGATGAGTTTATGAGTATTCCAGTCCCTGATGGTTATCATAAAAGTTTTGATAGATTTTTTTTAAAGAATGTGTAGTATTTAACTCAATTTACCGAGGGCATGTCAAAGGTACCAGAGTAACCGTTGTACACAGTTTAATTCATTTATTATCAATCCCATACCCATCTTGTGGGCGGTAGTGGAAAGGGTTACAGAGGCACACAATGGGCTCAGGGACTGAACCCCACAATTCATTTAGTTAAACAAGTCACAATTTTGATGAACTAGTTACAAAATTCATTATAAGTCGTCCGTTGTACCCTGACCATTTTTTTTCCAACTGGATTTTAAACCATCTATAGCAAATTACCTCCGAGTAAATTCTTTTAAATAAGTTTAAGCCCTATAGTTTTGTGTTGTAATGAGCGAACAAATAACTAAACAAAGTTTCACTAATTAATTACTTTCTTTCCCAGTGAATTTCCAATAAGGCTGTATTAGGCTCGTCGAGGCACAACCGACCATCCCCATGACGCAGGTACCCACAGTAGGTAATTCTAAAGTACCTGTTTACTGACCCGTAAACCATTCTCAAGGATGTAACCCCACAACAGTCTACCAATTCCCATGTACCTTTTTACTGCTAAGTGAACAGAGGCATCAGGTGTAACGAAACGTTCCTAGATGTCTTGCCCTGCCCAGGAATCGAGCATGGGACCAGTCACTTGTGAACCGCCTATGCTCACCTAACCTAACCTAACCTAACACCTCTTGGTAATCTGATCCACCCAACTTGTCCTTGATATCTTCCTCGCAAACAACAGTTCTAAATATCTTCCTCTCGACAGGAATGGTACGTTGAGCACTGCTTTGGCGGCAAATTCTCGGAAGACACAGAAGACGTATTCTTCCAGGCCATTCCCAGGTGGTCGAGGGCCACGGACGAAGACTGTGTCGATGTTTACCAACAGTTCGACACGCTGTTCGAGGTCCACCACCGCTACACGCCCAAGCTCACTTTCCCGCCAGCCTTCGCAGAGCGCGTGAAGGTCTGGCTCGGAGGAGACCCGACCCTCCTTCACAGAGTTCACCACCAGGTGGGGATCAGCTGTCCTTGGAGATAGTACTAAGGCGATGTATTCTCTATCAAATATTATTATACCTTTTAGCTATATTTCTTTAATTAGCTCCATAGTTCTTAGAAATGTTAGCACATTTCCCGTATAATGAATTTATCTGATTTCCAAAAATATATTTACATCTATTATATTTACATGTTAAAACCGATTCTTCTTTGGTTTTCATATTTTGCACAAGTTCTTGGTAAATTGTTGACCAGACCACACACTAGAAGGGGAAGGGACGACGACTTTTCGGTCCGTCCATTCTCAAGTCGATTGTGATCAAGTCGACAATCGACTTGAGAATGGTCCAGGACGGACCGAAACGTCGTCGTCCCTTCACCTTCTAGTGTGTGGTCTGGTCAACATACTTTAGCCACGTTATTGTGACTCATCGCCTTAGTAAATTGTTCTAAGTTCTTAGTTCTTAGTCTACTGTCAGACATTAACCTTCGCATATCTTGCTAGTATTTTTCCCATTGTCCATTCCGGGAGGAAGATACTTTTCGAGAACCCGGAAAATAAACAAATTACGGTTTTCATGGGGTTGTTGGCACGTTTGTTGGCTGAGGAAAATTTGCAACATGGAGACGTTTATTGCAGATTATGTCGCAATAATGTAGCTGTAAACACAAACCACACTTATGACAGGAAAGTGCAAACATTTCGGACCGTTTTGGATCCTTGTCGGTCCGTCCTGGATGCTTGTCGGTCCGTCCTGGATGCTTGTCGGTCCGTCCTGGATGCTTGTCGGTCCGTCCAGGATGCTTGTCGGTCCGTCCTGGATATTTGTTGGTCCGTCCTGGATACTTGTTGGTCCGTCCTGGATACTTGTTGGTCCGTCCTGGATACTTGTTGGTCCGTCCTGGATGTTTGTCGGTCCGTCCTGGACGCTTGTCGGTCCGTCCTGGACGCTTGTCGGTCCATCCTGGACGCTTGTCGGTCCGTCCTGGACGCTTGTCGGTCCGTCCTGGACGCTTGTCGGTCCGTCCTGGATCCTTGTCGGTCTGTCCTGGATGCTTGTCGATCCGTCCTGGATGCTTGTCGGTCCGTCCTGGATGCTTGTCAGTCCGTCCTGGATGCTTGTCGGTCCGTCCTGGATGCTTGTCGGTCCGTCCTGGATGCTTGTCGGTCCGTCCTGCATGCTTGTCGGTCCGTCCTGGATGCTTGTCGGTCCGTCCTGGATGCTTGTCGGTCCGTCCTGGATGCTTGTCGGTCCGTCCTGGATGCTTGTCGGTCCGTCCTGGATGCTTGTCGGTCCGTCCTGGATGCTTGTCGGTCCGTCCTGGATGCTTGTCAGTCCGTCCTGGATGCTTGTCGGTCCGTCCTGGATGCTTGTCGGGTTAATTCTCCATCGCGTGAGAAAGGTCGCTTAAGAGTGACGTAAACAATAATGTTCATAAATCCGACAAAAAAATCTAAATCCGAAAAAAATCCAAATCCACCAACAATAAAATTGCAAAATCGCCAACAACACCTTTAGTCATCCACTAACAATGTATGAGTGAGTGTATCATCACCTCCAGTCATCCACTAAACAATGTATGAGTGAGTGTATCATCACATCCAATCATCCACTAAACAATGTATGAGTGAGTGTATCATCACCTCCAATCATCCACTAAACAATGTATGAGTGAGTGTATCATCACATCCAATCATCCACTAAACAATGTATGAGTGAGTGTATCATCACATCCAATCATCCACTAACAATGTATGAGTGAGTGTATCATCACCTCCAATCATCCACTAAACAATGTATGAGTGTATCATCACATCCAATCATCCACTAAACAATGTATGAGTGAGTGTATCATCACATCCAATCATCCACTAAACAATGTATGAGTGAGTGTATCATCACATCCAATCATCCACTAAACAATGTATGAGTGAGTGTATCATCACATCCAATCATCCACTGAACAATGTATGAGTGAGTGTATCATCACATCCAATCATCCACTAAACAATGTATGAGTGAGTGTATCATCACCTCCAATCATCCACTAAACAATGCATGAGTGAGTGTATCATCACCTCCAATCATCCACTGAACAATGTATGAGTGAGTGTATCATCACATCCAATCATCCACTAACAATGTATGAGTGAGTGCATCATCACCTCCAATCAACCACTAAACAATGTATGAGTGAGTGCATCATCACCTCCAATCATCCACTAACAATGTATGAGTGAGTGCATCATCACCTCCAGTCATCCACTAACAATGTATGAGTGAGTGCATCATCACCTCCAATCATCCACTAACAATGTATGAGTGAGTGCATCATCACCTCCAGTCATGCACTAAACAATGTATGAGTGAGTGTATCATCACCTCCAGTCATCCACTAAACAATGTATAAGTGAGTGTATCATCACCTCCAATCATCCACTAACCAGACGGTGATCTCGCCAGCACATCATCCACGTGTTCCAGCCACTAACTGGGGAACATTGTGTGTACAACCCCGTGCGGAGCAAGCGTCCTGGGCCCCTCGTCCGCGTCGACCTGCACGCGTGGGTGGACCGCCAAGCCAGGAAGACTCGCGCCTCCTGCGACTTCTGTAACCTCAAAAACATGACAGCCTCTGACATCCTTGGCAGGTAGGATCATCGCAGGCCTCTACTTTAGAAATTGAAATTGAAATAAGTTTATTGAGGTAAAATACACACAAAGGGTAGCTCAAGCTATTCTCACCGCGTTCAGTACATCGTGTTAATACATACATACACACACATCACAAACAATAAATATATTACCAAACATTCTGAGAGATAAGCATATACATTTCCTCCTTTACACAAGTAACTCTACTTTAGAGGAACCTTTACTATGGGCTCCAGAGTCACTGCGAGTACTTGCGAGTACAATTAAAAATTATAGAATCGCAAATAGATGAGGACACCTAAGTCGGTCTATTATATACCTGAATTTACCTGAGGGCCACTATATATCTAGTTACCTCTACGAAAACAAGAAGTTTTAATCATTGTTTTATCTATTCTAGCATTTATTCCTTGTAATTTCCTTGCCAGTCTTTCATTGGTACCTTATCAAAAGCCTTACCGAAATTCGCCTACCGCAAGTCCTTTGTCTGAAAAGCTGGTTACCGTTTCCAAAAATGTGAGCAGGCTTGAAGGCAGGATTTATTTTTATCAAACCCAATGTTGCGTTACTTTAATAGATTGTTCACGGCGAGATGGTGAATACCCTTAGGAGTCTCTCCATGAGCTTGCAGATATGTGAGGTCAAGAGATCGAACGGTTGTTTTCTGTAGAGTTCTTTCTGTCTTTTTTGTTTTTAATAGGCGTGGCATTTGCATATTTTCAATCTAGGAGAACTATAATTCACGACTTTGGAGTGAATCCCGTCTACATGGCGATAAATAATAATAATAATAATAATAATAATAATAATAATAATAATAATTTATTTAGGAAAAGTACATACATAGATGCAGAGTTACAAACATACTGTTGGATTTATAAATAGAGCTAGTATATACAATACCTAAAGCCACTAATACGCATAGCGTTTCGGGCAGGTCGACACAAATAATGTGTCGACCTGTACAGCTACTTGCTATAGCGTACTTATAGTACAACTAAAGTACAATTGTGCATAAATTATAAATATACAAAACTGTACTTTGTACCGAGACAGATTCCTAAGTGCTTTCGTTGCGAATGCAGATTGTTTGGTATTGGGTTAAAGGGAGGGATATAAGGCCGTAACACTAACTTATTAACCAACCAAGTATATACTGTGGGTCCCACCCTAATTCTAACGTAAACAATCAGTGTATATTCACAGAGAAGCGAGTTGCACCTCTCGGTGTATAATTTGAAGGGTATCGTAGTATAGTTGGCTTCGTTCTCGCCTCACAATCGGGAGCGATTCTCGGGCGGGTAAAGAAATGATTGAGGACGTTTTCTTTCAACTAATTCTGCTCACTCAACTGTAAATAGGGAGTTAGGTAACTGTTGTGGGGTTACATTCTGAAGATCAGTTGTTCGACCTGTGGGACACAACCTAACACTAATAAAACTAATTATTATATAACATGATGTTGGACTAAGTTTAGCTAGGCTTAGTATTTATTTAGTTAAAGTCTAGGGAAAGTAATCCTTTATGTAACTATGTGTACTATGATATGTTTAATTTGGTATCAATTTAATTAATTTAATTTTGAAGTTAATAAATATAACAACAGATTTCTATACCAACAAAACCATGTTTCAACCGTATTGCATAGTTTTAGGTAGTTTAGTTCATTTATTATGCACCCCATACCCATCCTGGGGGCGGTAGTGGAAAGTGTTACAGAGGCACATAATGGGCTCAGGGACTGAACCCCACAATTCATTTAGCTAAGTAAGTGGTTACTTACCGTTTTCTGTGGTGCAGACATCCGACAAAGAGAACGATGCGAGTGAGCAACATCTTCAAGGTGGAACGATGGCATAGTCTGGTGGTCACCCGCTACCAGCACCACCCACTCAACTTCACCCTCGACACCTTCATCGCCTTCTTCCAAGACGCACTCACCTATATTAATCAAGTCACCGAGATGGAAGAGCAATACATGTAAGCCCACCCTTGCAATGTTTGGTTTGGTTCAGCACTGTCAATAATCGTCGTTTTAGTCAGAGTTAATAGTTTTAGGTTTACGTCCATGCTCAAGTGACATCTGGAGAATGATCAGATTTCCCACCTCACGACTTATGACTCAATAGCCAGATTATCGCGGCAGTTTGTTATTATTTTCAGTATCTTCATTTATTATACCTATGATTCACTCCATACCTATCCTGTGGGTTGTGGTGGAAGGGTTACGTACGCAATTTGGTCATAATGGATTCAGAAACTGATGCCTCCAACATCATTCAACCAGAACTGGACTCTGCTAATCTGTGAGCAGTGGCGTAAATGGATTAGAGAGAGAGGACAAAAGGTCTTAATCAAACCCGAGATGATGATGTCTGACATCAGCTTTCACAATTTATCTATAAACCTTTACCTAATTCTACCCGACGGGAGACATCTCCCGTCACGCAGGGTGCAGTCGCACCTCCACAGATCTCCAGTATCAGCTCTTAATTGATACTGGCAATGGCTCAAAAAGGCCATCACTTACGGGCTATTCATGCCCATGCCAGCTTTTGGGTGGCTTAATCCTCATCATCATGATTCTACCCGACGGCCACTATCTCCCTTGTGGCCTCGACGGGGTAAAGAAGTAGGCGGCTCCTCAAAGCCCCCCCCCCTTCCCATAGTTCCTGTGGAATTTTTCTAACTGGATTTTCAACAGAAGTAATGTTTTGACATTTACAGCCTCGACGGGAAGGAATAAGGCAGTTCCATGGGTTTGTCTATATGACTATATCTGTAAATATAATTTGTATTTGTTCGAAGTAAGGGGTCAGACGCTTGGGAGGCTAGACTCACACCCAACTTTCACACATGAAGCATATGGAGTATAGGAGTGTCATTGACTAGTGGGGTCAACTCCAGTGTCACTTTAAGAAATATTGTCATCTAACCCCCCCCCTCCCGTGCGATTTTCATAAAGTCTAAAAACATGGTTGTGTTGACCACAGATTTAGTTACCAATTTCACTGCTTTGTTATATATTTTTTCTGAGAGAAATCGAGAATGAATGGGAGGGGGAGAGAAGAGGCTGATGGCTTGTCAAGATTGCAACTTGCTTAGTTAAATGAATTGTGGGGTTCAGTCCCTGAGCCCATTATGTGCCTCTGTAACCCTTTCCACTACCACCCACAAGATGGGTATGGGGTGCATAATAAATGAACTAAACTAAACTGATGTTTGAAGGGAGGGAAGAAGGGGTACATATTTGAAGAAGGGGAAGGAGAGAAGGGGGTGGGGCAGGTAAAGAGTGGGGCGGGGGGATACGGATAATACAGATGAGAGAGGGGGAAATTAAGTGAGAAGAGAGGGGAGGGTAAAGAGACCCGGGCACAGCCTGGTACCCCCTCTAGTAACTCAGCAGCCTAGTTTAGGTCAGCCCTCCCACACAGCACCCATCCGATGGCCAACCCCCCTCACCTGCCTGCTTCACCACAGCTACCCAAACTTGGCGTGGGACACACTGTACGAGGCTGGGGCGTCCCAGCTCCACCCACACATCCACATGATGGTCACCCCCGACCACTACTACGGCTTCTACGAGCACCTACGCACGGCCGGCCAGCGCTACTTCGACGCTACCGGCAGGAACTACTTCACTACGCTGCTGGAGGTGCATCAAGCCCTCGGCCTCACCGTTCACTACGGCACTGCAGTCGCCATCCCCACTATGGTACGTTCTACGGTAATATAGTCAACGTATATTCATTCTGAATTTGTTTTGCATTTCATTTGGTTAATTGTTTCCTGCTTTGTCACAGGAGGACCGCGAGGCGATTAAAGTCAGGGAAGGCTGACATGTGGACAGATTTCATTGTGTTTACCACTCAGGCAGGGAAGGCTGACATGGAGGTGATGTTCCTGAGTGAAGCACCCAACGAGGACCTCTACCGCCTGATCTTCTACACGATAGCCGCCTACCACGACACCTACACCCAGCTGTGTAAAGGGTGAGTTTAGCCCCCCTCCACTTCCATTCATGAATCCAGCTATGTAATATGCTGTATTGTGACCACCAATTTTTGTCAACTACCATTCAAGCTGTCATTGCAATCAATCTTATATTGTTTCTGCTGTATTGTGCCTACAATTTTTTTTGTCAACTACCATTCAAGTCTGTCATTGCAATCAATCTTAGCTACCTATGTGCTTTAATATACTGTACCTACAATTTTCTATCATCTTTTTTTTCATTGCATGTAATCTGTTATCATTTTTTTGTCTATAATTTTTGCAAGTATTTACCTCCTTAAAATTTTCTTAGATTAAGGACCTGCCCGAAACGCTGCGCGTGCTAGTGGCTTTACAAGACTGTAATTACCATATTTGTATCCTCACATTCCTTATGTACATTCTTGTATATGCATAAATAAATAAATAAATAAATAAAATAAATTGACAAGTATAGGCCCACTACCCTCACACCTACACCCAGGGTTATGTAAATGTGAAGTATAGGTCCACAAGCAACACATCTACACTCATAACGGAGGTGTGGGACAATTACACCTACACTCATCTGTGCAACAGGCGGGTGTGGGCCCACTGTAAACTCTACACTCATCTGTGTGACAGAAATATGTAGACCCATGACAACTACAATTTGATTTGTTTAACCGGACCAGATAAACTCTACCACCCCTACCTGGGACCACCATAATACCAGTTCTGTACCTCCACCTGGGACCACTATAACACCAACTCTGCACTAACTCTGCCACCTACACTCGGGACCACCACAACAGCTCTGCCACCCACACTGGGGACCACCACAACAGCTCTGCCACCCACACTGGGGACCACCACAACAGCTCTGCCACCCACACTTAGGACCACCACAACAGCTCTGCCACCCACACTGAGGACCACCACAACAGCTCTGCCACCCACACTGGGGACCACCACAACAGCTCTGCCACCCACACTGAGGACCACCACAACAGCTCTGCCACCCACACTTGGGACCACCACAACAGCTCTGCCACCCACACTGGGGACCACCACAACAGCTCTGCCACCCACACTTGGGACCACCACAACAGCTCTGCCACCCACACTTGGGACCACCACAACAGCTCTGCCACCCACACTGGGGACCACCACAACAGCTCTGCCACCTACACTGAGGACCACCACAACAGCTCTGCCACCCACACTGAGGACCACCACAACAGCTCTGCCACCCACACTGGGGACCACCACAACAGCTCTGCCACCCACACTGGGGACCACCACAACAGCTCTGCCACCTACACTGAGGACCACCACAACAGCTCTGCCACCTACACTGAGGACCACCACAACAGCTCTGCCACCTACACTGGGGACCACCACAACAGCTCTGCCACCCACACTGAGGACCACCACAACAGCTCTGCCACCCACACTGGAGACCACCACAACAGCTCTGCCACCCACACTGGGGACCACCACAACAGCTCTGCCACCCACACTGGAGACCACCACAACAGCTCTGCCACCCACACTGGGGACCACCACAACAGCTCTGCCACCCACACTGGGGACCACCACAACAGCTCTGCCATCCCCACAACAATAGTTCTACAAAAACACCCCCCCCCCCACTTTATACCACTAAAAGGGCTTAATAAAGCCCATCTGTTCCCCAAAGGTTTTCAGCGGCGTACCCAGCAGAAGGTCTGTCGGAAGCTGCGAGAGTGGGTCGCATCCCAGTAATTGCCAGACTCATCTCCCGTGGGGAATGCACATCTCCCAAGACCGACTACTCCTCTTACGAGATCTTCCAGGTGGGCACCACGTGACCTTTCTTGCGTTGCTTTCTGGGAAGCTCTCAAATGACCTTTTCAGGTGGGTTGTATACCATCAAGTCTGTGTGTTTTTTGGCCCTCAGGTTGGGCAGTGTGTATGTTGGCACTCAAAGTTGGGGAGGGGGGTGTGTTGGCCATCAGGTTAGGGGATGTCTGTTGGCCCTCAGGTTGGGCTGTATGTGTAGGCACTCAGGTTGGGGAGGGGGGTGTGTTGGCCATCAGGTTGGGGAGGGGGTGTGTTGGCCATCAGGTTAGGGGATGTCTGTTGGCCCTCAGGTTGGGCTGTATGTGTAGGCACTCAGGTTGGGGTGGGGGTGTGTTGGCCATCAGGTTGGGGAGGGGGTGTGTTGGCCATCAGGTTAGGGGATGTCTGTTGGCCCTCAGGTTGGGCTGTATGTGTAGGCACTCAGGTTGGGGTGGGGGTGTGTTGGCCATCAGGTTGGGGAGGGGGTGTGTTGGCCATCAGGTTGGGGAGGGGGTGTGTTGGCCATCAGGTTGGGGAGGGGGTGTGTTGGCCATCAGGTTGGGGAGGGGGTGTGTTGGCCATCAGGTTGGGGAGGGGGTGTGTGTTGGCCATCAGGTTAGGGGATGTCTGTTGTCCCTCAGGTTGGGATGGGTGTATGTGTTGGCCATCAGGTTAGGGGATGTCTGTTGTCCCTCAGGTTGGGATGGGTGTATGTGTTGGCCATCAGGCAGGTGTATAATGAAGAAACGTTTCTTAAACATATTTGCATTATGTACTAATAAAACAGTTTTAAGGACTTTTCATCATATATACTGTATATGGAAAGAGCACTCCTTTTTAATATAATAATACAGTAATGCAATTAATAATTATCAGTACAAATAGGGGACTTTAGACAAGTTGCTGGCTTCCTGTCCTAATCAAGGCCACTAGAGAGGTGGTGGCCCTCAGGTAAGTTTAGGTAAATATAATAACAAATAAGAACCCATCACCCCACCAAAAACAATCTTTTGTCATTTATGTCAACTGGTTTCACAATGTTAATGAAGATATTTTATCTTGGTAACACTTAAGTCTGGTACTCTATTGATCATTGTTTGAAGTAAATTACTTATGAGAAAGTGGAGACTAAGTACATTTATTCATTGCAGTATTTTGTTTTACGGTAAAGAAAATATATTATTATAAATTTCATAAAACAGTAGGAAAGAGGAGATATTTTTCATATTAGAAAGCAATTGATAAAGGAAAACAATGTTTATTTCAAGCCTCATTGGTGCCCAAACTGAAATTGAAATGCTGTACAGAAATGGTTAAACCCAAAAACAAGTAACATTACTGTTAGTCTCCTCTTCCAAGATCATAACATCACACAGCATTTGCTACAATATTAGCAGAAGCACTAGGCAATGTAACCGAGCACTAATTTGAAATTCCTTCTCTAAATATATAGTCGTGATGGCTTGGGTGCTGTTCCTTGATAATTCCCTCCTTCCTTCTCTAAAACTGCTCCAAGCAATATCTGTGGTCAAAATCCTCAGAAATTACTGGTACAGTAAAGTAATGGCACATTACAAAATGACAAGGATGCCTTTTTACTTAGTACATTATGAAGCATAATAATTGCCAACTTACTTCTGCTTTATTTGCTTTTTTTTTTAACAAAAACACTATAATTTTGATTTGATGACTAACATGGGATAAATGTTGTTGGATCATTCATCTACAAAATATAACAAGGTGTTTTCCATCTTGTGCAGATGGTGGAGCGGTACCACGACCCATGGGAGGTGGCAAGAGCCATCAGGAAGGCCATCAAGAAGCACCGTAAAGCATGACATTGAGAGCAAGATGACCACGAAGTTAAGGGCAAATCCATATCTTATGACATGGCTGTTTATGGTTCATGTCATCATGTTCCAGTTAGGAAAAATTATGCAAATACTCTATTCGAATCATTTTTAATAATTCACTTAGAAACTAATAAGGCAGCAAATAAAAAAAAGCTGTACATTTACAAATCCGCACAAATGGATTTCTTCTCTTTATGGCATAACTACCCTGATATCAAAGGTAATGAAATTACAGTTGACTCGTATATGGTGTGCCTATATGTATGTACAGTACTGTATGCCATCTGGGGTCCTGTTTGAATGAAAATACATTAAACTTCATTTAAACATATGAGTTCATATAGCAATATAATTACTGTATATGTACTCCTATGCCAATATACAGTATACTAAAGTACCCAATGCAGTATAGTGCCAGTACAGTACAGTACAGTACTTACATACAGTACTTGACACTTTCGATATGTTGTTACCTCCCAACTGGTAAGGGTAGTCTTTGAAGTGAATTATTTATTTCAAGAGTAGGATAATAATAAATAACAATTACTGCTTGTACTTTATTCTTATTTATATAGGTCTTTATTTATTTATTTATTGTGTATGTAAAATTATCTTAAGTTACAGGATGAGAGTAGTGTTCCATTTTCCCAATAATCTGTTATATAATGCTTTGAAAGTGCTGATGGTTTTGCCATCCACCACCTTCTCACTTAACTTGTTCCAACCAATATATTTTGGCACCTTTGTTTCCATAGCTTGAATCTCTGACCTCTTGTTCTTGAAGTTGCTAGTTTCAAGAATTCCTCTGTTAATTTTTTATTCCTGTTACAATTTGTATGTAGTGATTATATCACCTCTTTTTCATGTCTTCTATCTCTGACATATTTAACACCTCCACCCCTGTCCCTCTCACTCTCTTTCATTACCTAAGTCCAGTTACAGGATGAGAGCTAAGTAATTATCAAAAGAAGGCACCAAACCGGGAAGACTATGTAACACCATCAAATGTGCAGAATAATCAGAGGGTGCTAAATATCACCAAAGATGCCAATACAAGAACAGAAACACTAATAGAGAAAGGCCTCGGGCAAGGCTTGGGGAGTAGAACAACTCCCAGAACCCAATCAACCAGGTAGCATAAAGTTCCACTGTGAAGATGCTAGTCTCCGGAGGTAGGCGACACATATAAGTGCTGTCAGGAAAAACAACAGAGTAGCCTACACTATCCGCAGACTTCGACCCATCGGTGAAGATGGAAATGGAGTGGGAGTGCGAAGAAAAGTGCTCAAGGAAAAGGCGTTTCAGAACCGTAGGAGGGGTAAAAGCTTTAGTGATGCGGGTTAGGGATGTACAAATTTTCGGAAGGGGGACTCTCCATGGGGGCAAGGAAGGAACAACACAAGGAGATACATTAGAAATACGAACTGAAAGAGAATCCTGTAAGCGAGATAACCGGACAAACAGGGAGGTGGTGAAGAGGAACAGGAACCACAGGAGGGGTAAAAGTTAAAGCACGACAGAGGCGAGAGGAAAAATGTTGCATGGACCTCGCAAGATGGCGAAGACAATAGCGATCACAGCGGTCCCGGAGAGATAGGAAGCCAGTGTCAACATACAAACTGAGGACGGGAGTCGAGCGAAAGGCACCAGAGCTGATTCGCAACCCAGTATGGTGCAAAGCATCAAGACGGCGAAGAGTAGGAGAAGCAGACGAGTAAGCAGAGCAACCATAATCGAGTTTAGACAGGACGAGAGAGGAATGTAAAGCGAGGAGAGTGCACCTATCCGTTCCCCAAGAAGTATGGGACAAAACCTTAAGGAGGGTAAGGGCCTTAGAGCATTCAACTCGTAGGTAAGAGATATGGGCCAACAAAGACAAACGAGTGTCGAAGATTAACCCCTAAAGCTTAGCGGAATCCTTGTACACAAGGAGTTGATCATAAGGCGACAAAGAGGGACAAAGAACGACACGCTTCCAAGTAAAAGTCATAGCACAAGTCTTAGACGTAGAGAACCTGAAGCCATGATCGTTGGCCCTAGACGATACGGCATCAATTGCAAGTTGAAGCCGCCGTTGAAGGAGAGGTGAATCATCACCCCGACAGCAAAGGGTAAGATCGTCGACATAGAGAGCGGAGAAGATGCTAGAAGGAAGAGAGGAAAGACCATTGAGGGCAACCAGAAAAAGAGTAATGCTCAGAACACTACCTTGGGGCACACCCTCATATTGCTGAAAAGAGGCAGAGAGAGTGGTACCAAGCCTCACTCAAAGGGAACAACGAGAGAGGAAGCTTTGGAGAAAGAGAGGGAGATTACCACGAAGGCCAAAAGAATGAAGTTGGGACAGAATATGATATCGCCAAGTGGTGTCATAAGCCTTTTCCAGGTCATAAAGGACGGCAACAACAGGTCTTCGCAGCAAAAGCAGTGCGAATATAGACCGCCAAGTTCACCAGGACATCTGTTGTGCTGTGGCACTTGCAAAAACAAAATTAAGAAGGGGAGAGGTGGTGATAGTGTTCTAAGAATCACATCAGACGAATGTTAACCATACGTTCAAAGAGTTTGCAGACACAACTCGTGAGGGCAATAGGGCGAAAGTCCTTAGGGGATGTCCCAAGAGAAACTTCTTTCTTCAACAGGAGGAGGAGGAGAGCAAACAACACAATGGCCGCTGGGAGTGTGATGGACATCAGCCAGCACAGACAGGCGGCGTGGAGAGCTAAGAGACAGAGGAGAAGGATGGGGGAGGAGGATCGGAGGGAGACGAGGAAGAGAACACAGGAGACAAGACTGACTGGGTAGAAAGAAGGGGAGCCCTAGACATAGAACCATGAGAGGGACCCTTCGGGACAGAACTTAAAGGAACAGAGGAGGTGGTGGTGGTGGTGGGCGCATCTGGGTCTAAGCCCTGGAAACAGTTGTAAGACTGAGGAAGGTGGGAAGGACGACGAGAGGAAGAGCGCAACACACGAGTATAAGAGACACCAGTGAAAGGGGCGAGATGACAAACTTGGCGTCTCGCCTCAGGAAAAGACAAACGTTCCCGGTGCTTCAAGGTGAGGATGGCTGCCTCAAGTTTTGTAATGGACACACGCAAGGGAGAAGGTAGGGTAGTCCTCACCGCAGTTGAGGCAGTGAGCTCGAGGAGAAGTACACTCCGACTTAGATTGACCTTTAACCCCACACAAAGGTCAGGTAAAAAAGTGGGGGTTACAAAGGTAACCCCACTTTGTTTTTTTTTTATATTGCTGCATTATTAATTAAATTTTAATTTTAAGTATTGTACATCAATGTATCCAACTCTTATCAACTCTTGTAGATTATCAAATTTTTATTTTTGTTATTTTTTGTCCACCCTCTTTCCTTATGCTATAATCTAACTAAATCTGGTATCACATCATGGGTATCCCTTAATTCATTCTCTTTCTTTGCTTCAAACATTTGTCTGGGTACTGGGATACTGTACTCACCTAGTTGTGCTTGTGTGGGTTGAGCTGTAGCTCTTTGGGCCTGCCTCTCAACTATCAATCAACTTATTTTTATTTTTTCACACACACACACACACACCCAGCAAGTAGCCCATAGCAGCTGTCTAACTCCCAGGTACCTATTTACTGCTAGGTGAACAGATGCATCAGGGTGAAAGAAACTTTGCTCATTTGTTTCTGCCTCCACTGGGGATCGCTCCCCGGATCCTAGGAGTACGAATCCCAAGCACTGTCCACTCAGCCATCAGGCGCCCATGTCTAATCTTTCTATTGTGAAGACTGATGCAAAGTATTCATTTAGTGTTCAATTAATTTATTATACACTCCAAACCCATCCTGTGGGCAGTAATGGAAAAGGTGTTAAGTGTGTTGGCTGCCATTTTTTTTTATCAATTATAACTTGGTTAGTGTCATCTTTTAACCCTTAAATTCATTGTCGCTCACTTTATTTTGTTTTTTATGCTCGCATTATTTGTGTGTCAATAGTGGTATTCATTATGTATAATTTAGGAAATATCCATATGTATAAATACTGTACCTGTGTGCACACCCGCATTTATCCATACCAAAATTAATATTGTATTATCCAGCATGTTCAATCACTGAATGGTGATGCATACGCGAAACACTGCACATACTAATGGCTTTACAAGAATGTAATTACTGTACTATGCTATGTATTCTCACAAACCTAATGTACCTTCTTGTATATAAATAAATAAATAAATAAATAAATAAATAAATAAATAAATAAATAAATAAATAAGACATGATCTGCATCTTTTTACTAAAACCCTGGAAGGAAACCAAGGGACTCGGGATTTTTACCAAATACTGTATGCAAATGATCAACAGAGGTCTCTAGTATCAAATGATGTGCCCTTAGATAGGATGGAATTTTTTAATAAAATGGGGCACCTTTAATAATCTCCAGGCTATTGAGCATATGGATCAATCGCTCTCAAGCGATTGATACAGTCGTAAAGGCTTGGAGCTTTTTCCTGATAGTTCCCTTCCCTCTCAAGTGTTTGGAGCAGTGCAAAGGTTAAGACTCCTACTCAGTCTTTTGTCTTTGTTTTACTTATGTAGGCATAAGAAGACTTTGGATCTTTCTTAAATGTTTTGAGCAAGTTTTCTCTCATTGTTCCTTTTCGCTGATCTGAGTTCCTGATTAGCTGAGTTCAATACTTTGTCTCATAACCTATGTGATTTCTGGTAGAGTGATACTTCCAGAGGTTTCGTTTTGTTATAGCTCTTTTTACTGCCCGTCATCCATTTAATTCTTTCATGTTTCCTTCTTCCTGGAGGGCATTTTTTAACAAGTTCAATGATGACCATTTTTCAATTTTCCATGAGAATTTTGTGTCTGGTCACAGGTTAATCTGACTATGATTGCACATTTGACTATGGCTTTTCATAAACCCATCTGACCTGGGTCTGATCTCTGGCCCATTTATGCCCCTGCTAGGCCAACACCTGACCTTCCCTGTAGGGGAGCCGGTCGGCCGAGCGGACAGCACGCGGGACTTGTGATCCTGTGGTCCTGGGTTCGATCCCAGGCGCCGGCGAGAAACAATGGGCAGAGTTTCTTTCACCCTATGCCCCTGTTACCTAGCAGTAAATTAGGTACCTGGGTGTTAGTCAGCTGTCACGGGCTGCTTCCTGGGGGTGGAGGCCTGGTCTAGGACCGGGCCGCGGGGACACTAAAAAATCCCCGAAATCATCTCAAGATAACCTCAAGATAACCTCCCCACAATACAACCCAAAACAGTCAACTGATGTCCTGGGGCCAGATTCACAAAGCAGTTATGCAAGTACAGTACTTATGAACGTGTACATCTTTCCTCAATCTTTGACGGCTTTGTTTACATTTATTAAACAGTTTACAAGCATGAAAACTTGCCAATCATCTGTTGTTATTGTTATATACAGCCTCCTGGTGCTTTGGAGCTCATTAATTGTTTAACAATTGTAAACTAAGCCGCCAAAGATTGAGAAAAGATGTACAGGTTCGTAAGTGCTTGTGTAACTTCTTCAAGAATCTGGCTCCAGGCACCTTTCTACTGTTAAGTGAACAGATGCATCATGTGCCGGGAAATGTGCCCAAAAATCTTGCCTTACCCAGGAATCAAACTCAGATTCAATCAATTGTGAGCCAACAGTGCTTAACCACTGGTCACTGGGTGAAACTCGCCACTTGTTGGCTGTGTTACAAGATGAGTTTGACATGCCTCATAATTTTCAGCAATGGGGTTACAGGGATCATTTTTTTTTTCCTGCATCACCATTTCATACATGCTAAATAAAAATAAATTACGAGAGAAGGAATACAAATAACCATATATGCTGGAGAAATAAGAACCGAATTCAAGTTTTACAGAATACCTGTGTAGTATGTTTATAAGTAGGAAAATGCATACAAAAAATACAGACGAGGAGTCACAATAACGTGACTGAAATATGTTGACCAAACCACACACTAGAAAGTGAAGGGATGACGATGTTTCGGTCCGTCCTGTCCCCCTCATTCTCAATCAACTTGAGAATGGTCCAGGACGGACCGAAACGTCGTCATACCTTCACTTTATAGTATGGTTTGGTCAACATACAATATATATTTTTTAACTCGTGGATATTCCCATGAACATAGCTGAACTCTATATACTGGTGTATAGTTTAGATAAAAAATGTTTTAAATATTGTACTGAATACAAGTATATAAACACATTTCATTCAAGACTGTTTTTTGTGTGTACTGTCCATAAATATTACATCACCAAATCATGCATAATTTTGTCACGTACTGTACAGTAATTCTACTGGGTGGTGTGGTAATGAAATACAAGTACAGCATAGAGCCACATGATATGAGCAGATGACACCAGCAGACAATGTCACCTGACAAGGAAATGTCTCCAGTATACTAGGCACATCACTAGGTCTAGCCACAGCACTCCTGTTATCATCAGTTTCCTATCACTAAATCTTGATTATGGATCATTTTCCACAAGTTGAATTTCTTAAGGAGCATGAGATCGTTTCATGATGTGAAGCTGCATGAAACAATGGCTGGGTGCTGGAGTTGTCTGCCTCGTGCTGTGAACCAGCTTTGTATTCACTAATACTGTATATCGGAACCTTGTACATAGTCTTTATCAATCAGGATCATCTATGACACTACCATCGCAAAATAATTGCAGTTACTTATTTTATTCATCATTATTAAGTGGAACTGTGACCCCTAGCTGCACAGTGGTGCTATGAATTCCTAATGTATGCACCATCCTTGGTGGTGCATACATTAGTACTGAGGCTCTCACCTCTTTGTACTGAGGTGACAGTCTGCATCTCACAGCCAAGAAAGATGCAGACTGTTTTTTTCAAGATGGCATCTACTTATTGGACCCCTGGAGAAAAGGATGTGAGCCCATTGTATCAACAGTTTTAAATCTTACACCAGACCTAAAAACAACCCTTGTGCACCATTGATGTAACAACCCTGGGACCAGATTCACGAAGCAGTTACGCAGGTACTTACGAACGTGTACATCTTTCCTCAATCTTTGACGGCTTTGGTTACATTTATTAAACAGTTTACAAGCAAGAAAACTTCCCAATCAACTGTTGTTATTGTTATAAACAGCCTCCTGGTGCTTTAACTGTTTAATAATTGTAAACAAAGCCACCAAAGATTGAGAAAAGATGCACAGGTTCATAAGTACTTGTGTAACTACTTCGTGAATCTGGCCCTTGGTTAATTTGAGCAGTTGAACGGTTAACAGGGAAGACCACTGACCAGAGTATTGGCTCATGCTGGTGAAAAGAAAAACTTCCCCATTGTACTCAAGCATGGACACTTGAAACCATCCATACATGTAGGTTTGGCTCTCAAGTGCTACCCATCCCGAGGGTTCCTGAAGGAGTTGCACAATCATGGGCACCAGAGTCAGAGCATCACTTGGGTTTGTTGTTGAAATCTGCAAGTCTATATAATGATGATATCACCCAATCCCTGGTGACAAATAATAGTTGAATCATTATTTGGGAAGACACATTTGTTTTGAAAAACATGGTCATTTTGGAGGATTTGATTATTCTGGAGAATACCAGTGCTTTGAATATGAGAATCATTTTGAATGGATGCGTTATGTTGCACAAGTGTGTCACTGGACAACACTTTTGTTGTCCCAAGACCTGAATTAAGAAATGAGTTGCTTGTAAATGAAGAACCAATAACTGGTGCTAATGAATGAACTGTAGAGTGCATAGTGGAAGGAACTGAATGAACAGCAGATGATTCTGATAGTTGATAAGGTAAGACATGATGATGATGTACTGTCTTGTCTGGGATCACATTAACCACAGGAACAAGGCATGACTTGGTTTTCTTGGAAAATATGAGTTTTTGCTTTAAGGTCTTCTTCGCTGTTGTGCATGTCTTGGGCTTCACATTTTTGGGTAGAATGCCAGGTGGTGGTAGAGGAGCAGTCTCTGGAAGGTTGAGTTTACGACGCTGTGCTACACCAATATAAACTGTCTTATGCACTTTTTTTACATGTACTGATATACTCCCTGGTCCACTAAAAGATTTACTACAATATGGACACTGAAAAGGTGTTTCTCCTGTATGCTTTCTCTTGTGATATGTGAGATGAGAAGCAACCTTGAAAGCTTTATTACAAACATTGCAAACATGTTTTTTGGTATCATCATGAACAACATTAGTATGAGTTCTAAGGTCACTTTTACTACAGAATCCTTTCCCACATGTTGGACAGAGGTGCTTTCGAACTTCCTCGCCTCCATGCATTCGACGCTTATGATTTACCATATCACTAAAACGATAAAACACCCTTTTACAATCCGAACACGGATATTCAGTATCTTTAGTGTGCACAGCACTCAAATGAATTTTCATGTCTCTTAATTCCCCAAATGGCTTTCCACAAATTGAACAGGGAACTTCATTACTCCTTAATTTCAGGTGAACACGTTCCACATGTTTACGCAACTCACTTGGACAAAGGAATCTCTTTTTGCACATGTCACACTGCAATCGTCTAACTTCTACTCCCTGATGCACTCTTTTGTGGTGAGTCTGCATGTTAGTTTTCCTATTAAATATTTCACCACAGACAGGGCACTTGAAGTTAAATATCTTGTTATGGATAGTCTTTGTATGCATTTTTAATGTTGCAGAACTCGAAAATGATTTTTTACATACAGTACATAGGTGCTTCTCTTGGAGAACGCCAATGTGAACCACAAGACAATGTTGCCGTAAGTCTGTGAAAGCATCGAAGATGCTGTCACAATTAGAACATGGATAGAAGACTTCTTCTTGATGGGCCTCAGCCAGATGGGTTCTGATATCCTGTAATACGCAGCACTGTTAGTCTTGAAACCTTCCTAACTTCATCTCCCTTAAATAGATTATGCCTTAAAGTCTTAAATACCCCTTTTCCTCCGATACATTTATTGTATGTGTATAACATATTGCATATAAGACACTGTACATCTGGGCCAAATGATACCACAGAACAGTAGAATGCATATCCTAAAGTTGTATTAAATACTGTACCTTTGTAGAGCTGTTATACCATACTACACTATCAATTACTTCAAAGTTACAACATACCATAACATTTGATAAAATAATGACCAAGCTAGACACAACATTTACAGCATGAATAAACAAAGCAAAGTACTGTATTTATGTATCCCAACTTATCCAAACTGCTGAGAAACCCACACAAAATCAAAATCACAGCTGGATTACTGTAAGAAATGGTTCACATTCAGCTCAGGTTACCCAATGAGACCACATCAGCACTTGCAAATAGCAGGCTGTCAACCGAACTTCATTTTTCTTAAAGATATATTATACTAAAACAATTCAATACTGTACACTTTACATATACAAATAAGTCCTAATTACTAATCAATTATCACAGTCAGTTCAATGAAGTTAAAATGCAATGGAAGAATTATAATCAAGTTATACCCCAATTATCCAAATTACTTATCTTGGCAAGAAACCAGCGTACAATGTAATGAAGTGTCTCTTTCGGGTGGGTCTTTGGTGGCTTCTTGAACCCACCCTACCCCACGAAGGAAGAGACCAGAGTGACCCTCCTAAACAATTCAGACAATGAAGCACCAGAGAGCAGTCAAAGTAAACAGGACCACACAGCCTGTCAGGAGACAAAGTAACCACAGAGCATGCTAGACTGCAGAGGACTTGCAAACTGTGCTATGTACCCAACACAATAGACCCACCCAATAGCCCTCAGTGGCCAGGCGAGTGCTAATCACAAACCCCCCAACCTAAGGCCAAGTCAGCAAAGAGATCGAGTGCAGCAAGATAAAGATGCCACACGGGCACAACCCTGAAAAGCTTGAACAGGAAACTAATAAACCAGGAGCTGTCAAAGGTCCCGCAGAGCTTGAAACTCGATAATCCCTGTGGCTGTGACAAAAGGTCAGAATTTAAGAAAAAAGTACAGAACCTGGAGCCAAACCCTGCCCAGCATATATACCATGCTACCATGCAAGCAAATTTCAGTTTCATATAGTGTCTTAAGCCAATGGTGGGTGACCTGGGGACTTTCCACCATCATTCAATTCACTAGAAACCCGTACCTTGGAAAGCTGGGAAAGAACCAGATCCTTGGCTTGCAAACACATGGACTGACTGGGAATTCAAACCAGCCAGTCGCCAAATGTAAACTAAAATGCAAACCTCTAATACCCAAAGGTGACAAACTACTACATGCCCCAATATGGTGAACATCTGGAGATCCAGATTCAGGCCAAACACAAGGGCCCAGAAAAGGTAAGTCTGACACCCCCATTACAAAACCTAACCAGTCAAGATCAATAGCTCAGGAAGCACATTCCCAAATGTGCACAGGCAACAGGTCCTGCGAGCCTGTTCTGTGATTTTCCAAGCTGGCCCATGTGCTACATCCTGCTGCCTGGCTTCCATGCCTCTTTGGCCTGCCTCTTTCTTTTCCAGCGTGTTTTCTAGGGCCAGCCCTCATGTCAAGCCTTGCTGCCGGTCCTTGGCCTTCATGCTATGCATGTCCATATATTTTTCTGTGATGGACTTGTGCTACTCTTGCTGCTTGATCTTCATGTGCATCTTGGCTATCCTTAAAGGATGGAACATTATTTTTTTGGCTCTTATCCTTTAACAAGAAATGGTCTTTCACATGTGGCATTACTGAGTGAAATTCCAAAGACTATGGAAAAATGGAGGTCTAAAGCAGAAGGAAGGTGGGCACATCGAATGACCTTTCCCAGGTTATCGGAGTGAGCAATTATCATGTCCATGGAGAGTAGTTCCAAACCAGAAGAAAGGACTCATTGGAGTAAGAAAATGCCTGAGCCTTTTATATAATATTATGGTAATAAGTTACCTATTTAATAGTGTTACTAGTCTTTCCTAAAATATAAATTATTCAAATTTTGTATTATCAAATTCCTGTAACATGTTTTATAAAAACAATGAGTTAATGTAAGAGAAAAATTTTCATTGAACTTGAAGCTTTTGCATTTTACTATTATCTGTATTCTAATATTTTGTTAGTACAGTGGAACCTCGGTTGCCGAACGTCCATCTTTACGAATTTTTCAGGGTTATGAGCTCAATTTCTTCATAAAATTTGAATCGGTTTACAAGCTTTACCTTGCTTTGCGAGTTTGATGATACATGTATGGGTCGACCGAGCACGTGGTTCCTGGTAGTACGGGCGACTGTGCTTTAATTTACCGGTGCCGCCAGCCTAGTGATGATTGCGCTTGAATTCTTTGTAAAAAATTTAATTGTTTTTCAGCTTTTTTGGTTTTTAAACATAAAAGTAATTATTATATGCCAAGCCATGGGTCCCAAGAAAGTCAGTGATAAGGTTCAACCTAAGAAAATACATGTGAGGATGACCATAGAGGAAAAAACAAGTCTCTATGGAAAGGTTCTTAGTGAGGCAAGCAAGCTGTGAGCCACAACCAGGTCCTAGTGGTATGCAGGCAAAACATAGGACAGAGAGTACCCCAGAGAAGTCATCACTGCTTGCTGTTATAATGGAAGGGGACTCCCCTTCCAAACACCTCTCCTCTTCCCTCCTCCTAAACATCTTCCATACGCCAACAAGTCATCAATAAAAGTAAGCTATAACTTGTACATACAGTACTATAATACAAAATATTTGTGTGTATTATGTATGAAATGTACATGTATTTTGAAGTTAATATTTTTGGGAGTATGGAACGAATTAATTCAATTTACATTATTTCTTATGGGAACATTAATTTTGGTTTGCAAAATTTCGGTTTATGAGTTGTCTCTGGGAACAGATTAAATTTGAAAACCAAGGTACCACTGTATGCAGATGAGGGGGTCCCAATAATGTGGCTGAAAAATGTTGACCAAAACACACACTAGAAAGTGAAGAGACGACGACATTGCGGTCCGTCTTGGACCATTATCAAGTCGATGGTGTTGGTTCACATACCACTGTATGAATGTGTAGCATAACCCCTGCACTGCGCACCTTTCAAAATGACATTCCCGTAGTGTGCCAAAAATAAATTGTTCCAAAAACTATTTTTTTTATTTTTTTAATTTGGATAATTATCACACATGAAGCATGGAAATCTAAGTAAAAAGTATCTACCTCTTGTAGTTTAGCTGCAGTGTTTTTTTTCGCTCTAACAAGTAGTATCTATGTGTCAAAGGTAGTGTTCATTATGTATAACTTTGAAAATATACAGATACAGTACTGTACAGTGGCACCTCGACTTACGATTGCCCCGACTGACGATAATTTCGAGTTACGATGTAAATTTGATCGAAAAATGTGACTCGACTTACAATAGTGTCATCGACTAACGATATTTGTTGGTACACGTTTGGGTCGACCGAGCGCGTGATTCCCGGTCACGTGGGCCAATCTGCCTCAGTTTACTAGAGCTGCCCTCTTAGTGACGATCACGCCTATAAGAAATTCCGTTTTTGTGGTGATTTTTTGCTTTTTGAACATAAAAACTGATTATTATATATCATGCCATGGGTCCCAGAAAGTCAGTAGTAAGGTTCAACCTAAGAAAATAGTTGCGAGATGAGGCAGTTGAGGATATCCCTTCCTCATTAAGAAAATGTGTGAAGTATGGGAAGAACTGCAAAGTTTTGTTGAAAAAACTCACCCAGATAAAGCTGTAGCAGGCTGTTGAATTGACCTTTTAAATGACAATGTGATGTCTTACTACAGACAAGTGTTAAAATGTAAGGAAAAAACAAGTGTTTTTAGACAGATTCTTAGTAAGACAAGCAAGCAGTGAGCCCCAATCAGGTCCTAGTGGTATGCAGGCAAAACATGCCAGAGAGTGTATCCCAGGAAAGTCATCACTGCCTGATGTTATAATGGAAGGGGACTTCCCTTCCAAACAGTAACACCTCTCCCCCCCCCCTAATCACCATCTTCCATACGCCATCAAGAGTCCTCCATAAAGGTAAGATAAACATATGTACTGTATTGTAGTTAGAGAACAATGGTTTTCCAGACCATTTTCCAGACCAAAACCAGAAACCAGAACATTCTGGTTTTCGTACTGTCTCTGGGAAAGAAATAACTACGAAAACTGAGGTACCCCTGTACTCACATAATCACATGTCGGCTGGTGCACCAGCACACCTCTTAACACTTTTGCGTTTCTGATGATTATCTCTACGTCATAAAACCAATATATGCAGAGGCCCTGAAGACAATAACGCTGTCATCAATTAATAAATTTGCAAATATTCCATTTATTGTCCACATATTATGGGACTGGTTTTTAAATGTGCACCGTGATATAGCGAACAATTTGATACCAAAATGAATGACGTAGCATGAAAATTGAGGCGAGAAAGCTGAAAAAGAGAATAAACATCTGAGTGTTGTTTGCGGGCTCACGGCCAACGCTTGGCCTACTGCACGGTTTAATCAAATTTGTAAATATTCCATTTATTGTCCAAATATTATGGGACTGGTTTATAAATGCGCACCTTGATATAGCGAACAATTTGATACCAAAATGAATGACGTAGCATGAAAATTGAGGCAAGAAGGCTGAAAAGAGCATAAACATTTGAATATTATTTGTGTGCTCACGGCCAACACTCAGCCTACCTTGCGGTGCATGGCGGGTCGCCCGCCAGGCACGCAAAAGTGTTAAATAAAATTGTGCACAAAAAATTTGGATAAGGGTGTAAATTGAGAAATTACTAGCTACAAATTTGGCATTGTGTATTTTCATAATTATTTTACATTCTCAGACCAATACATTTCACACAATCAAAATTGTAAAAATACATTATTTTACATTGCCAATAAAAAAAATAATTATGCTAGCCTACAACCTAACTATTTATCTGTCTCATTCAATCTGGAAATTAATCTATCTTATTTACCATACCCATACACGAAGTCATAAGTATGAAATACTTATAAGTGAGATCAAAACACAGCTTAAGATTATAGTATGGTACTTACAATTTTAAAAATATACGTATAGAGAATTACTTATAAAATAATATGCCAACCCTATTGTACAGTATTTCATAATTATTTATCAACTTATATTTTGGCAACTGTAATTCAAGTCCCACTTAATAAATACAGCACACTAAACATGATAAAAAATTTGTACTATTCAGATACATGGTATACACAGTAGATGATACATTAAACATGAATAAAATTATACAAAGTCATAATAATAATTATAATAAATAATAATAATATTGCAGACCTGCTGTGAAAAATAAACAAAAAGCTCTCAAAACTGCCGTCATCACTCCTCGGAACACAATCATAACCACTGATATGCACATCGGGAACCCTTATAGAAATTTAGATCTAAACCCACCTGCTGTTCCACTAACATGGGCTTTGCCCTACGCACTACTGGTATTGCAGGTCATGCAACAAACGAACCACCATGGGTACTGGAGACTGTTGTGTTGGGGTCTGTTCTACTGTCTGAAACTGGAAATTGGCATATGGGTTATGGTGGTCCATTAGTCCTTGGTGGTGAATCATAGGTGGGTTAGTCTGAGTTGGAGGCAGCATGTTGGAAGTATGATGAGCAGGAGCGTAAGTTGTCACTCCAGAAGCTGGAATGGTACAAGCCATCGGTTGAGAGTAGGTCGGATGAACCATGTTCATGGGAGGAGTCATTGGCTTAGGCTTGGGCTTCACCTCACGTGCTGGCAACATGCCTGGAGGTGGAGGTGGAGCACTCTCGGGAAGGTTCAATTTGCGTCTCTGGTTCGTACCAATATACACTGTCTTGTGAACTTTCTTGACATGGTCTGATATGTGACTAGGTCCATGGAAACACTTGCCACAGTGAGGACATTCATATGGTGTCTCACCTGTGTGCTTTCTACGATGATATTTCAAATGTGAACAAACTTTGAAGGCTTGGCCACATATATCACAAACATACTTTCGAATATTTTCATGGACTACCCTAATATGGGTCTTTAGGTCGCTTGGACTACAAAACCCTTTACCACACACATCACACACGTTTTTTCTTCCTTCTGGTCCGCCATGCATACGCCGCCTGTGTGTCACCATATTAGTAAGGCTATGAAACACCATTTTGCACTCTGGACAAGGGTGCTGCACCTCCTTGGTATGAACAGCATTTATGTGAATTCTCATGGCTCTTGAATCGGAGAAAGGCTTACCACAAACTTCACACATGACTTCATTCTTTCTCACCTTCAGATGTACCCGTTCTACATGTTTCCTTAGGTCACTCGGGCAAATAAAGCCCTTATTACATATATCGCACAACAATTTACGTGCCTCATCTCCCTGGTGCACACGGCGGAAATGATTTTGCATGTTCCCTTTCTGGTTAAAGATTTCTTTACATTCTGGACATTCATAAACTTGAGCTTTTTCGTGAATAGTTTCTACATGAACTTTAAGGCCAGTTAAACTTGAAAACTTTTTATTACATATTTTGCACATAAATTGTTCTCTTTCAACCCCCATGTGAATCACAAGACAGTGTTGCCGCAGTTGCATGAATGTGTCAAAAACCTCATCACATTCTGTGCATGGATAATGGATCTCCTCTTGATGTGCTTCAGCAAGATGTGTCTTGATGTCCTGAAATTTGGCTAAGGATTAGTGGTCAGAGTTTCTCCAGGAATGTTTCACCACCAGGCTGCCAACACGATTTGCAATAATTTCAAGTTTTGGCAGAGGTATTCATTGCAAGCAACCATACAAAAAGTTCCTTAATGAAGTCATGCAAAAGTTGATCATACTGTGAATGTTTTCCACTTATAGTATGCACTATAAAACATGAAGTTAAATTTCTTTCAACCTCTTCCAACTAAATGCAAAATAACTTATATGATGTCATCCACAAAGACTTTTAGAAAACAAAAAACAGCATTGCTCTCCCCAAAGACTGGTCTTCATACTTGTAATTCTTTTTTCAAATGGCTGCATTTCTAATTTTGTCTCTATAAACCAACATTTCTTTCTTTTGTCATAACAGCAGTCATAAATCTTGCAACCCAAGTTTTTGTGACAATTCAGAACAATGCCAACTAACCATGGAATCCTTAACTACACACAATAATTTCTGCAATTTGATCATGCATTTCAAGTAAACCTGCACATTCAATTGTGAAATAAGGCAGGGACACAATCAGCCCCCACTCCTGTGCCAGGGGAGTCCACTACAGGGCTCACCATAGCCTGTGCTACATGGAACTTTTTGTTCAGAGTAGCTGAATCTAAAACGACTAAAACAACAAGGCGGGGAGAAGGAAAGCACGGAAGGTAATAAGCAAGGTAGAAAAGGACAACACAGCAGACCCTATGATAAAAACAGCCAAGTAACAAGTTGCATTTCAATAACAGTTGATCGAGGCTTATCTCACAATACAAAAAGTATTCTGGTTAACAAAAACCAAAATGCCACTACATACAGATGGGGATAAGAGTGGATGGATGCAGTGGGATAATGTGGGTAGGGTGGGGGTCGGGTCTTTTATACGGCTGGTAAGAATGTATGGTTGGTGGAAATGTATGTTTGGTTGAAATATGTGGTTGGTAGAAATATGTGGTTGGTAGAAATGTATGGTTGGTGGAAACGTGTCGTTTGTGGGAACGTATGGTTGGATGGGAGTACAGTATTTGTGAATATACATAGGCAAGTCATAATGACACCACCACCACCACTTATACCTTGCATACAAACCAGGAGCAATATTTCATTAGCTTCAGGGATGCTAAACTCTACATCCAAGAATAAAAGAAGATTAGGAGACTATATAGAATCTCTAGCACTATAAAACCGAATTAGGTAAAACTCCTCATTACTCCACCTTTTGCTAGTTAGCTAGCTTTGCTAGCTACCCTTTATCAACCAACCCTGGCTTTGCGCCCTGGAGAGGCTACTCCAGACCGACAACCTGAGCACAACTCCGTAGTCTTCCGAGACTGATAGATGCCTACTACTGTACTACTAAAAAAAGGAATATAATCACACACAATCCCTCGTGTATATGACTTGATCTCATCTTACCTTTGTCTTCCTAACACCACCTCTCACCCCCCTTTTTCACCTTCAAATACCCTAGATCTGTGTGTATCTTGAATTTGATAAAATCTTTACAGGCCAAATGTTACCTGGAAATAAAATTTGACTCACATTTTGGTGTGTCTCCACATTCAACTTACATATAATGACTGAAAAGAACAAATAAATATTAATACAGAACTATACAAATAAGTATTTCCAAATACTCAGTATTTACCTTTCTCTTGAAAACCGATTCACAAAATGGGCATGGGAAGAGGCGGTGGGTCGAGAGATGAATCAGGTACTTCTTAGCATGAAGAACCTGCATGAGAAGAAGTATAATTAGAAGCTAAAAATACTATAGGCACGAAGTAAAAATAAATGATATACAGTATTACAACTAAATAGCACTTGGAAGGGATAAGAGGATAAGGATTTAGGATAGGACAGAGGAAAGGAATAGCGCCCAACCACTTGAACATGCTGGGACTAAACGCCAATCTAAAAGAAGCGAGACCGTCGTTCTACAATTCAGTCCAAGTGGTTGAACTGGAGGGCCTGGTCAAGGACTGGGCCGCGGGGATGTTGAGCCCCAAAATCATTGCAAGGTAAGGCGGGTATTCAAAATAAATCACAATAGCAATTTTTGTTTTCTGTTCCTTTTAGAAATACTGATTTATAAAGACCACCTACATAACACATCCCATCCTTCAATATTATACTATGTTTAGCTATTATGGATGGAACATACAAAATATGGACTGTTGTTCAATTAGCATTTTGCACTTTGGAATACTAAAGGGCATAACAAAAAGTGGAGGAAGGTAATTATCAAGGGAAAGCGCCAAGCCATTACAACTATACTGTATAGCACTGAGAAGGGATCAGGATAAGGATTTGGGATGGGACGGGAGAAAGGAATGATGCTCCACCACTTGGACAGCTGGGGATTGAATGGCGACCTGCATGAAGCGAAACTGTCGCTCTAAACTAAATTTAACCTGTCCAGGGTAAGCTTAACATGTAATCTTAGGGCACATTTTTAGACATACTGTATAAGTACTACACTAGCCCTAGGACACATTAAATTTGGTTGTTGCCTTCATCCTCAGGCCCTCTACAAATTTAATAGAAAAAAATAAATAAAGCATTTTGGGGGAGCAACAGTCCATATTTTGTACTACCATCCAGAGTATCTATAGTTATTATCTTTTTTTGGATGACAGGTTGACTTAACAGGAAGGGGTGCATCTAGCCATTGCTTCAAAAAACCATTTGCATCACACCCTTTCAGGCAAATAAGGGTTGTCTGTATGCACTGGTACAGTAGTCCAATAGAGGCACTTTGGGTTAATTATAACTGCACAGACCCTATTCAAATCAACTTCAGACTTGTACTGCAAAATTATATATTTTCCAAAGACCTCTGGTCTCCTGCCATAGATTTATGTGAATTAGTTAAGACTTCTGAAATCCCAGCCCAATTAAAACATACACAAGCTTCCTGTCCCCGACAAAATAAATTATTGTAAGAAGGTTTAACAATATCACAGAACTAAAATAGTTGTCTAATCTATGCCTGAAACACTCCAGCAATTCAATGTCTACATGTTACCCAACAATGTGTTCCACAAGTCAACAACCCTATTCTTTAACCAGTATTTACTCAGGTCTTCTCTGAATCTAAACTTACCCTGACCTGACCTGGGGCCTGACAGCCGAGTGGACAGCGCTTCGGATTCATAGTCCTAAGGTTCCGGGTTCGATCCCCGGTGGAGGAGGAAACAAATGGGCAGAGTTTCTTTCACTCTGATGCTCCTGTCACCTAGCAGTAAATAGGTACCTGGGAGTTAGACAGCTGCTACAGGCCGCTTCTTGAGTGTGTAACAAAAAGGAAGCCTGGTCGAGGACTGGGCCATGGGGGACGCTAAGCCCCGAAATCATCTCAACATAACCTCAAGAAAATAACCCAATTTGTATCTATTATTGCATGTTCTATTTTGTGTTTATATATTTAGCCCCTATTAACGTTTCCCTTGTTATACCCTTTCTTTAAATTGTATCTTTCAACCATGTCACTTCCTAATCTGCCATTTTTTTATCTCTTCATATGGAAAGTTCATAATGCTGATCAATGCAACAAAATATTGATCTCATGAAATGAGTACATTCTATCAATAAAAAAAGTGAAACAAAAATATTAACAGCAAGCATGTGTTCAGATCCGACCATTATGGCTCGGCTCCTATGTTGAAGACTTGTACAGACTACTGTACTTTATTATATGGTAGATAGTAGTACAGTCGGGTTCGTTCTCAATGCACAATCGAAAATTACGGGTTCGAATCCCGGGCAGGACATTAGTAGTTGGGCGCATTTCCTTTCACCTAGCAGAGAGTTGGTATTCAGGAGTTAGTCACCTTGTTGTGGGGTTGCATCCTGAGTGGGGTCTGTAATTCGGTCTGGGAGGGGGGGGGAAATAAAAGCCAATATTTATTGATAAAAAATAAAAAGCCAAACCAAACTTGATAAAAACCAAACGTGTATGAATACACTCTGGCTTCCTGTCCCCCCGACACAGTGAATTATTACAAGGAATAAAAGATGCCTGCCAACCACTGAGAAAGAAAATAAAGATTATACAAAACACTTATTCAGCTTAGTGATTAGCTGCATAAGAAGTAAAGACAAGTCTAACAAAAATACAGAACCTCTAGTGTGTTTTATCAAAAAGAATATTACTAATAATTCCTATGAGAACAGAGATTATAAAAGGGCCAGAAACTAGATGTGGGTGATTGTAGTAACCAAAGCTGGGAAGAGTAAAAAATTAGAAGTTAGATGCTCCACACATTAAACAATTTCATTAACACTAACAAGGTCATTAGAGCCAAAACAACATTTTTCTAGCCTTTGTGTTTGATACACACATTCTGGTTCATCTCGCACAGTCAAACCATAGTGGACAGCCCCGTGGCCTAATATGACCACAGTCTCTAATCTCAAAGAGGACAGAACACACTCGGCCTGTCTTATCCTTTCACCAGAAGATGGGCTTCAAGAGCCACATTTAACTGCTGACCAGGTTATCAAAGCACAGAATTTCCCTGGCCAGGTAATATGGAGAATCTGAGAAAAGGAGTCAGAGAAATCTAGAAAACATCAGAGATGTTTGTGTGCTTCACAGAGATGCAATAATGACTAAAGATGTTTGCTCATCAACTTTTTTTTTGTTTTTTTGGCAGGGATATTCCTGCACGGGTCCTAAGCCTCTGGCTGGGCCACTAAGTGTTGCTTGTTTCTGTTTTACTTGGGCGGAGTGTAAGTATTTATGACTCGTATGGTCTTTGCATCACATAACAGACAAGATGAACAGAATAGTTCTCTTATCAAGATACAGGAATCATTTCAATTATCTACTCAGCAAACATTGATAAAGTTTAAGATATGAACTGCCATTTAAGTCACTCTTCAGGTTAGGCAATTATGAGATTTAGGCTAAGCATAGCACTAAATCCCAAGGCAAGGTGTTCCAGGAGAAAGCACCAAACCAGTACGATTATCTTGCACTTCAGGGTTTATTCACTACAACAAAAAACATCTATAGGATAAATACCTTTTTACAAGCAGGGCAATCCTTGGTAGGTGCACCGGGAGGAATATAATCATCTTCTTCCTTGTCTTTTTTCCTAGGCCGACCACGACCTCTTTTTCTAGGACGGCCATCAGTATCAACATCGCCACCTTCATTAACTGAATCAAGCTGTCAAATATATTTTAATAAATTAATATTTCAAAATAATTGGATTTTCTAGATAATGTAATTGAGAATTTAAAGCTTCATCAAAACATCACGTGATACATAACAACAGTACTGTACCCTGAACTTGAACAACACCAAAACTTTGACATTTTAAATACAATAAATGCTTATTTTTAATATATGGTACTACAATGTAATTCCTTTCATTCATTTAGAGCCATAAAGTTTGAAGTTAGAAAAAGTGCAAATACAACGAGAGCATAACATCGTTTTGAATTCAGTTTCTGGTCTATAGCCTTACCCCCGCCATATTGTTGTAAACTCCCCAACTGATGTACATGTATCCAGTCAAACAGATATACAATACCTTCCACTTATTTTTATGAATGCAATTTTCAATTATTAAAATTACAGTACTGTGATGGTTTCTAATATTTTTCTCTAAAAATTATACTTTGAAGCCTAAAGTACAAGTGCACTAAACATACAATATACAGTATGCAGTTCAATTACAGTATCAAGCATCCCAGATATGTACGTCAAAGATAAAGGACAACTTAATGATAAACTTTATTATTTCTGATGAGGAACACTAAATTCAATGATCAAACATACTCTACCTTAATTTTAGTAGTTAATTTGACTTTGCGTGGCCGAACTCCTTTACGTTTTGTTTTTCTTGTTTTCTTCTTGCGTTTGGCACCAGATGCCGTGCAATCTGGGTCATCATCATCATTGTCTACCACTTCCGATTCATTCGATTCTTCCCATTCTACATCGACTTCTAACTGTAAAGCAATTAAATATCTTTGAGCAAATATTTACAATCAATTCTAATTCTGTACAGGACAGTAATAATTATCCAAAGAATGGCATAAATTCATGTGAGAGCAAGAAACATTCTGAGCATACCCGATCAAGAGAGACCACTGAGCTAGCATATCTCAGGATATGAACAGAATGGTGTAAAGAGTACTTTAAAACTATTCAGGTTATAATGAAAATTTACAGTACAATATATGGTATGTTCTAAGATACTGTATATACATTCCAAATATAAACTGAAAATTTAACCTTTCTTGCTAAACATATAATATAATTGCATCTATTACAAAGCTTCCTATGGTATCATTTACACCTGAGATTACTTTGATTATCCCCACTGGCATCAGGTTGCATGTGTAGAAAGCTTGGAGAATCAATGCTCATTTATTTCAGATAAATTGCTTTAAGGACATTTCACCCCCGTTGATTTTTAAATACTTCTAAAATTTGCTAAAAGCAATCTACATGATCCAGGATCTTCCTTCCACCAACTTACATAAGCCATGAGAAATTCAAGTGGAGGTACAGCATTCTCTAGCTATCATACAGACACAGATATTAACAAGTACAGTAAATAGAAGTTAAAGTGAAAACTTACTGTGGGTCTTTCAATATCCCTTTTGGCATGTGGTTGTCGATGAGAAATAGTTGCTTCGTACTGTTGTACCAACTCCATTTTGGTATCAGCTAATTCAATTTCAAGTCCATCAACTTGATCCACTAGAGCATAGCAACGTCGGCACAAAACATCACTGTGAGCCTTGTAGAGAGTTAATCCCACCAAACGACCTAACATTGCAGACAACTTCCGCTGACTAACTGTCATCGTGGCTTTATAAAGGTCAACATATTCTTGGGGAGATTCTTGAGTTGGGAGGCCTTTATCACACACCAAACACCAGCGGGATTGATCTGCATTACTGTGTCCCGCTGCTACCCCATCTACTACTTCACCGCTGCATCTATCTACCACTAAAGTGTCTTGTAGTTCTACTCTCTTAACATCTACTGTTGCCTCCTCCAAAACTCCTACCAAGGATGGAACAGATTCTCCACTGGAATCTGCCATGCCTACAGACACCTCTATTTGCTGCTGTTGCTGCTGAGCTACTTGCTGCTGTTCCACTTGTTGCTGGGCTGCTTGCTGCTGCTGCTGCTGATGCTGTTGCTGTTGGTGGTGAGCAAGCTGCTGCTGGTGCACAGTATGATGCATAGTAATCTGCTGTGTGCCAGCCATCTGTGTTGTGACTGTGGCCATGGTGTTCATGTGCCCGGGACGAGAGCCAACCACCATAGGCAAAGAGGCCTCTGGCATCAGGATCCTGGCAAGGGGAGGTGGTGGTCCTTGTGCTACTTGCTGAACTGCTTGCTGAACTGCTTGCTGAGCTGCTACTTGCTGGGCTGCTGCTTGTTGCACAGCTTGTTGACTGGCTGCGTGATGATTTGCCATGGGATGGCCACCCATGTTCATGGCAAATATTCTTCTTTGGTCTTCAAAATCCATGTTTAATGTACTAGGCCTTCAAATCAACCTGGAATCAAACATTTATTCATTAACATTTTTTAAGTAATTATAGTTACAGTACAGTAAAAATTATCTTAAAAGACATACCGGTATCTAAGAAAAGATTGTATAATTTTATTAAATACACCCTGTACAGTACCATGAAATAATTTCACTCAAAATAAAAGTAATCAGCACCGAATATAGTAAGTACAGTACTGTACTGTATAGGAAGCAGCAGTGAGCACAGGTTGTGTAATGAGAAATAGTGTGTGTGGTTTACAGATGTAATGAGCACAAGGATATGTAATAAATACAGGTATAATGAGCACAAGAGGTGTAGTAGTTAAGTGTAATTACCTAAGTGTAGTTACAGGATGAGAGCTACACTCGTGGTGTCCTGTGTCCCAGACTGTCCCAGACTTTGTCGCTTTGTCTGGGACACGACAAAGCGTGTCCCAGCACTCTTTGTCGTATAACGCTTTGAAATTACCAACGATTTTGGCCACCACCACCACCTCACCTAGCTAGTTCCAACCTTCTACCACTCTGTTTGCGTAAGTGAATTTTCTTATATTTCTTTGGCAGCCTTGTTTAGTTAGTTTCAATCTATAACCTCTTGTTCTTGAAGTTCCAGGTCTCAGAAATTCTTCCCCATCAATTTTACCAATTCCTGTTACTATTTTGTACGCAGTGATCATATCGCCTCTTTTTTCTTCTATCTTCTAGTTTTGGCATATTTAATACCTCTAACTTCTCCTCATAGCTCTTGTCCTTCAGTACTGGGAGCCACTTAGTAGTATGTCTTTGCACCTTTTCCAGTTTGTTGATGAGCTTTTTTAGATATGGGCACCATACAACCGCTGCATATTCCAGTTTTGGTCTAACAAAAGTCGTGAACAATTTCTTTAGTATTTCGCCATCCATGAATAGTATTTAAAAGCAGTTCTGAAATTAGAGAGTGTAGCATAGGCTCCTTGAACAGTGTTCTTTATGTGGTCCTCAGGTGACAGTTTTCCATTTTGAACCACCCTAGATCTCTTTCTGCATGAGAATGCTTTAAAGATTTTTCACATAATTTATAGGTTGTGAGGGGGTGTATGTTCTCCTATTCCACATTCCATAACATGGCATTTATTCATATTAAATTCCATTTGCCAAGTGGTGCTCCATATACTGTACTAATTTTGCCCAGGTCTTCTTGACGGGCATGACAATCATCTAAGTTTCTTATCTTCCCTATTATCTTAGAATCATCAGCAAACATGTTCATATAATTCTGTATTCCATCTGGTAGATCATATCATTTATGTAAACAATGAACATTACTGGTGCAAGAACTGAACCCTGTGATACTCCACTTGTGACATTTCTCCAGTCCAATACATTACCTCTGATTACAGTACTGCCATTATTTTTCTATTAGAAATTTTTTCATCCATGTTATAAGATGACTTGTCACCCCTCCAATATGTTCCAATTTCCAGAACAACCTCTTATATGAAACTCTGTCAAAAGCCTTTTTTAGGTCCAGATAGATGCAGTCAACCAAACCATCTCTTTCCTGTAAAATCTCTGTGGTTCGATCATAAAAACTGAGCAAATTCGTTACACAGAATCGTCCAGATTGAAAACCATACTGACTGCCTGATATTATATAGCTTTTCTCCAGGTGTTCTACCCATTTAATTTTAAGTATTTTTTCCAATATTTTGACTACTACACTTGTCAATAATACAGGTCTATAATTGAGGGGGGTCTTCCCTGCTGCCCCTTTTGTAGATTGGAACTATGTTAGCCTTTTTCCACACATCTGCTATATCTCCTGTACACATGGATGCCTGAAAAATCAGTTGCTGGAATGCTGAGCTCAGGTGCACATTCTCTCAAAACCCATAGTGAAACTCAATCTGGGCCAACTGCTTTGTGCTTACTTAGCTCCTTGACCATTTTTTTTCACTTTGTCTCTAGACACCTCTAAGTGCTCTATGTTGTTCTTTGGAATTCCTATTGTGTCTGGTTCCCTGAAGAATTTATTTTGTATAAACACACTTTGGATCTTTTTGTTTAATGTTTCTCACATCTCCTTTTCATTTTCTGCAAATCTGTTTCCCATTTTCAACCTGTGAATATTATCTTTTACCTGAAATTTGTTGTTTATGAATTTACAGAATAGGCCTGGTTCTGTTTTACATTTGTCCACTATCCCTTTTTCAAAATTTCTTTTTGCCTCTCTCCTCACTGCCGTATAGTTGTTTCTTGATTCTTTGTATCGCTGGTATGTTTGGGGGTTTGGTCTCTTTCTATATTAATTCCATTTTTGTGTCTTTTGGTCTTGGGTCCTCTTGCAATTTCTGTTGAACCAATCCTGTTTCTTAGTTCTGCATCTCTGCTTTGGTATAAAAAAAATTGTGCCTTTATCATATATTTCACAAAACTTGACATACATCTCATTTACATCATTTCCTAAATAGCAAGTCTATCCGGTCAAATTCCTTAAAGAAATTTCTAAGTTCCCCATAATGTCCTCTCCTGAAATCAGGTTTTTCAACTGCTTCAATCTCCTTATTTTCTTCCAGATTACAATGCATTGCATACTTTAATTTCCAAAAAGACATGGTCACTTTTACCCAAAGGAGGAAGGTACTGAATTTCAAGTATCTCTTCCTATTTCCTGGTAAATATCAAATTCAGCACAGAGGGAACATCCTCTTCCCTCATCCTCATAGCTTAACATGTTGATACAGTACAGCAATGTTTCCAGGATGAAGTTTACGAATCTACAGGTTCAAAAGTCCTCTGTTCTAGCTTCAAATGCCTCCCAGTCTATGGCTTTCACGTTGAAGTTGCCGACTACCAACTCATGAGTATATAATGAGTACAGGTGTAATGAGCACAAGGGTGAATGATGGCATATATCTTGACACCAGATCTAGAGGCCTGGTGCATTACCCTATCTGCATGCTGCCTGTATTTTGGCACCGAGTCAAACTGCTCCTCCAGCAACCCAGGGAATGATAACCACATTTACGTTTTTCCACAGACATCTTTTGCTGGCTGAGGAATGGAAGTACTGTAGCAACCACATTAGGAATAATGTGGCAACTATCTAAATTATCCCCAAAGAACCCCACAGTCCAAGAAATTCTATTGTAAACACTTGAAAGTTCCCAATAATCTCACATGCAATAATTACATCAATACATGTTCCCAAGAAGCTCCACAAACTATGAATAAACAGAAGCTAAGCTTTCCCCAGCAGCCAGTTTACAAGCATCTGGGTCTAAACTAGGATCAGGTGGATGCAAATATAAGTGGCTGGACACACAGCATCTTTGCAGGGACTACCATATAGTCCCAGTGGTGCAGTGATAAAGCACTCGCTTGGCACTTTACAAATGCTTTGGCCTGGGTTTGTATCTTGGCCGGGGAAGATTGACTGGGCACCAGTCCTTAACTGTAGCCTCTATTTACCCAGCAGTAAATGGGTACCTGGTTGTTAAACGATTTGGCGGGTCATATTCCGGGGAAAATTAGGATTAAGGACTTGCCCGAAATGCTCTGTGTGCTTGTGACTTTACAAAAACGTAAGAACTCTTGCATACATAAATAAATAAATAAATAAATAAATAAATAAATAAATAAATAAATAAATAAAAATTAAGTCTAACCTCACTAGAGGTCCAGGGGCAAACACACTGGATATACTGTACACCATCTCCAACGGCATTGACGTTCATCAGCATACACTGTAACACTCGCTTGGTTATCATGCTGTCAGATCATTCATCGCACTTCATCATCAAACCACTGTAAACTACATTCATGCAAATATATATTTTTAATTACCATACTCTGTTTATTGTTGCCAAAAAGAACGTAATGATAAAACATTACACCAATAGTGTTACACCTTTCTAAGTGTTAAGTCTAGTGTTACCCAACTTTACAATAGTTATTGAACTGTACTACAGTATTGTATACTTTCTGCCAGTTTCAGTCAAACAGTGAACAAGCTATACCAGATATCTTTGGAGACCAACCCACTAGAAAATTCAAAGTGTTTTCTCAAAATTCAATACTGTTTATGTTAGATTCAAGCCCATGGGGTACTGCACTTTTTGGATACAGGATCATAAAATGCTGTAGGATAATGTCACAAGAATATTATACAAATACAGTACTGTAGTAATAATAGTGTTATCCTATATATTAACAATCCTACAGTTAGATAAGGGTTCACTATTCAGGACTTTTAGATTCCTCACCACACAATCTTTCATATTTTTTTTGTTTGGTTGGGATTTAAGCCTCAAGCCAGGCACTGGAATCAGTTATGTTATTCAGTGCCACGTACTGAACATGAGAACATGATCCACACAATTGCATTATGATATGATCTACTCAATAGACACCAGAGACAAAGCACACTGTAAATGGTACGAGTACTCATATTGGTAAAAATTTGCAAATATTTCTTGCAACTAAAATAGTTTCAAATTTTCACATGCATCAACATCTGACAGTAATTTTCCGATCAGTGTAAATGAAAGATGACTCATTATAGATTTAAAGAATATATTTTAAAGAATATTAATACATACTATAAAGATATAGGCAAGGTCACTGATAATCTTTATGATAAGCATAGTTACAAAATACATTTGGTTTTGTGAGAAGTTTAGTGTACTGTATATTCAATATTCATTAAAACTGTAGCAAGGACTATACATTCCCACAAAAAAATATAAATCTTCAAGCTAACATAATGACAGATACTATATTCATTGAGAATTTATAGTGATTTTGAAGTTAACAGATATATTGTTGATCCAAAATTACTTAAAACTAGCGGATATATTATACAGAAGTTAAAAACGTTGACATACGCCGATGTTCACATTTTTTGTAATAACAGTAAAACTTTTAAGGAAAGGTGGTGAAAATTAAAAAATATAATGGAGATACAGTATATTTATACAGTATACTGTACATTAAAGTGAATTAGTAGTGCAAAATACTTGGATTTAATACTACAGATGGCATAATGAAAAGAACAATGGGAGGGTTTTATAATGAGAAGAATATGTTCTTTTTACCTAACTTTTAAATTTGATGTGAGCAATTCTGTATTTCATTTGGAAGTGAATCCCATATTTCAAAACCCTTTCTTTGCATGGTATATTTGCAAAGATTTAGTCTGACTGCAAATATCAAAGAGATACTTATTTATTATCTGAAGTTTATGGGTTGTATTACATCCCATTAGGAAATATTGAAATAATTCAAGTGGGTTAGAATTGTGAAGTCTACTGTAAAGTGCTTTGTAAAAGACGTACACAGAGCACAAGAGAAAACATTGAGTATGTTCGGCATGTTTGAGTTAATGATTAAAGGGGCTGCATGTCTAGACAGAATTTACTGTTCTGATTGCAGATGTTTGCTGGGTGGTGATGGGTTTGAGGAAGGCTAGTATGTGGCAGTTAATGCCCAATACACTCAGGAGGAATTTACCTTGGGTAAATTCAGGAAAAAAAAAAAAAAAAAAAAAAACACAGATAGCGAGATTGGGTTGAACTTGTATGTAATATTATGAGAAAAACACTGAAGATAACATCTGATTTTCTTATAGTATGCCAACTGTTTTATAAACTTTTTGGAGGTTTTCGACAATTAGGTGATGAATGTGTGAAGGTCTGCTGTCTATGCCTAGGCCTACGTTTGGTGTGAGCTTGTTGGTTAACATCTGATAGTGGACTGTATACCATTTGGAAGTCGGCTTGGTGCTGATAGGCAGCCATTGGCATAGTACAGGATTAAGATGTACACTGATAAGCATACTTCTCAACTGTATTTGCCTTAAATGCTGTGCATATTAGTGGCTTTAGGCATTGTATGTACTAGGTCTATCTAGAAATCCAACATTATATTTTGTAACTCATCTTGCATGTACAGTATGTACTTTTAACTGAATAAACATTTGATTTGATTTTATTTTAACTATTTCAAAACTTGTATTGACCCTCATACTTTCTTGTCTTTGCTATTAACATTTAACAAATATTTCTGAAGTAAAATCTTCCTATACTGTACATTAGTTCTATTCCAAACAAATTTCACTGTCAGAAAAGACCTTTCCGACATATGTTTCATAGTCTACTTGGAGCATATATGTGGCTTATCTCTTTATGCACATATATTCATCATCTTTTCCCCCAACATTAAATAAAAATGCTACCAAACAATAAGAAGTTTAACAATTTGAACTAATAGCGAGTAGCCGCAGCCCATTAATGAACCCTTAACTATCTGTACAAAATCCTCCTAATAGACACCACTAACATATACCCATTTATTACATTACTGTTCTGTATTCCATAATCTATACACAATTCTCATCAAATTAATTGGTAGGTTATTATTATAATGCATATATGCTTCGAGAGCCCCCCCAGGCTGCGCCTTAATTACAACTTCATATAGAGTGCTGTCATGGCACCCGAGGAGGAGGAGGAAGTACACGTTATTACAGGATATTATTCTCCTGTTGGTGGTGTCACTTGAGGGCTGGAGGGAGGCTAGTGGGTGTCCCGGCCAGGCCCCGAGGGAGCCTGGCACCTCTCCCCGTGCCTCCCTGTCACCGTGACAGGCCCTCTGACAGCTCAACACCTTCCAAATGTACTATTGCCAAAATCGCCGGATTCGGGTAAAGCAAGTAAAGTACAAGTTATTTATGCGTCTGAAACACGACCCCCTGGCGTCCGAAGCGGGCGTCCCACGGCCATTTCTGGCCCGGACGCTCCTTCCCTTGGCTATTTAGACGGCCATACCTCACCTGTCAGGTGCCGTGCGGGGTCTTACCGTCAAGGAGGCGACTCGCCGCGTCTCGTCAGACGGGTGAGGTGACGCCCACAGCCGCCCTAGCCCTGCTACAGGAGAATCATTAGGCGAAAATGGTGGTTTTCGGTGGGCGGCGTCAGGCCAAGGGACGGGACGAAATCGCACGAAATACACACCCATTTATTTTTTTCCCCTCAGCTCTGCCCTCCTCCGTGGGGGTAAAATGGGGAGATATATAATTTTGGAGACGCCGAAGCTTCCAGCGGTGCGGGAAAGCGTACGATAGCGTGATAATTAGGACGAAGGGACAATATTCTCGTGTACTCACATGTTAATCCGGTCGATACAAAGAGATCAGGGTGGCCACCCATGGGAAAAATGGCCACCGTGTGCCAGCCACCCTTAATTCTTGAGATTATTATTGACGTAGGTTTTGATATTTCATATTTAAACACAATTTCATCTTACTGCAAGAAGATATTTTGTTTTTTCCTTTATATACTTTATGGACAAATTGGTCTTATAATGGAAACAAAATTGAAAATACTCCGTGGTAGTACTGGCAAGAAGCAGGTGTACCAACGTTACATTTGTTGTATTTATTTTTTAATTTTATTTAATTAACTTAGATCATAGACATTAACACATTAAGGAATTATATACAGGTTACGTTAAAATCTTATTACAAGAAGCTGTGGTTGAATCATTTAACGAAATGTTATTTGAGTGAATTCTGTTTATTTATATTATTGAATATAAAAATAATTGTTTCCTCAAAATATAAAATTATTTGCAAGATACCCAGTGACCACATTATCCAAAAGTAATGTTGAACTAACGTTGAAATAACATTGATTTAGCGTTGAGATAACATTGAAATAACGTTGATTCCACGTCGAATTAACGTTTTTCTCGGATAGTGTGCCCACTGGGTAACTTCGATATTAAATTTTAATAATTCATTGTGTCTAGGGATATGTTGTTGTTGTTATAGATTCAGCTACTCGGAACAAGTTCCAAGTAGCACGGGCTATGGTGAGCCCGTAACTTACCTGGCACAGGAGCGGGGCACATAGCACGGGCTATGGTGAGCCCGTAGTGGACTTACCTGGCACAGGAGCTGTGCCTGGTCTAAGGATAGGCTGCCAGTGTATATATATATACTTGTAGGCAAATATTTAGGACCAACCCCCCCACAAGGGAGAGGGGGAGGAAAGTATCAGGGGGAAAGCGCCAAGTCATTACGACTATAACACTTGAAAGGGGTCAGGATAAGGATTTAGGATGGGACGAGGGGGGGGGAGGAAAGGTGCCCAACCACTTGTGGACGGTCGGGGATTGAACGCCGACCTGCATGAAGCGAAACCGTCAGTCCCAATGGAAGGGAGAATTACTGACCCCCCTCCACAAGATACAATCCCACACACAACACGCTAAAATTTCAGATGTAACCTATACATCCTTCCTCAATTAGGTGCTGTCAATTACATACAGTACCTTGAGAAAAAATAATAAGGTTACACTTGAAAATTGTACTTATTAATACGCTTACACATATATTGGGTCTTTCCTTCATCTTCATTACTTTTATTATTTATTTATTTATGCAATGATACATGGACAGTGGAAAAATTTGAAGGTAAGAACAGTACAATACATATAAAACCACTATTACGTAGAACTACCACATAACATGAAAATACATAAGAGAATAATATATAAGAAATCCTTATATACTTCCAAGGTAGCATATAATTACCTTGGTAAGTTCCGTTTCCATGGAAGCATATAAGTTAAAGGTGTAACATTTAAAATTAAGTTAACATTTTTGAACTATGAAAAGATTTAGAAAATCAATGGCAATTTTTAAATGATATTTAGAACCTGCACTTTTAGTATCAGTATGAACATAGTAATTATTTTTATAATCGTAGACTGGAGTTAACAAATTACATACAATTGTAATGATATTTAGAAACGACATTAATTAGTAACAGTACACATATATAGTAATTAATGTTCACACTAACAGCAAAAGACATGTAGATATGTAGGATCTATGGTGCCTTCGTGGCACTGTTATGCCAACTGGTTCCGACGTCGTGGCACTGTCATGCCGGCTGGTGCAGACGTCGTGGCACTGCCATGCTGGCTGGTGCAGACGTCGTGGCACTGTCATGCCTGCTGGTGCAGACGTCGTGGCACTGCCATGCCTGCTGGTGCAGACGTCGTGGCACTGCCATGCTGGCTGGTGCAGACGTCGTGGCACTGTCATGCCTGCTGGTGCCGTCGTCGTGGCACTGCCATGCCTGCTGGTGCAGACGTCGTGGCACTGCCATGCTGGCTGGTGCAGACGTCGTGGCACTGCCATGCCTGCTGATGCAGACGTCGTGGCACTGCCATGCCTGCTGGTGCAGACGTCGTGGCTCTGCCATGCCTGCTGATGCAGACGTCGTGGCACTGCCATGCCTGCTGGTGCAGACATCGTGGCTCTGCCATGCCTGCTGATGCAGACGTCGTGGCACTGCCATGCCTGCTGGTGCAGACGTCGTGGCACTGCCATGCCTGCTGGTGCAGACGTCGTGGCACTGCCATGCCGGCTGGTGCAGACGTCGTGGCACTGCCATGCCTGCTGCTGCAGACGTCGTGGCACTGCCATGCCGGCTGGTGCAGACGTCGTGGCACTGCCATGCCTGCTGGTGCAGACGTCGTGGCACTGCCATGCCTGCTGGTGCAGACGTCGTGGCACTGCCATGCCTGCTGATGCAGACGTCGTGGCACTGCCATGCCTGCTGGTGCAGACGTCGTGGCACTGTCATGCCTGCTGGTGCCGTCGTCGTGGCACTGCCATGCCTGCTGGTGCAGACGTCGTGGCACTGTCATGCCTGCTGGTGCAGACGTCGTGGCACTGCCATGCCTGCTGATGCAGACGTCGTGGCACTGCCATGCTGGCTGGTGCACACGGCGTGGCACTGCCATGCCTGCTGGTGCAGACGTCGTGGCACTGCCATGCCGGCTGGTGCAGACGTCGTGGCTCTGCTATGCCTGCTGGTGCAGACGTCGTGGCACTGCCATGCCTGCTGGTGCAGACGTCGTGGCACTGCCATGCCTGCTGGTGCAGACGTTGTGGCACTGTCATGCCTGCTGGTGCAGACGTCGTGGCACTGCCATGCCTGCTGATGCAGACGTCGTGGCACTGCCATGCCTGCTGCTGCAGACGTCGTGGCTCTGCCATGCCTGCTGATGCAGACGTCGTGGCACTGCCATGCCTGCTGATGCAGACGTCGTGGCACTGCCATGCCTGCTGATGCAGACGTCGTGGCACTGCCATGCCTGCTGATGCAGACGTCGTGGCACTGTCATGCCTGCTGCTGCAGACGTCGTGGCACTGTCATGCCGGCTGGTGCAGACGTTGTGGCACTGTCATGCCTGCTGGTGCCGTTGTCGTGGCACTGCCATGCCTGCTGGTGCCGTCGTCGTGGCACTGCCATGCCGGCTGGTGCCTACGTCGTGGCACTGCCATGCCTGCTGGTGCCGTCGTCGTGGCACTGCCATGCCGGCTGGTGTCTACGTCGTGGCACTGCCATGCCGGCTGGTGCAGACGTCGTGGCTCTGCCATGCCGGCTGGTGTCTACGTCGTGGCACTGCCATGCCGGCTGGTGCCGTCGTCGTGGCACTGCCATGCCGGCTGGTGCAGACGTCGTGGCACTGCCATGCCCGCTGGTGCAGACGTCGTGGCACTGCCATGCCTGCTGGTGCAGACGTCGTGGCACTGCCATGCCCGCTGGTGCAGACGTCGTGGCACTGCCATGCCCGCTGGTGCAGACGTCGTGGCACTGCCATGCCGGCTGGTGAAGACGTCGTGGCACTGCCATGCCGGCTGGTGCCTATCCGTCACTACGCTCGAGTTTCTCCATAATGGCGGCCACCTGTGCACCACGGAAGTAATTTATTGTATTTCTATTTTACATACATGTCATACATCCTACAATCTGTACTTATATATGCAAACAAGATCAAATATTTATGGTAAAAAATTGAATCACTTCAAATAAAATTATTGTATACACCAAAATATTGAAGCCATATTTCCCGGTAGTTTCCGGGGAAATTAAAAGTGCAGCTATAAACTGTATTAATATACTTATGCTTTAAGAGAATGATTTTTTCTCGAGAAAAGAAAACATTGTAGACAGAAGTTGTCATTATATATAAATATATATAGGCACATTATATATCAGTGACCGGTTCAAAATTGCCGCCCTCAGCCAGCTAGAGCGTTTGAAAGAACATTCCTATTTATTCACTTATGTATTTCCTTATAATGTATTGACATTAAAGTCGTAATATCACACGCTATATAATTACGTGTATAAATGGTGTGTTGGTAAAGGCTTTAACACTGTGTATAATTTATTATTTGTTGGTTTTGATGAGATTGTGAAGCAAAGTGATTACTGGCTGGCCACTTCGTACAGTAGACAGTTCGACCACCGATTTGAACCATAAGATAATCTATTATCTGAGGTACATTAAGAATGTATGAAATATATTGCAGTGCTGGTAATAACATTTAAAAACGAGAAATAAACAGCGTTTACAAATTTAATTTTATGGAAGAAATAATAAATTTACGAAAGGTTATATAAAAACTAAAAATGTTGTTAATGTACGTAACTTCGTACAAGACACGTTTTTACATACAGATTTGAAACTCAAAAAACAGTCTAATATAAGCAAACGTAATCCAGTAAAATAAAATAATACATAAAATACACTATTTTACAAAACAAAAGTCTCAAGATGTACCCTGGACGAAATGCTATGCAAAATTAGCGGCCTTATATACAAACAAAAAACCACAATGCTATACCAACTACATAAATACGCAACAATAAAATAAAAATACATAATTTTTATGTAATATAAATATTATAACGAAGGCCAGAAGGAAGTTTATAGGTTTGAGATGGGGAAAAGTGTGTGAATCGGAGCGTGCCGGTTGGTCCCAGCCCGAGAGTGAGGCAAGTGGCCGTCGACTGCCCGGTCGTGTATGTGTGTGTGTGTGTGTCTCGTGTGTCCCGGTTAATACCCTCTCTTATAATACATGTGGTTGGCTCACCTGAAGGCCAAATATGGGCGCGTACCTCTCGGAGCCGGTGACGGAGAAGCTGAGTAGCGACGAGGCCGGCACGTGGCTGAGTTATGGCGCCAGTTCCATGCAAGGATGGCGGGTCTCTCAGGAGGTGAGTGGCGGCTTGGCGCGCCTTTGTGTCTCTCTCCTTTCTCTCTCTCACTCCCTCTCTCCCTCCTCTCCCTCGCTCTCACTCTTCCCGCTGAAGCTATCTACTGTTTCTAGAGCCTTATAGGGTGGTGTAATTAGCAAGGGGTTGGGGATTTTGGTATTAATGACGTGTGTGGGGCAGGAATTACGGCCTCGGGGAGCAGGAATGTCACGCACTCAAATCAATTTTTTTTTTCCTCCTCTCATTGAGAAAGATTCTCTTGTAATTGTTATTTGTCGCGAGTGCGGGTTTCCTAACTTTATAATGGGTTGTAAAAGTGAATTTGAAGGACTTTGAAGATGTAGGACGTTGGTAGTTGGAACACGAGGTTATATATATATATATTTTATGTATAATAATTTTTTGAGCATTAACTTCCATGTCGATCTTTCATGTATTTTTGGAAAAATTGTCTAGATTGCCTTGGCAGCGATTTTGTCATTGAATATATTTTTCGCCTATTTTTTTTTATACAGTACTGTATGTGCAAATTTATAATTTGTCTTAAATTGGTGCTTCCCAACTATTTCTCTATTACGCAAAACTGCTTACCAGAAAGTCCTTTTTACCGCGTGTAGATAAGTAGGAAACGAACAATATGATCGATGCCGTGATTTTTTATACGTTTAAAATCTTCAGAATAAACATTTTAGCAACCACAAATTGTATTTTTGGTAGTTAGAATATTCAGCATGGATGTTGCATCACTCGGCTAATGAGAAAAATGTCCTCCATCTTGCTTACTAGTTCCACAAAATTGGGAGCCGTTGGAGACTGTTCACCTCACGGCTTGCGTCTCATGGCTCACACCTTGCGTCTTACACCTCATGTCTCGCCTCGCGTCGTACTCTGGGTGCAGCAGTGCTCTGTGGTCTTTATTAAGGCCAGAGGGGGGGGGGGGAATCCTGCTTCACTTGTGTTGGTGCTTGGAAATATCAGTACTGGTACTGTAATTGCAGCATGGCCTCCCCCTGCTACCACAGGATATTTGTGAATTTTTAATCAGAAAGACTCCAAATGGGTCTTACTTTTCTTCAAATAGTCAGCCACTGGTTTACGAATGCGTGTTCGTAAAGCAAGCGGGAATTCCCAATCCGATAGGGAACAAACCCCAATCAGATTGGTCAATCCCAGTGATCATATACAGCACCACTTTAGCAGTGGTCCTGCTAAAACTGTCTTGCGAACTCATTTCTGAAGTGGAGTTTGAAGTTCACAATTATTCCTTGGTCCATAGGTGATCTAGGAAGTTGTTGGGTGGCAAAAATGTACCAACATATTGCCTTTAACTAGCTCATCTTCATGTGGCTGTGTTGAACTATTATCAAGAAAGAGCACTACTTTGCTGTTCCCTGGTAAACCAATGCACTTTGGTTTGAAAAATGGTTTTTCACTTCGGGTTCAAAATGACTTGAATACCATTCACAAAAAATGACTAGACATCCATGCACTGGGCTGAGCCTTATAAATCACAGGGATAGTATGCTTGACACCCTTAAATGCCCTTGGCCTTTCACTTTTGCCCATAAGTAATTTTAATTTGTGTGCCAGCTGCATTTGTACAAACAAGTAGAGAGAGCCATTCTTTATTTGCCTTGAACCCAGCTGAACACTCACTTTCATCCTGATGAGCGTATGTATAACCACCCAACATGCGCCAATACAAGCTAGTTTTGTCGGCGTTATAAATTTCCTCAGGAGATAATCATCCTGCACGATCTCAAATTTTGACACTCATTCCTCTGCACCTTTTACATCAGCAGATTGGTTTTAACCTCATAATTTCACATGCCTAATACCACGACGAACCTTAAAGCCCCTTAGCAATCCATCACTGTATGCACAGTTATCACGAAGCTTCATTTCTTGGTGAAAATGCTTGGCTTTTTCCTTAATAGCCATCCTGGCACTGGCTTCTTTGATTAGTCACATGTCTGCCTGTACCATTCCCACAGCCTCAACACTTTTAATACGTGCACTAACATTTTTTCTATTGTGCATTGCTACATCACCCTCACCCTCACTTTTAGCATAACTTGCAAAAATCCTATCTTTTTCGTTCAATATATCACTCAGTGGGTTTACTAACTGTACTTGGTGCACACAACACTTCTAGGAATTCCAGTCTCAACTTCCTTTATAAGCTGAATTTTTTGTTTGTAAGTCATCACAACGTGTTTTCTCTTGGCTTTACCACTTGTTGAAGCCCTGAACAACAGATTTCCTGCATTTCCTGATGCCATAGTATCAGGATGCGAAAAATATGCACAGATATAAAATGGTAAGAGGGGAAAAGTCTTTGTACGCCGCAGGCAGCTACAAAAACAATACTGGGTCGGCTATACAGCCGGCTAAACATACATAAAGCCAATATAAAATATCAGCTAAACAAGCTGAGCTAATCGTTTCTTGTTGGCAATTCTTCTTAAAAGATCATTTTTCTTTTAAACAAAAACATCTTGATTTATGTCCTCTGCTTCCAAAGGCAATTCAGGATGTTCTATGTAGAGCAGAGATTTTAAACCTTTTTCAACTCACTGGACAGTGTTAGTGTTTTTTAATGTTGATACATGTAATGTAATTTCAAAAGATTGGTTTTTAAAATTAATGTTCATATTTGTTATTGTAGTTAGTTTTGATCTTCCCTCAAACTCCTGTGGCTCCTTCGTGTCACACTACTGTACCTTGGCACATTAGTTGAAAATGCAGCTCAAGAGCTAATAGGGAGGGGAGGGGAAGGGGGTCAGCACAGAAAACAGGGTTGTTGTGTAATGAATCTGTTTAAGAACACTTAAGGATCTGAAGTGTGATGTTGCTTACCTTGATGAAGTTCTGTGATGTTATTCTTTGCCTCCTCTAGTACATTGTATCACCAGATTGTAACCCGACTATACCCCAGCCTAACACAGCTTGCAAAGCCCACTTTGACCCAAAAATGTTCTCATCAACTCTTGTAACTGATTTCTAAAAGGGAAACCAAACTGTTATACCTTAATAATACTTATACTTACACTGCCACCACTTCCCTGTTGACAAATGCGACTGAATTATTGACCTCCCAGGGAAGACTGTCCAATAATACTCAAATGACATAGGAAAACTTTGGAAATTAATTACTTGGAATAATTTATGGAAACTTCTAATTTATTTACCGAGTCATGGGACATTTTAACTCAGAATGGAATGGAGAAACAGGAAAATTTCCAAAAACAGGATGTAATAGGAATTAAATGACTCAAAATTTGGGAGGAAAATTAGCTAAAACACAAAGTAAATAAAATAAGCTTTATTTAAAAACTGACACATAAATATGTCCTAGCTGTTAATAAATCATATGTTGAGGCAGTTTGAGGTTGAGACAATCAAATAATATTCACATGGAAAATACTGGAGGGTCAGGTCCCAAATCTACACAGTAAAATAACGTACTGGAGTGAACGATATGGAAGAAAATGCAAGATTGAACCAGTGAAGAGCAAAGGTGCCATAGGCACAATCAGAGAGCACTGTATAAACATCAGAGGTCCACGGTTGTTCAACGTTCAAGAGAAAACTGGACGGTTTTCTAAGAGAAGTTCCGGATCAGCCGGGCTGTGGTGGGTTTGTGGCCCTGCGGGCCGCTCCAAGCAACAGCCTGGTGGACCAGACTCTCACAAGTCAAGCCTGGCCTTGAGCCGGGCTTGGGGAGTAGAAGAACTCCCAGAACCCCATCAACCAAGTATCAACCAGTTTGGTTGAAAGATAATCGAGTACAGTAGCTCATTACCTTCTCTGCACTACCAGCCAAGATGTTGATGGCCTTCTGAGGTCTTTGGAGACCTTCCCCAAGTCACCTTCCAGTGCACACTAACATTTCTTTATTAAAGCTCCAAGAAGGCCTTAGGCTACGTGCCTGCAAGGTCATCATTTTGTCAGCCAGTCATTTCAAAGTTCGGCTCTGGCCCTGCTTTCCTGCCAATGAGTGCCTTGGCACTACCCCTAGGGAACTCTGCCCACATGTCTACAGCCATTCAGTGGTCTGTAACCTGGGCACCCTCATCTATCCAAAGACAGCCCAGGTCACAGCACCTGAAAAAGTATGCTTTTACTCCCATAGGGTAGAATGGCTATACACTAGCTGCAAAGGGAACAGACCTTGTTTGTTTACATAAGAGGTAACACGAGCAGGGTACGTTATGTGGCACCAGCTGAGCTATTGCCCCAAACTGTTAGTGCTATGGTACATGAACGGAGAGGGAGGAAGCAGAATGGAAGATGGAAATGGGGGAGGGGGAAGAGGGCAGGGAATGAGAGGGCAAGTGGGGGAACGTTAAGACCTTGACTGTCTCACCACCTAAGGACACTCGACTCCAAGGGGTTTTATGGCCTGGTGGGGGAGATGGGAGGAGAAGCAAGGGGAGAGGGGAAGATGGAACAAAGGGGAAGGGGGGGGGGAGAAGATAGGCCTGTACAGCAGGCTGTTACACCATGAACAAGATCTTTGATGGGCAGTGCTTGGTGGTGAATCACGTGTTGACAGAATTTGTGGGTTGTTACTTTACATAAACTATAAATATAAAGCCTGAATACAGACGTAACATTGAGGGAACCCCCCCCCATCACAGTTAATCCCCACACAGGAATTGTGTTAAACCTTACTTAAAAGTGTACTGTATATAAGTTTCTTCTTCTTTTAACAGTATGGTTATTGACTGTGTAATTTAAGTGCATGCTGAATAAATTGAAATTTTCATGAAAAAATATGTAGGCTATCTAGACAAGTTGATATAAAAAAAATTTAGCCATCTATTCTTAACCCTAAAGCCTATAGATAAATAATTCCATACCTATTGCCACTTGATTATACAAATTATTATACAGTACTATACATGGTTGCTGTAGTTGTAATTTGGAGATAACGTACAAAATGACTAGTTTGATAGGGCATCTGTGTGCCACATCAGTTTTCAGTGTCTCCTAGAGGAAATATTGAGGAAATCTGGGTCAGCACCTCATATGATGACTGGCTTCGTTCCCCCTCAGACATGTCTTTTTAAGGAATTAATATTTTGTTTAAATTGCATTTACAACTGTTCATTTGTAGCTGACCAAATATTTATGTTTATAGCATAATTACCCAAATTTTTATTAGTGTTGTAATTATCGCCAGTTGGGACACGTTACAATTTGCTGCTTTCCTGCAATCTTATGGGGGTAGCTTAATGTCTACGCATAAACTCCAAACCTAAAACACTGGGTTGATAACTATTTAACCTTTGTCTATACAGTATTTAATGTTATACTGTATAGACAAAGCTTTCCATTATTAGGAATGTAGTTACATGGAAATAATTTTTTGGGAGTCTATTGAAATAAATTTCCAAATATTTGCTATAAGTTTAAAGTATCACAATTATTCCCATATTTTCTTCTTACAACTGAATAGTGTTAACAATTTTGCATCAGCATTAATGTACATTATTGATGTGAATAATTGAACTCTTTCATATTTTGACACCACAGTCACATAGCAAAGTACTGTACAGGGTTAATAATGAAATAAAATATTGTAATTTTTGTTATTACCTGCACATCTAAATTGTCCAAGTTTTTCTTGTATAGAAAAATTGTAAAGCCCAAAATTTGGTAACTGGAGTTTTAAATCTTTTTTTGCCCTTTCTCATTCTCCTATTTTTCTTATTCCTTTTCTTTTTCCTTTTCTTTCTCATTACCTTGCTTTTCTCTTTATTTTTTCTCATCCTATTTATTCATTCACTGTTTTATCTTGCTGTATTTTTTCTCTTTATTTTATTTATTTTGTTAAGTGTCACAATATACACTGTACTAATCCTATAAAAGGGCATTAAAAGGAAATACAGTACAGTACTAATATCGGTTAACATTAAAAAAATTCACTTAAAACTATCACTGATTTTGTTAAAACCTGACCTATCTGTTTTTTTTCTATGCTTAAAACTTGTTCAAAGTCACTATGGGAACCTGTTCCAATTAATAATTTGATATATAAATTGTCATCCATACTTCCATGGAAATAAACATTCCATTCACCTGGGCTCTAGAAGATTTGAACCGTGGACCCCACGCGTCACAGGCCAAAGCTCTATCGGCGGAGCTATAGAGTTTCCAGAAGCAGCATCCTGCTGCCAAACTGGAATTTTAAACTTTCCCTGACTACTACTGAATCTCAGAGGAATTAATGATCCATGCCCACATAAATTACATAAATATTACTCACAGATATTACTCGTGGCCCCAGCATGATGAAGTGATTTGATGAAATATGTACCCATAAAAAGTCAGTGTCTGGCCTAGTGGTGAAAGTATTGGACATGCCAATGTGCATAGAGCCCTGGCTGTCTGTGTTTGAATCCTTTAGGGGGACAGAGAGTTTTATTTATGTTGCGTATTAGCTTTGGGATCATTCAATCTTGACGCACAAATGTTACTCACAGCATGGTTTAAATAAAAACCTGCTACCAGTATGTATGTATGTGAGCCTGGCCCCAGGCCTGGCTCAGGGAGTAGAACTCAAAACCCTCTCCAGGTATTGTGTGGTAAAGCACACTGCCCTGTGCTTCACAAGCAATTTGGCGTAGGTTCGTATCCTGGTTGGGGAGGATTGACTAGGTGCCAATCCTCACCTGTATATCTCCATTCATCCAACAGTGACTGGGTTATGTGGTTGTTAAACAAAGATAGGGGGTAAGGCTTGCTATGGGCAGGGAAAGCTCTCGGTCTACCAACAGGAGTTGGCAGTTGTCCATTCCTGTACCCCCCGTGTAGAAAAAATATGTAGATATTTATATACTGTAAAGTATAATTTTTTCTTTCAGGATGCCCACAATTCGATCTTAGATTTTGACAAGGAAGCTCACCTTTTTGCTGTGTATGATGGGCACGGGGGACACGAAGTGGCTGCGTACACGGCACTCAAGTTACCAGATTTTCTAAAGAAGTCAGCAGCTTACCAGAAGGGCAATATTTCGCAAGCTCTTACAGAGGCTTTTCTGGAATTTGACGCGACGCTTGTGAAGGCTGAGGTGGTTACCATCCTCAAGCAGATTGCAGGTGCAAAGGATGAGGATGACGACGAAGGTAGGATTAGTACAGCTATTTTGAGTACAGTACTGTATTATTGTATGGCCAGTTGTTATACTGTATTTAGCTTCACTACACAGTAGTGCAAGAAAAGCTCATGAAAAAAATAGGTATCAGAGTGCTTTTGTTTATTACACAAATGAAAATGGCTTTAAATTAGTGCTCTTATAATCTGGAATTCTGCAATATATTTTTTTTAATAAAATAATAGTTTAATGTCTACTGTGGGTAAGTTGCTTAAGTCATTTGCAGAAACCATTATTTGTGTGTATGTCGGGAGTGGGTGTGTGTAATTACCTAAGTGTAATTACAGGATGAGAGCTACGCTCGTGGTGTTTCATCTTCCCAGCACTGTCATATAACTCTTTGAAACTACTGATGGTTTTGGCCTCCAACCTCACCTAACTTGTTCAAAATATCTACTACTGTTTGCAAAAGTGAATTTTCTTATTTCTTTGACATCTTTGTTTAGTTAGTTTGTCTATGACCTCTTGTTCTTGAAGTTCCACGTCTCAGGAAATCTTTCCTATCAATTTTATCAATTCCTGTTACAGTACCATTTTGTGCGTAGTGATCACATCTCCTCTTTTTCTTCTATCTTCTAGTTTTGGCATATTTAATGCCTCTAACCTTTCCTCATAGCTCTTGTTCTTCAGTTCTGGTAGCCACTTAGTAGCATGTCTTTGCACCTTTTCCAGTTTGTTAATGTGCTTCTTAAGATATAGGCACCATACAATCGCTGCATATTCTAGATTTGACCTAACAAAAGTAATGAACAATTTCATAGGTATTTCGCCACCCATGTATTTAAAAGCAATTCTGAAGTTAGAAAGTGTGGCATAGGCTCCTTGCACAACGTTCTTTATTTGGTCCTCAGGTGATAGTTTATCTAGAACCACCCCTAGATCTCTCTCTCTATCAGAAGTCTCTAAAGATTTTCCACATAATTTATAGGTTGTGTGGGGTCTCTGTTCTCCTATTCCACATTCCATAACATGGCATTTATTTACATTAAATTTTATTTGCCAAATGGTGCTCCATATACTTTTGTCCAGGTCTTCTTGAAGGGCCTCCACTTGTGACATTCCTCCAATCTGATTCATTGCCTCTAATTATGGCCCTCATTTTTCTGTCAGAAAATTTTTCATTCATGTTAGAAGCTTACCTGTCACCCCTCAAATATGTTCCAGTTTCGAGAACAACCTCTTATGTGGAACTCTGTCAAAAGCCTTTTTAGGTCCAGATAGATGCAGTCAACCCAACCATCTCTTTCCTGTAAAATCTCTGTGGCTCGATCATAGAAACTGAGTAAATTCGTTACACAGGATCCCCCAGATCAAAAACCATACTGCCTGTCTGATATTACTGTATATTGTTTTTCTCCAGGTGTTCTACCCATTTAGTTTTAATTTTTCCAATATTTTGACTTACACTTGTCAATGATAAAGGTCTATAATTGAGGGGGTTTCCCTGCTGCCACTTTTGTAGATTGCGCACGCATGTGTAATTACCTAAGTGTAGTTACAGGATGAGAACTACGCTCGTGGTGTCCCATCTACCCAGCACTCTGTCATATAACGCTTTGAAACTACTGACGGTTTTGGCCTCCACCACCACCTCACTTGTTCCAACCATCTACCACTCTGTTTGCAAAAGTGAATTTTCTTGTTTCTTCGGCATCTTTGTTTATTTAGCTTAAATGTGTGTGTGTGTATGTAGGGAGTGGCTGTGGCTGCTTGGGTAGGGAATGGCCATAGGGGAGGGTGTCAGCTTAGGGAGTGGCTGGGGGCAAGATGAGGGTGTCAGCTTGGGAAGTGGCTGGGGGGGCAAGATGAGGGTGTCAGCTTAGGGAGTGGCTGGGGGGCAAGATAAAGGTGTCAGCTCAGGGAGTGGCTGGTGGTCAGTGTGACAAGACTTGGAAGTGTTGCCACTGGGAAAATGAGGGGTGGGTATGGTTGCATGGCATCAGTGACCCACATTGTCTACATGATTGGTACATGACCATTTTCTCCCTAATTGGGAAGGGGAGGGCTTGATGGAAATGAGGGTTGGTGGTGTAATGGAGGGGGTTCTGTCATGCAACAAAATTGCAAATGACTGTACCCAACATTTGCATTTATTTATCTGTCAAGTTAAATATTAAAAAGTCTTATGGTTTTTGCAATCATTTTCATTGTGTCAGGCGATAAACTCCCAGATGGGGAAAGAAGGTAATTGAGCATAGTGTTTGAAGTGTGTATCTTGCTAGACTCGAGCCTGTTTAACCAACCAGGCAGTTTGTCTCTCTCGACAGTTTATGTAGCTAGGTTTTTTTTGGGGGGGAAAAGAAAGAGCAGTAATTGCCACGTACTTGTATAGTACAATAATTTTAGTAAGGTTATGTACAGAATTAGTCCTTCAGTGATCAGGACAGCTGTTAACACCTTCAAGTAAAGTTGACATTCCTGTTTATGTAATTCCATTTTAATTATGGAATGAAGAAATTAAAAACTTAAGCATTTATGTTGAAATTTGGCCAATTCAAATACTTGTGTGATTCTGATTGGGATTGTCCCCATACAGTATTATTCAGATTAACGAACTTAAAGCCAGTCCAGTACACTGTCCGATCATTTTTTGATAACCAGTTTCGGCATCAGTGTGACTGAATTTTTCTGTGAGGGTATACTTAAATGTTTGGTTACCATTAATTCTTTTTCTTCCCCATAAATAAAAATTTACAAATCTTGTTAATTTTACAGAATTGTAAAATATAGATATTCTTAATTATTTCAGACAATTCTGAATCTGAAAGTGAAGAAGTGGACAACCTATATCGTGAGGCAACGATGCCTCTTGATGAGGTCATTGCCAAGTATGCAGAAAACCCACAACTTAACAGATGTAAAAAAGATAAGAAAGAAAAGGTGAGTTTTCATGTAATATGGATGGCAATACTTGACATTTATATAGTGTGGTAATCAGGAGATGGCATTTTAAATGACTTGTTTTGTCATTCTGAAGGCATTTTATGTGCCATGTCAGTTTTGATCATCTCCTAGAGGAAATGTTGAGGAAATCTGGGTCAGCACCTCATATGATGACTGGCTTCGTTCCCCCTCAGACATGTCTTGTTCTTTTTGTGAAGTGATTTCATGAAAAATATTGCATTTTGGTAACTGCAGCCAGCAAATATTGACCAAGTAAGCTTTCTACAATAGATATTAGTAATATAAAAAGCTTGTTGTCTTGTTATGTAACTATTCTAACACGTGAAATTTTCAGAGTCCTGATGTGCGTAAGTCGGTGAATAGTAGGATTGAAGCATGCTTATCCTTCCATTCATTCAACGTGCCTTTTGGTTTCTGCATGTTGAATGAATAGATGATTAGTAGACTAAGACAGTTGATATGAGGGCAAGAGGCAGCCAGGGAGGTAGTGTGTGCACATGGTAATTACCCAAGTGAATGAGGGCTACCTACCTTGACCTTGAGGCTACCTTGAGGTGATTCAGAGGCTCAACGACCCTGTGGCCTGGTCGTCGACCAGGATTCCTTGTTGCTGGACTGGTCAACCAGGCTGTTGGACAAGGCTGCTCACAGCCTGACGTATGAGTCACAACCTGGTTGATCAGGTATCCTTTAGAGGTGCTTATCAAATTCTCTCTTGAACACCGAGGGGTTGGCCAGTTATACCCCTTATGTGTAGTGGAAGCGTGTTGAACAGTCTCGGGCCTCTGGTGTTCAGCAAAAGGGTGTGGAGGAAGTTGTGTGTGTGAACACAACAGTTGTGTGTGTGTGTGTGTGTGTGTGTATGCAGTTGCTTGTTTTTGCTTCTGGAGCCTTGGGTGTTGAGGTTCATGGTTCCTGTGTTCACATGACTGCACTTTTCTGCATTTGGGCTGTTCTGTTCTGGGTATTGCGACTGTTCTGCATTGCTGGTTTCAGAGGCGTTGTCCTAGAGGCTCCCCTTTCTTTAGGAGATCCAAATGCCTGCCCAGAGCCAATAGCAAACACCACAACAGATCCAGACCAGGGGACCTTCCATTGCCCCAGAGGACGGTACTGCTACTCTCATCCGGACGATGCAGAGGACTCGGTAAGACTCCCAACATCACTAACAGTGCAACCGACATCAAATTCTCCCATCTCCACTCACACCAGAAGTGGTATTCGATCATGTCCGTGTGGAACTCTCTAAAACACCAGAAGAATGTGGCTTCATCTCCATCGCCCAGAGGGACCTGTGTAACCTAGCAAAACAGGAAAAGAACGACCCTAGCAGCAGTGAAAATTTCATACATAGCACATCCGACTGTCCAAATTTCAACCAGCAGTAAGGGTTGCAAAGAGACATAAACAAGCTAAGCACGCTAAAATAATGAGGAAAAATAGAGCCATTATCACCCACAAGATAGGTTAAAACCTCCATCCCCCCCCTCTTCAGGGGGTATGGGGACACTCACTATATTGCCTGTTTTTTCCTGAATGCCATGCCCTTCACAGAAGACAGAAGACTTCAGCATCACCAAAGAAGAGCTTCATCTAAGAAAGACGACATCACCACCACTCAAGAGGACAGCAGTCTACGATTCGCTGCCATTGTTAAGAGACCATGCCTCCCTGCCTAGTTGGCCCGGTGATGAGAGCCTCTGTTACTGTGCAGCTGGGTTTAGCCCTGGCTCTATCTCTCCACCTTCGACGTTTCCTTTCACCGACTATCCTTTAGCTATACCGACTTTTCTGCGCACCCAATGGGTATCTTGTCCTACATTTTATTCATTCATTGGGAGGCGGTAGTCAACTTCTCTGTGGCATGTCTAGCATATTGGCATGCAGTGCTTGTTTATGCTTTCTTTATTGCTTGAGGTAGGTTTTCCTTGGTGGACCAGTTTCTTGGAAGTCAACTCTTTTGGTACAGTGTTGTGTAATTTGTTCTGGGTAGTTTCCCTAGGTTTGTGGGGGTAGTGGTCTGCAGCCCCTCCAGTTTCAGGGCCCCTGGATCGGTTTCTTGTCCACGTTTCATTTTGTTAATAGCATTTTGGGTTGGTCTCAAGGCTCCCCGTCTTCTAGTTCTTCTCGGTCCCTGTGCACGACTCAACCCTATGGTGTGTGTTCTTGTAGTCTTGGATAAGATTCTTTTCGCTCCAGGACTGACCTCTTCCATTACCACCCTGGTTCAGGTCCTCCTGGTGCAGCAGGCATTATTTTCACGGTTGATGTCCCTGGACCTCTGATGCATTCTGGCATGCCCTGTTTCATCAGAAGTTTGGGTACTGGTCAGGGTATGTTATGAGATGAAAAGCTTCCCATTTCCTGGTTTACCGTTTGTTCTGCAGTTCTTCCCTGTTTAGTCTGGATATTTATTTATTTATTTATTTTTTAATTATTTATTTATATAGCTGCATCTTTAAGATGTTTATGGCTTACCTACACAAATGGCTGGTTTGGGCCTCCTGCCAATCTGGATGTTTGCAAGCCTGGGTTTGTCACTTTCCCAAGTTTTCTGTGTATGGGTTGTGTGTGTTTTGGTGGAGGTCCCAGTTCGTTCTGCTCTGGGTTTGAATGTGGTCAGGTGTGATCTGGGATTCCACTCTGCTTTTTTTTAACCTCAATATTTAATTTTTAGAGGACTAAAGTTTTAACAGTACATTTTGCAAAATTATAATTTTGTTGACTTGTTCTACTATACAATAACTTACAATTGTTCATAAATTTAATTTTCATTAATTTTATAAATATTTTTTTCAGGGAGTTTCTCCATTTCTGAAGGCAAAGAGCAGTAGTGGTCCAAAAGATTCTGGAGAACCAATAAAACTTGATCTTGAAGATGAGGAGCCAAAGTTAACAGCTGCACAATCTTCAGTCTCAGATGAAAAAGAACACAGTGCAGAGGATACAAAAACAAATTGTGATGGTGACCAAAATGGTACTAAAACCGAGACTGATGTTGAGATGAATGGAGAAGACACACAACATATGGTAAATGGTGAAGGGGGTGAGGCCAATGGTGAAGAAACAAAGAAAACTAAATCAGATACAGAAGACGACAAAGTAGAGGAGTGTACTGTTGAAAATGGTGACGCAATTGTAAATGGTGATGAAGAGCAGGAAGCAGGAAAAGGTAAAGGTGGCAAAGGTCACAAGGGTGGTAAAGGCAAAGCTATTTTGAAAAATTCCGAGGTACAAGCAATGAAAGCAGCAAAGGCAAAAGAAAGAAGAAGGGAAGCCGCAATTAAAGCTGCCGAGATATACCGAAAAATTCAGGAGGGCGCGTCTGAGGAGGACCTAAGTGACGAAGAGGAGGATGATGATAATTTCGAAGATGAGGGCGGGTGAGTTAAATTATCAGCATGAAATTTGCAAGCATGTATTATAATATAGTAGCATGACATAGAAACACTACTGCAGGTGAATATAAAATAAAATTTTCCTTTCTATTGATGGGTCTTCTCCTGGCTACTGTTATTACAGCCGTATGGTGGTCTGATCTAACTATTTCATTCCAGTTTTCAAGAGGTTAATACTATGCTATATCCTGTTTTTATTTCCTATTGCTTGGGGCACTGAATTACTATCCTGTTCTGGGACTTGATCTCTGGCATAAGTATTAATTTCTTTCCTTGCACTCTTGCTTTGGTTTGTTAAATCCTCCCCATTGTTAATTTATATTTTTGCTCTGGGCAGTTATAATTATTTTTGCACATTATTGGTTCAGAGCATCTGGAATTTTTAACAGATATGACAGGCATTCCTATAGAACAGTCAAGACTGCAAATATTCATAATGACAATACTGTTGTTATTATGAATATTAATTTTTCAAATTCTCCCATAAGCACTCGGGATTGTTTACTTTTCCTGGTGCCATCTGCTGTTTGTTTGGTTAGCTTAATGCCAGGATAGTCTATACATATTTCCAGCACCCTTAAAAATTTGAAAGCTTATTGTATGGTTTATGCCTATACAGTGGACCTTTAGTTTACGAATTTAATCCCTTCCCGGCTTGGTGCCTTCTTTGATAATTACAGTATTTACGAATTTAATCCATTCCAAGAGACTGTTCATACACCGAAACGAATTTTCTCGTAAGAAATCATGTAAATTGAATTAATCCATTCCACACACCAAAAAATATTAACTTACATTTTATACATGTACTACAAATATTTTTTACCATACGGATACCTTACCTTTATGGAGGACTCTTGTTGGCGTATGTATGTGAAGACGATGAGGAGGAGGAGAGGTGTTTGTGTTTGGAAGAGGAGTTCCCTTTCATTATACAACATCAGCAGTGATATTTCTGGTGTACATTAATACTCCTACTCTGTTTTGCAGGCATACCACTAAGGACCTGGTTGTGGCTCACTGCTTGCCTGTCTTGCTAAGAATCTGTCTATAGACACTTTGTTTTTCCTTATGTTTTAACACTCGTTTGTAGTGGGACATTCCTGGTTGATACCTGGTTGATGGTTCTGGGAGTTCTTCTACTCCCCGAGCCCAGCCCGAGGCCAAGCTTGACTTGAGAGTTTTGGTCCACTAGGCTGTTGCTTGGAGCGGCCCGCAGGCCACATATCCACCACAGCCCGGTTGGTCCGGTACTCCTTGGACATCACATTCTCACTATGAATGATCTCCGTTTTTTTTCTTTGTCATTCTCTCAACTATTTTTGTAGGTTGAACTTTGCCACTGACTTTCCTGGAACCCATGGTAAGATATATAAGAAAAAGTAGAAAAAACAAAAAATCTTCACAGAATTCAAGCGTGGTCGTCACTAGGTGGGATACACTGGTAAACTGAGGGCACCTCGCCCTGTGCCCAGCAGAACCAAGTGCTCGTCGACCCATACATGTATCAACAAACTCGAATACAGAGTCAAATTTTATGAAGAAATTGACCTCGTATACTGAAAAATTTGTAAAAAGGGGCATTAGTCGACCAAGGTTCTACTGTACTGTATTACAAAAAGGGGATATTGTGGAACTGGTTTAATGTAATTGGGCAGTGATAGGTAAAATGTGAAGAGCCTAGATGAGTCAACCTTATCAAGAAGGGGGATTTTACTGATGGAACATGGCATCACAGTGAGAGTTTGTTAAATCTAGTTGGAATTTGAGGAAAGGTGTTTCTAATTAAAATGCATGATGCACTTTATAAATTTCTATACAAATTTATAAGAATTTATATATATAAATTTATATGTACCTAATAAAATAATTTCATGGTTAAAAGTGAAAGGTTAGTGGTGGGTATTTTGGTAAGCAAGGAGAGTTAAAATAGAAAAGTATGTATTATAATAGTAATGCTTGTGCTAAATGAATATTTTGGTATCTTCCTATCCTCTAAAATGGAAGTGGCTAAAATAGAATTTTCAGTGTCTGTAGTAAATACAGTAAATGGAATTTACTAAATGGCGTTGAGTGGAGGTGAATGAGGACACCCACTGCTCGCCAATCAAGTGCATGTAAAGCTCCAAAGGAGAAGAGATGGGGGGGGGGCTATCAATGAGCCAGGGGGATGCAAGAACCCTGAATAGAAAGTTGTGGAAGGAATTGGCTTCAACAGCCTTCACTGGACAGTATTTCAATTGCTAACCATCGGTCCATCCATACAAGAATCGAGAACATTCTTGCAGCTCTTCGACTTGCTTGCATGTCGAGCATCCACTAAATGTCCCTTTGTCCTACCTCTCTAATTTAAATAGGCTCCCTTTATCCACTTTGTCTATTCCCATCAAGATCTTATATATAGTTATCATATATCCTTTGTTTTCATCTCAGGTTGTGAGGGCGGGTTTTCTCAATCTGTCCTGATAGCTGAGGCCTCTCAGTTCTGATACTAAGCTAGTTTTAAACCTCTGAACCTTGTAAATTTGTTGTTTATACCTAACAAAGTGTAGGTTCCATGCTGATGCTGCATACTCGAGTAATGGTTTTACACAAGCAATGTGTATGTACTTGAAAACCTCCTTATTTAGGTTCTTGAGTAACTTTCTTATGTTTGCCAACTACCCATATGCTGTCAATGTTATCCTGTTCATAGAAGATTTTGGCGATGGCTACTCCCAGGCCTTTTTTTACCAGTGTTTCTTGTAATTGCCTTTCCTTTAAGGTGTAGTTAGATACAGGTCTCCTGTCTCCCTTGCCCATTTTTATTTACATTTATTTTGATTGAATTCCAACAGCCATTTATCTGCTTACTCCTGAAGATTGTCAGGAGTGTGGTACAGCTACTGTTTTTTAGCTACAAGTTTTCTTGTAGCACCCATACTCTTCACTTCTTACTTGCCACATAAACTTTGTTAATGTGGCAAGTATTTTTTATGTTAGCAAGTTGCTAACATATCAATGTTAGCAAAATATGCTAACATTGACACACGCACACACACTGTCCCTCTTTGTGGTCATTTATATGTATTAAAGAGAACAGTGGTCTTAAGACAGAGCCCTGTGGAATGCCACTTTCTGCTCTTTTCCAGCCTGATGTCGTCTCTTGACTGACCCTTGTGTGCGTGCCTTTCCTGATACCCCAGCCTCTCTCCATCTAGTATGGAGAGAGAAGTCTTTAGTGAACTTTCAAGTTTTTTGGTAGTCAAGGAAGATGCAGTTTACCCATTCTTCTTTGTTCTCATACCACTGTTTTCCTCTGTGGCTGTGCAAGAGCTTAGGTTGGCTCTTTGCTTTTGCACAATGCATTCTCAAACTGCTGTCCTGCTGCCCTCTTAATTTTTGTTCTCTTTCCTGGCCATCTTTAGCACTTAAGTATTTGCTGCTGTATCCATGTCTATATTTCCATGCTTCTCTTGTCTTCTCCTCTTCCTCTTGACATGGTTGAACCATGGGGTTTGCTGTTGTTTAGTCCACTTTCCTCTTGAGAGGTATGAACTATTCCATTACTATTGCGGGAACAAAAGTGGAATTCTAAAAGACAAAACTGTACAGTTTTCTGCAAGTAGTGCTGGACCAACCAGGCTGTAATGGATATGTGGGCCTGTGAGCTGCTCCAAGCAACAGCCTGTTTGAGCCATTTGGTTGTTTCAGTGTTTTTGTTTTTTGTGAACTTAGCAGTTGTATTGCTTCGTTCCCTTTCTGGATGTTTTCTGTGAGGGAGATCATAATCCCTGCTCCCTGTCCCTCTGAGGTGGGGGGGGGGGAGGAAGACAGAATTCTGACTTGGTCCCTGGCAGGTCATACAGGATTCCTGTAGCCGATATAAATCAGTAGAGGGAAGCCATCTTGATGAGGGCTTCGAGGAGCTATCGAGGCCCTGCCAGAAAGACATTTCATACATTTCATTCAATACTGGTTTTTATTTTTCGAGTGAGCGCTACTGCTTCTCATGTCAGATACTGTGGGAAACTATTTCTTTGGCATTGATTTTTCTACTTCAGGGTGCTTTGGCTGGTCGTTTCGATTAGTTTGTTTGCTCTTTAGGTGGGAGTGTGCACTTTGCCCTCATGCTCTTTTGACAGGTACTTTATTTGCCTTGTCACCTGTGTGGTGGTCTCTCACTCTTGGCTGTTTTGCCTTTTGCTCTTTGTGCTTGAAAACCCTCAATTTTTCCTCCCACCCCATGCCCTGGCATTCTGCTTGCTTTGCCAATGGGTAAGCCATTTTCAGTCTTTGTACTTGTAATTGTGTTCTTTTTAGCAAAGCAATTGTGAGCAAACACCTGAGAGAGTAAGGCTACCCAGAAAATTGTATCATTGCATTAAATACTTTGTTTTCCCCTCTTGAAGAAAACAATCTTTATCACTAGTCGGAGAAAGTCCGACTTGCAGCCGAGAATGCAGTAGACCACTGAGGATCGTCACATACTCATTAATCAACCTTGGTACTGTACTTTGAATTTCACCCGCACATTTTAAAACTAGGTGCAAACCTTGAGGAAAACCTTAAACTATGTTATTGGCAAGGAATAAAAATGACAGATCCAGTTACTTGTCACTTTGTTATGTATTGTCAGTAACATGCGTAATATTAGTCTCTAACTTATATATTTACCCATATATTGTATCCTCATCTAAATAAATAATTTGACTGTTAGTAACATGTGTAATATGTTAGTCCCTAACCTATATATTTACCCATATATTGTATCCTCATGTAAATAAATAGTTTTACTTCCAGTGAAGAGGAAGAGGGGGAGGAAGATGCTGAAGGTGAGGAAAGTGAGGAGGAAGAGGAGGAGGATGTTGAACCTGAGGAAGATGAGGATCCCTATACAGAATTTGCTATGAATATGAAAGAGGAGGTACTGTATGGGTGTTTCTAATGACTATCATATTAAATTATTGAGCTAAAAATATAGGCACAGGGTTTAACTGCAGCAGTCTCTTTAGGAAGGTTGTGATACATTCAATGCAATCATGTTTGTAAATTTGTCTCGTTCCTAAATTGTCCTAATTCATTTTGGTTTCTTTTTGTGGTATTGAATGCAAGGAATGACGACTATAAATACAGTAGATGTGTGTGTGAACTAGGTAACAGTAATTATTGTTAACTCTCTAAACAAATATTTAACAAAATGTAATGTTTCCACAAACCATTAATTTACAAACATGGAGGCAGTCTCGAGCAAAATTTATACCAGTGCAGGGGAATCCTGCTTGAATGTAAATCCATTGATAGAAAGTGGATACGACTGAATGGATAACTCTGTAGTAAAAAGTGGTCGAGTTTGCTTACATTGAAAATATTGCAAAGTTCTAGTCAAGGGCACTTGTGTGTTTTTGTGGACTGTTTTGATCAGGCCTTCTGGATATTGATCTGGTTAGAACTTGTCAAGATGTATGCATAAAAGCCAGCAATTTGACTACTACTCCTGTAGTATTGTGCAGTCATCTTTGGTTTTTAATATTTGTAGCAGTTTGTTTGATCCTACCTTCTCTTTGTGGTCACTTACATAAATCAAGGTGTCCATCATTATTTTCAGATTCCAGTATTTGCTAGGTTAGCAAATACTGGTCATCTGACATCTGAGCAGGCTACCAAAGCCTTGCAATTATACCTGAAAACACATACAGGTCAAGTTGGTAGGGACTATTTCAGTAAAAGCTAGACACAAGCTATTTCATCATTCATTTTTATTAAATTCTTGAATTTAATTTTACAAAGATTGTACAGAATCCTGAAGTGAACTTTTCTTAGCGTGTGTTCTATATTGTTGCATTCAAATATTTTTTGTTTAGTATATGATGCTGTTCTTTGCATAGGTTACAAGGATTGATAACTGAGGAAATGTCATGTTCAAAACTTAACAAATGCAAATTTTGAAGGACTGACTCCATGTTGTTTTTTTTTTTGTTTTCAAAGTGATTTAAAAGTTATTACATGATTCATAGTTCAATATTAATAATTTATGGTTTCCTCAGCCTGGGTTTGACAGTGGTTGTACAGCTTGTGTGGCACTTATTAAAGAAAATGAACTGTACGTAGCCAATGTTGGTGATTCCCGATGTGTTGTATCAAGAGATGGAAAGGCCATAGAGATGAGTCTTGATCACAAACCTGAAGATGACCCAGAGGCTGCGCGAATTATCAAGGCTGGTGGAAGAGTAACAGCTGATGGGCGTGTTAATGGAGGGCTCAACCTGTCACGAGCAATTGGTTAGTGATATTGTATTACAGTAAAACTTGTCTGGGTTCATCAGGTAACTGGATTGGTTATTTGGGTTTCATCTGCACTCGAATGACTGGCTTGGCATTTTTATGTTTTGAATTGCCTTGACAATGCCGTCTATTCTTCGATTACCGATTTTTAAGTGATTGTAATTTATGGAGATAGGCCTTAAGCAATTGATTTTTGTGAGGGGTGAATGGTAGAGGCAATTATAGTATTCCTGTATGACCCTAAGCCTCTGGCTGGATTGCTGTTTTACATTTTGTACCGTATTACATAAATAAGAGTAACCTCGTTTATCTTCGTCATTATACAAGGAATAAAAATAAACAGCCCCCCCCCCCCTCCCTCAGGTATATTGGTTTGTATATTAAAAGTATATTGTATAAATAGGTTTGTACATTAGAGAGCACCTAGTATGTTCAGAGCTGCTTAACTCAACAAATGAGTTAGTAGAAGTACTTGGAATTGTAGAAAATAAACATGGGTATTAATCTATTATACAAACTATAGATGCTATGGTTGAGGAATCACAGAGCATATAAACAAAATATAGCATAGCTTTAATAAGGTAGCAAACCTAGTACCAGATATTATCTTTGAGACTTCAATTTACCCAGTTTAAGGTGGAGAATAGCAAACGATAACATAACAGGGATTCAGCCCAGAAGTAACCAATCACAGGTCAGAGAACTACTTAGTCTGTGACAAATTTTTGCTCAGCCAGCAGATAAGGGCCACCTAAGAATTAAAATACTTTTGCTCTGATATTCACAAACGAAGAAATATTACAGGACATCTCATCAGTACTACATACTTTGTTCACAAATTTATTGAAGGTTAAACCAACATTAATGCTTGCAATATGTCTAAAGGCAATGGTGCCCAAGTAGCACTACTGTATAAATTTAATTTTAATGATGGGAGGATTGTTGACTGGGCAAAAAAGGAAACGAACTCACAAACATCTAATGGGAAAAAGTCTTAACGTACTAAAACACTCGAGCAATAAACAAATAAGTGTTCAAAATCTGCTTGAAATATATTCCTTTGTGGTTGATCAAAAAGAGAACCAACTTAGATAATTCAGACACCATTGATGGAAAAAAATAATTGCTTTAGCAGACAAAAATATCCAGAAAAAGAACATTTCATTTAATCAGCGAGGTTGAAAAAAATAGAACATTAGCTGAAGCAGTCATACCAGACTGAATGAATGCAATTGGAATGGAAAGCTATACAAGAAAAATTTTTTGCACATTCAAAATCATAATTTAAAAAAACTCCAGTATTGGATTTATACCTACAAGTGAAGGCTTGTACACAGGATGACAAAGAAATTAGTGGAATCTTAAAAAACAATGTTTTGCCCTTTTGTTTTAAGTGTATATATATATATTTTGTTTTGATGTGTTTTGCACCCCAGTAAACATGAAAATTGAAAACCTGGACAGCTTCTCTGTGAATGATATTTAACTGATATTAACACAAGCACAGCAGACATTGAAAAGAAATTGACATGCCCATACACTGAGCCCTGGGCCCTCTCTCATGAAATGAGAAAGTCAACCAGAGCTCTGAGGTGGCTCAAGCTCCAGTTGATTTTTGCATTGATATATATATCACCTTAGTGTGATTTCTGTGTTATCTTTTGAAATTCTATATTTAAAGAGAAATGTAAATTACCAGTAGCTGGAGTAGTCAGTGTACTGCATTATGGAGGAAAAGCTTGTATATATATATATAATATGCAAGAAACCCAAAGCACTTAAATTAATAGGTATAGCTAAACTACACAAGGGTGTTAGCCAAATACTAAATACATTTGCTAAATATTATAGACCAGTTGCATTAATATCATACGTAATTAAAATTCTTGAAAGAGTAACTTGGAAGCAAATCTCCAATTTTATCGAGAACAATGGACTTCACAATTCAGGTCAATATGGATTTAAGGAGGGAAGATCTTGCCTTTCACAATTTCTCAGCCACTATGACAAGATCATGGAAGCATTAGCAGAAAAAATAAATGCTATTTGTGAAGCAGAGTTGAAAGATAAATGGACAGAGCCATTATTTGTTGCCCCTGAGTGATGGGGTGGTTGGGTGAAGTGATCTCTGGCTGGTCCCATGATAAGCTCTTCCCACACTGCTCATGTATTTCAACAGTTTAGTCATGAAAGTGCAAGTAGAAATGTTACAGAAGTGATTTTTGGAAATTCCGAGATTGAATTAAGTGCTTTAGCATCATTGGAATGCTAAAGTGTTAGTTTTACCCAGTGTGTTTAACAACTTCTATACTGTTAAATCTTATGGGTAATTTGGTTTGATTTGTAACTACACTGTTAGATAATGATCCAAATGTCTGGCATTTCTGCATAATGCTAAAATTTCCTCTTCTGGATTAAAAAAAATGCTAAGGAGCACTTGAAGACTGAAGACTTGGTTTCACTTGTAAGAAAATGTTTAGCTAAACTAACGTTTGTAATGATTTTTCATGGATTACTAGAATGGGAAAAGATATACCCCTTTTCATAAATGGAGGGAAGAAAGGGGAGGAGAAAGTCAATCAGAAAGAAATCAGGAGAAAGAGCCAAGCCATTACAACTATATAGCACTGAGAAGGGGTCAGGATAAGGATTTGGGATGGGACAGGGAGGAAGGAATGGTGCCCAACCACTTGTGGACGGTCGGGGATTGAACGCCGACCTGCATTAAGTGAGTCAGTCGCTCTACCATTCAGCCCAAGTGGTTGGGCATAACAAATGGAGTAAATAGAAAAATTAAATAAAAAAATTAGTAGTATCCTTATTGGATGTATTTGATGTTCTGTGTTAGGAATAATTGTGGCATAATATTTAATTAGAGTACAGAACTTACATCCTATATTAGAAATAACAAATTTTTTTTTGTTTTTTTCAATATACAGTATAATTTATTTACTTATTTATGGTATCACTGGAACTGCAATTTTGTTTATAAGAATTAAATACGAAACTGATTTTCCATTTGGTTCCCAACCACTTGGGTTGTCTAGAGCGACGGTCTCGCTTCCTGCAGGTCTGTGTTCAATCCCCGACCATCAAAGTAGTTTGGCACCATTTCTTTCCCCCGTTGCGTTCCAAATCCTTATCCTGACCCCTTCCAAGTGCTATATAGTTGGAATGAATTTGAGCTTTTCCTTGATAATTCCCTCCCTCCCCTTTTGGTATCATTCAAACCAAAGGGAAGTATGATGTGAAACAGGTATTTGTGAGTGTGGTAGTGATAAGGTAATTGGGTGAGGTCAGATAACAGGCAGGCCTACCTTTTACTACCACCAGGAAGCCAGGATACATATGTTTAGTTCAAGCAGATAGGTTATACAATACATATGACATGTAGAATGTATATGCTTGACATGAATGTATGATACATAATTAAAATTGACTTTCCATATATATATATTTATATATTTTTTTTTTTTTACAGGTGATCATGGGTATAAACAAAGCAAAAATTTGACCCCTGAAGAACAGATGATCAGCCCTCTACCTGATGTACGTTCTATGACTTTGGAACCCAAAGATAGTTTTATGATTGTTGCTTGTGATGGAATCTGGAATTCCCTCTCCTCTCAGGAAGCCTGTGATTTTGTTGCGGAGAGACTTTCCGAGGATAAGAAACTATCGGCAATTTGTGAGGAAGTAAGTATACTGTGTTCACATATTGTAGATTAAGTCTTTATGGCAAAGTGTGTGTGTGTGTGGGGGGGGGGGGTGGATGGGTGGGGGTGTGTGCTCTATATTTGCAGTAGAAATGGGTAAAATAATGAGAGGAACTTCCTATAATTTGGTAGTGGCAAGACCAATTGATAGTTAAGTAGATTTTATGAATGCAAAGTGGAGGAGTGAGATGCAGGAAAATTAGTCTTGAGAACAAAAGGTATGCAAAAGGTTAGTTTTAACGAGAAAAGGAAAAACTAGAAACCAAATTTGGAATTTATAAAACTTTTGGAAGTGTAGCAAGGAGACTTATTTCTGAGCAAATGGGAACTTAATAAATAATGGGAGTGATATTCTTTGGAAGAGTTAACAAATTCTCTTAAGTGCCATGAAGGGTTGGCCAGTTATGCTCATGTTTAAAGGGGGTGTGTTAAAAGTATTTTCCAAGTGTAAATTATTATACATCTCCCATGTGTCCTCTAGGAAATACAGCTTTTAAACATTTTAAGCAGTCCCAATAATTTATATTTTTATTGAATAGACTAGAAGTACAACATCCTTGCACGTTTTCCAGATTAGCAATTTCTCCAGCTTCGAATGGGAATATTGTACAACATTCCACCCTAGAGAGCACTAGTGTCGTATCATTGGTATGGCATCTCTTGTTCAAAGGGTTCTTGTTGTCCAACTTGAGTTTTTGTTTCAGTTGCCAGCTACTTTGTGGTGGTCTTTAAAATGTCTTATGACATTACTCCCAAACCTTTTATGTTGCTTTTTCATTCTGTAGTTGGCTTTACTGTTTTATATTGAGGGTTCAGTTTTGATGTAGGTAACAGTACATATGTAAGAAATAATGGCATAATTAAGTTAGGTGTATTTAGAGTTGTGCAATGACTCCCTGGATATTAAGTAAATATTTGATGGGATCATGAGGAAGGTCGTCACGATCATGGTGTGTAACCCTTGTGTATAGATCTAATATGGGGGAAAATTTATGCAGATTTTAAGTGAAAGAGAGCTTTGTATATAATCTTACTGTTTTGCTGTCTGAAAGAAGACAATTTAAGGGGCCCAGAGTATTTTGTCATTTTGAAATATATTTTGAAATATATTTGGAAATATTTGTCATTTCCAAATAAATATACATATATTCATTTAATTACACTGAGCATAAAGTTAACGAGTAAAATTTTCTTGCTGTAAGCTCTCAAACTACATTTTCTTACATAAATTAAATTTGTTTATTGTTGCTTCAAGACAGCAGCCCATTTTAATGTGGTGGCAACAATTTAGAGGATTCAGTGTATTTCTTAAATAAGTAACAGGTCAAATATAGTAGCCTCTTGAATTGAACTGTATAATAATTCAGTGGGGAGTGGTAAAAAAAAAAAAATTTTTTGGCATGGTGGGGTTCACAAATCACATTACCTCATTTGCAATTATAAATTAATAGCAAGTAATAAAATTGCTATAAATAGCAAACTCCCTATGCAACAGTATTATTTACCCCCACCCATCCAAAGGGGTCTGGTGCAAATCAATCCATTAGAACAAGTCTGTTAGTATTAGATTAGCTATTAAAAGTATACCCAAAAATTGGGGGTATATTCTTTGGGATCCTAGTGAGGGCAATATCACTCCCAGGTTGCAATTCTTTTACCGTGTCATGGTACAGTTAACCAAGGTGCAGCTGGGAACATCCCGTGTGTAGGTTCGAACCCTCATCATGGCCCTTGTGGATTTGTTTATTAAAGGTATATTTTATGGTTTTCTAAATCAAATTCCAGTGTGAAGTTTTACTCCATCTGAAATTTAATTGTTATGCAGCCCTTAATGCCATTATAAAAATTTTGATTAGACTTATGAGCTATTTCACTACCTTTCAATAGATCTTCCAGTATGCCCCTCTTATTACCCTATGAATCAGTTTTTTATTATTAGAAATTAAACATTGTTTTCTTCCAACAGCTGTTTGATCACTGCCTTGCTCCGGACACCCATGGGGATGGCACTGGCTGTGACAATATGACCTGTATCATTGTTAAGTTCAAAGATTTGAAAGTGCAATCATTTGGACGCAGTAAGAGAAACTCAGAACAGGCGGGCAATGACAGACCTACACAAGATGAAAAGAAAGTCAAAAGTGATGGTGAATAATGACCATTTTTTCATAGGAGATTTTTATTTTCTATTTTATTTTGAGGGGTGGGAACTGGGGAGGGAGGTGGGGTATTAATTCTAGACCTTTATGTGAGTGACCTTATGGGACACGGACTTGAAGACCAGCAATCTGGTTCTGTGCATCATGCCTCAGCGGTGAGAAGTGAATGTCATTTTGAACTGTCGAGTGTTTCACTGCTTTTGGATGATGTGAAATGTGGCTTAAAGACCTATTCCTAAATTATCAGTTTTTAGGTTATGTCAAGGTGAAACCTTAGGGTGAAGAATGTTTGAAGGTGACCCAAGGTGTTTTGTTAGTGCTGAAACATAATGGATTATGAAGATTATGAACAAGAAAAAAGTAATTTTTAAACAAAGAACTAACTGTTACAACTCAAGTTAACATTCTGGTGAATTTATTTTAAACCATATTTTTATTAGATCTGGATGTTAGATAAAAGATTATTATAGTACCCAATTTTTATGGAGTGTTGACAGGTGCTATGGAAGTTGATATATTGATCTGGTAAATCCCTGCTTACTTCATTCTTCTTGTAATGTATTACTGATATGCAGGATATATAAAGTAAATTGTTTTAATTTTTGGTTAACTGTGAACACCTCCAGTAATTCAAACATCAGTCCATGTACATTTGTGTACATGTGGTGAAACCCAGTTTTCATATGTAAATTAAAGATATCTGTTAAAATTTTTGAATATATGCTCAAAATGATGAGTTTGTTTTGTTATTTTTAGGTTTAAACCCGAGGTAATACGTTTTGGGAACACTTTGCCGAACGTATTTTAAAATTTATATTTTAACTTTCGTTGATAGTTTGGATCACCTCGCGGTTACACATTAGTATTGTGTTATGACGATGTCTTTAGCACAAGTGTTTTTCTCACAGCATCTCTATTCTAAGAATCTAGAGATAAATCAGTGCACCTGCATCCTTGGTAACTGCCACTGGCTTGGCATGATGTGCGTTCCTATGCAGATATTTTCAAGTACAAGTGCGTAAGAATGTAATTTAAGTACTCATTTGAATGTGACACAGGATTTGCCGTGTGCATAATTCTTGTGGATTTACTAGCGTATGAAAATGATAGTTCTGATTTTAATTTATCAGAACTAAACGTGACTATGCAGTTTGTGTACCAAGTGTAAAAGTTCTGTAACTTGTTATTTTATTAAAAACTTGACACTGCCCTGTGAAGTAGAGAGAAAGTGAGTGTATTGCAAGATTTCTTGGAACCACATCTATATCTGTTATATTACAGGAACAAGCTAACGTGCAAGAGTAGGTTTCTTGGTTTTCCGTTTAATTGGAACTTAAATCTTTACTAAATATCATCATGTATGATGGCTGTGGTAAATTTAGTTTTAATAGAGCATTTTATCTTTTATATTTGTAACTGTAAATTGTCCTTGCAGATTGATTTTGTAAACAAGATATCAACTAAACTTGCCATCATGTCATGAAAACACTTGAGTTGTCATCCTAAGGTTCCACATTGAGGGTGTACCAAAAGGATAGATTGCTGCTACGATATGTGCTGCTGTTGGCTATAGTTAGTTTACACACACAAGTACAAATTATCTAAGCATTACACATTGGAAATCTGTTTTTTTGTTGGAATTACAGCTTTCTAAAAGTTATGTGCATAGATCTAGTATCATGCATATTTTTTTCTACCATGGATAAGTAAATGGAAAAATTATTTTAGAATGAAGCTTTTTCCCATATTTGTGATATTAATATTTCATTTCATTATAGGAAGTAACTATCACAAAAGTTCTTGCTTTTCCAGTTGAATAAATGCCTAAACAGAAATATAGGAAGTAGAACTTTGCCTATTTGTAATAAATTCTTTCATTCATATTGCTTCTTTTTTACATTTGCATGTGATGTAAGGATTTTATCGGGCCCTTTATACTTGATACTTTTCCATATGGCTTCATTATTGTGGCTCCCCAACAAAATATTTGTTCAGTCATATTACTCGGTTATGAGTATCTTCATCCTGTGAAAATGATCTAAGGTAGGGGGGGTTGCTGTAAATATATAATCATCATTTAAGCTCTTGCCTCCCCATTTACATTCAAAATACTGAAATGTCTATATAGTCCATTAGTAAACATGATCTTTGTTGATATTGGCAAGATTTTGCTAGATTGGGTCACTCCAGGCAACAGCCTGTTGGACCAAGCTCTCAAAAGACGATCCTGGCCCCGGGCTGGGCTTGGGGAGAACTCTCAACCCCACCCAAGTATGGACCCGATTGTCTCCGTATGGTATGTAAGTAATGGTATGGACCATTACTTTCCAGGATGTAGGCAGCAAACTTGGTTGGAAAACAAAGCCTAAAATTGGGATGTAAAAACAGATTTTATTGAAAAAAATGACTGATAAATGTGATCAGATTGATATAGTTTTGTTGCATTTATGAAGTTATACTTGGTGGACTCGACGTTTCAGCAGTGGCTCCCCCTCAAGTGTGTTGCCTTGTTGTGGTGAGGTGGTTTCCAGATGACTTCATGGGGTTGGTCGGGGTTGCCTCAGGCCCCCTCCTGCCACTATCTGGACAGTATACATGTGAAATGGAACAAACATAAGGCATCTGTTCTGGTCATTATAATCATCATTGAAGGTTGGGTGTCCAAGCTAGTATGAGAGGGAGAGAAAGATCTTTGCACCAGTGTGGGAAAATGATACAGTAGGACTCGCCCGTTAAGAAAGGAGGGGGGGGGGGGGAATTGCATTGTTATGATGCTCAAATGCATGTGATTCTTTTTCTGTGATCTGTTTGGCTCCACTGTGTTGGCCAAAATGTTTTGACATTTGTTGCAATGAACATACATATGCACCTTTTTGACTAGATACCTACATACTTTTAACTCTACCCAGACTGGCACAAGTATCGTTGTGGCCCTTTCTCAGGAGGGAGCCTCCTGCCTATTTTGTTCTGCATTGGAGAAAATCCCTGGTTTGGTCTCCAAAACATGCCAAATGCCAGCATTGGCAGTTCTCTCACCATGTTGTGATGAGATAGAGAGCTCAAAAGACTGCCACAAGGGTATTTAATATATCCTAGAGTTCCAAGGTTATTCTATCCAGATTGACACATTCACTTTACTCCCTTGTAGTGGTCGTTGTCAACCCCTTGAATAAATAAGATTGCTTTTGATGGTAGGACCCTTCCATCTTCTGTAATTCTTACTGGGGTCAAATGACCCCAGTATTCAGGACTACATCCCTTCTCCACAACTCTGCAATAGGTGTTGGAGATTTGTGTGTTTTGAAGTGCTGTAGCAAGATGCCCCTTTCGTGGTGACCCGTAGCTATTCCAAGATGTATTGCTCTTCTCTCCTAGCTCATTGTATCGACTGCAGTGAGATAGAATGTATCAACCTTGCCTTCAACCTCTTGTGCATGCACTATAAATTTGAACAAACCATCATCGACTTTAAACATAATGATCATATATCTGTCCCCAAGGCAGAATGCCAGGTTTGCTGTCTTAGTAATGACCTTTGCATTGCATCATGCTAATTTTCTTTCATCTCTTCCTCCACCCCCCAATCTTCCCTTCCTCAGTTCCATGACTTGCCAAACTTGAAACCCTGACACCACCTCCAGTTTCCACTCTGTCCCAGGATGTTTCTCGAGGATTACAGACCAGCATTTCCACCTTTCCTTCCCAGTCTTCTATCTTATATGTGTGCCACTTATCCAAATCCACTGTGACCTCACTTTTTGACCCCACATTTTGGACCAATGTACGTCCAGGCTGATAGTCCTCTTCCAAGCCGTCATCTCTTATATCCATTCACACCCGATATATAAGGATGTATCTCACACCTGAGACGAAGTACATTGCTAGTGGTATACCTGTCTGTCAAACACGAACCTTGTGCCTCCATTTTTTTAAGGCTACATTCCTTTGCCCCCAACTAACACATGTTACTGCATCTCCTCATCTCGGCAGTCACCGAGATAAACTTGTCATGCTATGACATTTTCAAAAATGTGTGCATATTTAGTACCAAAACAGGAGCTTTACATATAGGAATTGAATATAGAATTCGTATTTATATGCTTGTTTGTAACATAAGTTACTATTCAAGCCTCCGAATGTACTATATCTGAAAAGTTTCTGAATACAAATGTTGTAAAGCCCAGAATGTTATTCCAGATCTTGATAGAAATTTGCTATATTGCACTGAAGTACTAATGTAAAGCAGACAATAGTGAACAAGGATACAAGATCACACTAACTATGTTTATTGCACAAAAATGCAACCTTTCATAGGTTACTAATATTGACAAAATGTCCAGTGTCTGAATGTGGGTCACAAAAATGCAGTTTTTAGGTAATTTGTGAGGCTATGGCAGATACTTATCAAAACCTGGTTAGTGCAACTGCTACAAGGCTCTCCAACTATCAGTGAGGTGGCTTAATGAGTAGCCTATAAGGCAGGAATCAATGTGATCTTTGGTCGTGAAGATGTTTGATGATGTTTTTAGATTCGGCTACTCTGAACAAAATTTCCATGTAGCACAGGCTAACGAAGGGAAGAGGAAAAAACGGGCCAATAAATAAGAAAAAGTGAGGTGAGCAGGTAAGAGACTAATTTCTAAAAGGTAACATGAACGGGATGAAGAAAATAAGAGAAAGAAAAGGGGCTAGGGTTAAGCCAAGTCACATTTAAAGAGGTTAGAGCATTTAAGTGTACTGTATTGTGAAAGGGAAGAGTAGACAGCAACAAAGCCAGGACTAAGGTTCTTGTGTGTCGGAACCAATTCAGCAAGATGGTATCTGAAGATTAGAGGAAAGGAAAGATTATTTTAGATGACCAATCAGTAGGATGATTGTCCCTAACATGAGAAGAGAGCATTGTGTCTGCAGTCTTAGCACTTCATTTGTGTTCCTCAAGTATGCATTTAGTGTGGCCAGTTTCCCCAAAGTATTGGAGAGGACAAGATAATCAAGAAATGGAGTAGACACCAGCAGCAGTGTGAACCAGTTTACTGCTTACCAGTTAAGTGTTAGTTTGTCGAAAGGTGAGCTTTACATCAAGTGGACAAAGGGTATTAGTGAGATTTTTGTTTAGATATGAAGGGAAGGCAGAGCATAGTGGTACTAGTGTTAGAAACGGGTTTGGGATGAAAGAAATTTAGTTTAGCTTGAGAATAGGCACAGTTGAGAAAATATAAGGGATATCCAAGATGAGAAATTTGTAAATAAAGGAAGTTTCAGAATCGAGAAACAGGGTCACTGTTGAGCAGAGGAAGAAATGAGAGCACTTTTCATAACAGGACATGGTAGGAAAAAAGTGACTACATACCACTATGCATGGGTTTGTGGTAGATAGAGAAAAAACCCAGACACAGCTGTGAACGTCCAGAAAAGAAAGGAGGGAATTTGATTCTCGTCCAACTTTTAAATTTCTTTCATCCCAAACCTGTTTCCAACGCTAGTTCTGCCTTCCCGTCATATCTGAGCAAAAATATTACTAATGCTCTTCATCCTCTTGATGTAATGCTCACCTTTCGACAAACTTAACACTCTTCATAGTAAACTGGGGGCAGATTCATGAAGCAGTTATGCAAGTACTTACAAACTTGTACATCTTTCCTCAATCTTTGACAGCTTTGGTTACATTTATTAAACAATTTACAAGCATGAAACTTCCCAATCAACTGTTGTTATTGTTTAAAACAGTCTCCTGGTGCTTTGGAGCTCATTAACTGTTTAATAATGGAAAACAAAGCTGCCAAAGATTGAGAAAAGATGTACAGGTTCGTAACTGCTTCGCGAATCTGGCCCCCTGATTCACACTGCTCCTGCTTGTAATGCTACTGGTGTCTACTCTACGACGCATTTTGTCCTCCCAAATACTTTGGAGAAACTGGCCATATACTTTTCTCCTCTTTCTGTTCCTTAAGTCTGTACCATTCATCCTATTCTTACCTTTCACCTTACTTTTACTTGCTCCTCACCTCACTCTTTTTCTCATTTATTGGCCCGTTCCTTCCTCACACAACTTGATAATGGTCCAGGAAGGACCGAAACGATGTCATTTCTTCAGCTTCTTGGTGTGTGGTTTGGTCATCTTAGTGGCTGCACTGTAGAGATTGTGTGTGCAACAAAGATTACAGTTGTGCAGCTGTCACTGGATGAAGGAAGTCTTCTGCTTGATTGATGTGCTGCTGTGGAATTTATAAATGCTATTTCATTATTTTGGTTAATAGCTAATATACTGACATTCAGATTTTAGTTTTTAATAATGGTCATTAATTTTGTTTTCATTTTTAATTATTTTTGGCATATTAGCATATAAATCACTCCCAAAATGCAATCCATAATGTGATTTTTGATCCTATTATAAAAGAGCTTAGACCTCTAATTCTAAGTTGGATCTTGAAGTTGAGCCATTATTTTAAATCTGTGTATAGTATAAAAGTTACCTTCACATTAAAAATTAATCTTATACAGTGGAGGAGTAGCTGCAGGGCACAAGATAGTGTCAAGGTTGGTATGCCAGCAAAATTAAAGTACTTTAGTAATTTTTTTTAAACTTAAGATTTGAAAATGAAAAACATGAACAATTTAACACAAATGTGCATAAATTCAATGTTTAAGTATTTTTGGCCATAGATAAACATCCTGAGTTGCATCCTCCCTAATCATGTTTACATTTTAAATTTTCTCTGGCACCTTTTGTGGATGGGGCTGAATGATGGCTTCCTGTAGTTGGCCCACTGAGAGCTCCATACCTCACATCAGCTTAAAGAATCCTTAATGGCTTACCAGAGACAACAGCCTAAAATTGGGCACCCTCAGAGGCTTGGGGAGGGATTAAGATCACTCACCAAGAAAATATCCAGAAAGGAAGCGAAGCAAAACAAACAACTTGGTTCACAGAGAAAAAAAAAGTAACAAATTACTGTACTGTACTGTACTCCCAAACCATCCACCCAGCAGTTGGTTGTCACTAATATCTTCCCATGTGGCCCACTACTACTGTGTCTCCCCATTGGTTCCAATTTCTAGATAAGTGTGGGTCTTTTACATTGTGTGTTTCAAGATATAATGATTGCTTCACATTGTATATACAAGCCCCACTTGTATGGAGTTTGGTCAGTTTTTGACCTGAGCTGCATGAGTATAGGGATACCCTTCCTTAGGTGCTTGTTTGGCACTGTTCCATGCCCTGACAGTGACTTCTCTAAGGGGTTTGCCATTGAGGTTGGGGACATTCAGTAATGATTCTGGGTTGCACAGGTTTCATCTGTTTGTGCAAATGGCGTGACTATGCCCTTTGCAGGCACATTTATCTTTGGGTTTACACTGCATCAATTCATTCAGTGAGTGTTTCTAGTGCCTGGTTGTCCTGTCTGGTTCTTACCTACTGACCCTGGAAAGCCATGTGGATCTTTGGTGTGGTTTGCTATGGATCGACTAACCAAGCATGCTGCTTTTTGAGTTCAAGGACTGTTCTCTACCATTGCTACATGATGTTCATTAGTTGTATTCAACACGTTGGGTGATACCTTCCACTCTGAGGCCTGCAATGTTTGTGTTGGGTCTCCAATTTAGTAGTCCCCTAGCTAGAGGCACATCAGGCAGCAGCCATTTTACAGGTCGGGTTTTCTTTGTGGCTTGATCCAGTAGATGTCCTGGGGTTGACCACTATGGTGTTTAGAGATTCAGTGTTGGTGAATTCCACCTGCTCTAAGTTTGCTCCTCCTTCCTTGTTTCTGGCTGGCCTCTTGGTCAGCCAGAATATGTGATGTGATCACATCACATCACTGTGATGACCAAACCACACACGTGATGAATATGTGATGACCAAACCACACATCAGAAAACGGAGAAATGACTACGTATCGGTCTGCTTCTACACATGGATGAGGCTGCTGCCTTTGTTATCTGGGGTATCTATTCATGGAGGATCACAGGGCCTGTGCCCATATTAGAAACTGTTTTGCTAATCTGGGCTGTTGTTGAGCCCAGGTTCTCTGACTGACTCTGGGACAGCTTGGAGGTTTTGGCTTTAGTGCTGAGTGTCGTCACCTCATTACTTATAGTTCTGGCTTTGGCAGTTCTGCCTACATTGTAAATCATGAGAAACATGAGAGTACAGTACAGGGTACTGTAGTACCACTAGTACTACAGGGTACTAGTGGTGTTGCTTACCCACTCTGGTCTGTAGTGTGAGGTCTCACCCGCTTGAGGCATGATTTAAAGTCTTTTGGTATGACCAAAAATTTATTTTTAGTGAAAATGTACACCTGTACTACATATTGTCATCAGGATGCAGATGCAAGTCTTTTGGGTGACAGTATATCATTGTAATGTGTGTTAATAACGACTATCCCATTTTACAGTAAGTTTTAGATTTAAGAGACACTTATTATGGGTAACCAAAAGAATTTCTTACCTTTAATATTAGAGCTCTATTCACTGCTTTGACCTAGGGGGAATTGCATATTGAATGCTCTTCTACCTAGTACACGCTCTATCATTGACAGTGAGGTAATCCACAAACGGTTTGAAAGTATACTGTTGAGTGCTGTCTGTGAGGGAAGACATGGCACACAGTTGTTAACATAGATACCTCCATACTTTGAGATATCCACACTTGCTGCACAGTACACACTCGTTGCACAAGCTTGTTGCTGTGGAAGAATATTAATATTAAATATCCATGGGACTGCAAAATGTTTGTTTTGGCAAAATTTCTCCAACACCTATGAAAAATTAACATCTGTTATGAATACTGATATCAATCGTTCATGCAAACAAAAATCAATAGAAGAAGGTAATTTTCACATTTCATTAACTTTCTAAGAAAACACAGTACCGACTTTGGTAGTGTAGTACACCCAGACTCCCTCTGTCTCTATTCTAGTACTGGTCTCCAGTAGGTGCTTATTTAATAGAGCCTGGTGTGGTACCTGGGTTTGGAGGACTGAGGCTACCCACTATATCAGTCAGAAAGATACAGAGGGAAGCCCTCAGAAGAGGAATAAAAATGGGGGCTAGGAGTACTAAACTATATACAGGAGTCTGCAGGTACTATACCAATACAGCAATCAATGGTAATAGTAACCCAGGGGTCCAGGGCAGGACCCCTGGACCCCTGGGTTAAAATGACTTTACTCTATATAATTGACTAAGTAAGCTCACAATATGTTAAACAGGTACTGATAACAAGCAATGAGGTTTTAACAGCAAATGCTGAAAATGGTACATGCTGCTAGATTTACAGAATCAAGTTAAAAAAGTGTATAGTAATTTGATCGTAAAGCACGGTGACGTACAAAACGGGTCAGAAAATTAAAATACTGCACAATACAGTACTGTATAAACATAAGACTATGGAAAAATATATATTAAAAAGTCTTACCAGAGATTTGGTAAATGGCCGAACCAAAGCATATAATAAACGATAGGCCCACCAGTGTCTGGACAGATATGTTGATACAGCATTACCTGGATGCACAGCATAACAGTTGATGCCTTGTTCACCTGTATTGAGGACATCTGGACTTATTTCTCTTATTTCTAGAATAAATGATTTATTGAAGTTTTGCATGGGGTTAAATAAGGTAATAAAAGCACGTTAAATAACACCCCAATATAGCTAGGAATAAAAATAAATGTTTAACTTTTGAATTTTGAGTGTAGCTTCGTATCATGATGAGCTGAAAAGTATCTCAACCAGAAGTTTTTCAGACATACTTGGATTGTGGGTACCTATTGATGCCTTGATATTTCCAATTACTTGGATTGTGGGTACCTATTGATGCCTTGGTATTTCCAATTACTTGGATTGTGGGTACCTATTGATGCCTTGGTATTTCCAAGTCTGATAGCACTTTTGGTCGAGATACTTTTAAGCCCACCATGGTGCAGTGGGTAACGCATGTGTCTGGGAATGTAAGCTCAGTCCCACTCAATATTCTCTCAGTGCCAATTTAATTAAGATAATTATGTGCTCTCTTAACATAACTGCTTCTCTGCACCTTAACTTGACTCGTGAACCCTTATTTTAACAAAATATATAGTCACATTACTATGGAAGTTTCTATAAATAATGGGAAGTTCAAAGTACGGTGCATTAATACTAAACATAATATGACTTACCAAATCTTTTTTGCATTTCTAGTGCTGTGAGGACATTACATAGTTTTGAGTTACAGTATGCAACAATGGCAGTATATGTTGACTTATGTGATGGTGACAGAAGTTCCTCCGAAAAGTTTTCAGTATTCATTGTAGAAAATCTGTAAAATGCAACTGATGTAAAAAAAAAAAAAAAGTGGGGAATTTTGAAAGATACATGTACCTCTCTACTCCTAACATGTCAGTTCACCAATATGCCTCTTTTTTTTTTTTTTTTTTTTTTTTACAACTTTTCTGACACTTGTAGCAGGAGCTTTTGGTTTCCCATTGTCGTGGACAGGAAGCCTGTTAAGCTTATCAAAGTCCTCATAGGGCCAGGCCAAGTACCGACCTTCCCCAGGATACAACCCACAACAGTTGCCTAACTCCCAGGTACTTACTGTATGAACAACAAGGTGAGCCAAGGCATTAGGTGAAAGGAAATACAAACGGGTTTTCTGCACATTATACTGTTTGAAAACCCTTGGATTTTCAGAATGATACACTAGCAAGGGTTTAATTTTTAAATCGCCACTCGCATTTGAACACAGCACAAGCGTAAACCTATCTTTCATAGGCTTGTGTCCAGGCAAGGATTTTTCCTCCTTGGTAATGTATGTCCTCTTAGGCATTCTTTTCCAAAACAGTCCTGTTTCGTCACAATTAAACACTTGTTGCGGTAGGTATCCCTCAGCCTCTGCAAACTCTTTAAATTCGTCAATAAATCGTCCAGCGGCTGGTTTGTCTGAGCTGGCTGCCTCCCCATGCCTTGTAACACTATGGATACCACTTCTCTTTCTAAATTTTTCAAACCAGCCCCTGCTTGCCTTAAACTCTTTCTTTTCTGCATCACTCGTTGCAGGGGTCTTCTTTAGAAGGTCTTCGTGCAACACCCTGGCTTTCTCAGAAATAATGGCCTCCGAAACACTATCACCCCTCAACTCCTTGTCGTGTATCCAAATTAATAACAACTTTTCCACTTCTTCAAGTATTTGTGGTCTTTGTGTCGTTAATGTTCTTACTCCTTTTGCCACATTAGCACTCATAATCTTATTTTTCTTCTTAAGTATAGTGCATATTGTTGATGTGGCTTTGTTGTACTGCCTACAAAGATCAACAACACGTGTACCGTTCTCATGCTTTCGAATGATCTCTTGTTTCTGCTCTATTGTCATCCTCACATGAGCTTTCTGGCCTTTATCCTTACCACTGGCTTTCTTGGGACTCATGGTGAGATATATAATAACAAATTGTATAGACAAATCACCAAAAATCCAACAAAACACTGAAAATTCACGACAAGAATTGATGTGGGGGTAGTCACTGCGCGCGAGACAATGGTGAACTGAGGGGCAGCGGGGCAGAGGGGCGACGATCGCCGAACGACCACGCGCTAGGTCGGCTGTACGCGTATCAACAAACTCGCGTTCAAACTCGACTCCCGAAGTAACCATCGCCTTCCGAGACAAATTTTTGGAGTAAATACACCTCGCCTTCCGAAAATCTCGCATACAGGGACAATCGCATTCCGAGGTACCACTGTATATAAAGTACAGTATTTATTCCCTCCCAGAAGTACCACACCAGACTTATCGAATAACAAGCACCAACCTGTACCAGAATCTGGGGCCCCTCCCTCTCAACAGAGGAACTGTATACAGGAGTCTGCAGGTACTATACCAACACAGCAATCAATGGTAATAGTAACCCAGGGGTCCAGGGCAGGAACCCCAATCGTTCATGCACTGCTCAAGCAAAACTACTTGAACACCATAGAAGAAGGTAATGGAGATTGAAGGGGAACCCACACACTCATTTCATTAACTTCAATGCTGGATGTCTGGGAGTGTTCCTCTCTGTAACTCTCCAAGCTATTTCACCATGGAAATGAAAACTGGTAGTGGTGAACAACAGGAAGACGTGATTCAGAGCAGCTGCCCCGGGCCCAAGAATCCAAAACTGCAAGCATTGGACAGAACAGGCTTACAAAGAGCAGGACGGCAAAGAAAACCAGGCATGGAGATGAAATCAAGGACACAATCCCAGCAACAAAATGGAGTGACTGCATGACCATCCTAACAAGCAGTGTGTTGGAGGAACACCCGACCTGCATGACAACTCCCCACCGAGTCATCCTCATACACTGCCAGAACAGAGCAGGCAGAAGGAACTGAAACACCTGGATAACACGTGTTAACATAGTTCAAATCAGTGTTGCAAATGTTATCCATGCAGTTGTGCTTTATCTTTCTGCTGTTTTTTTGTAGCACGACTTTGGTAGTGTAGTACACCCAGACTCCCTCTGTCTCTATTCTAGTACTGGTCTCCAGTAGGTGCTTATTTAATAGAGCCTGGTGTGGTACCTGGGTTTGGAGGACTGAGGCTACCCACTATATCAGTCAGAAAGATACAGAGGGAAGCCCTCAGAAGAGGAATAAAAATGGGGGCTAGGAGTACTAAACTATATACAGGAGTCTGCAGGTACTATACCAATACAGCAATCAATGGTAATAGTAACCCAGGGGTCCAGGGCAGGACCCCTGGACCCCTGGGTTAAAATGACTTTACTCTATATAATTGACTAAGTAAGCTCACAATATGTTAAACAGGTACTGATAACAAGCAATGAGGTTTTAACAGCAAATGCTGAAAATGGTACATGCTGCTAGATTTACAGAATTAAGTTAAAAAAGTGTATAGTAATTTGATCGTAAAGCACGGTGACGTACAAAACGGGTCAGAAAATTAAAATACTGCACAATACAGTACTGTATAAACATAAGACTATGGAAAAATATATATTAAAGTCTTACCAGAGATTTGGTAAATGGCCGAACCAAAGCATATAATAAACGATAGGCCCACCAGTGTCTGGACAGATATGTTGATACAGCATTACCTGGATGCACAGCATAACAGTTGATGCCTTGTTCACCTGTATTGAGGACATCTGGACTTATTTCTCTTATTTCTAGAATAAATGATTTATTGAAGTTTTGCATGGGGTTAAATAAGGTAATAAAAGCACATTAAATAACACCCCAATATAGCTAGGAATAAAAATAAATGTTTAACTTTTGAATTTTGAGTGTAGCTTCGTATCATGATGAGCTGAAAAGTATCTCAACCAGAAGTTTTTCAGACATACTTGGATTGTGGGTACCTATTGATGCCTTGATATTTCCAATTACTTGGATTGTGGGTACCTATTGATGCCTTGGTATTTCCAATTACTTGGATTGTGGGTACCTATTGATGCCTTGGTATTTCCAAGTCTGATAGCACTTTTGGTCGAGATACTTTTAAGCCCACCATGGTGCAGTGGGTAACGCATGTGTCTGGGAATGTAAGCTCAGTCCCACTCAATATTCTCTCAGTGCCAATTTAATTAAGATAATTATGTGCTCTCTTAACATAACTGCTTCTCTGCACCTTAACTTGACTCGTGAACCCTTATTTTAACAAAATATATAGTCACATTACTATGGAAGTTTCTATAAATAATGGGAAGTTCAAAGTACGGTGCATTAATACTAAACATAATATGACTTACCAAATCTTTTTTGCATTTCTAGTGCTGTGAGGACATTACATAGTTTTGAGTTACAGTATGCAACAATGGCAGTATATGTTGACTTATGTGATGGTGACAGAAGTTCCTCCGAAAAGTTTTCAGTATTCATTGTAGAAAATCTGTAAAATGCAACTGATGTAAAAAAAAAAAAAAAGTGGGGAATTTTGAAAGATACATGTACCTCTCTACTCCTAACATGTCAGTTCACCAATATGCCTCTTTTTTTTTTTTTTTTTTTTTTTTAAAACTTTTCTGACACTTGTAGCAGGAGCTTTTGGTTTCCCATTGTCGTGGACAGGAAGCCTGTTAAGCTTATCAAAGTCCTCGTAGGGCCAGGCCAAGTACCGACCTTCCCCAGGATACAACCCACAACAGTTGCCTAACTCCCAGGTACTTACTGTATGAACAACAAGGTGAGCCAAGGCATTAGGTGAAAGGAAATGTGCTCAAATGTGTATGTCCTGCTGTAAGAACTGAACCCGGGACTTTCTGGTTGTAAGCCAACCATTTGCACTTCTTGGTATTCATGCGCTACAATGACTGGCACAATTATTATTATTGAAGTGTATTGTAATCTCAATGATATGAAAATAGGACGACAGTACAAATTCTTACTTTAAAACAAAACCAATCCACAAAACATATCTTCCTACATTGGTCTTGCAAAAATTTGTTTACTATCTCATTTCTAAAGCTCGATGTGGCTTTATTTTATTTGTGGCTAATGTATTATTACTGTCCCCAGTTCTGCAATGGATGGATGCTATGCTACATATACATTATCATTCTCCCCAACCCTGCAATGCATGCATATCAATGCTACTTGTATTAATGTTATCAAGCTTGCAACATTTGCCAGCTCTACAGTGACATGCAGCGCAGTGGTTTTTTTTTTTTTTTTTTTTTTTTTTTTTTTTTTTTTTTTTTTTTTTTTTTTTTTTTTTTTTTTTTTTTTTTTTTTTTTTTTTTTTTTTTTTTTTTTTTTGCAGGTGACTCTCAACTGACTGGACCGAGTTTGATTCCCAAGCAGGTTTAGATATTTGAGCTTGTTTCATTACACATAATCCCTCTGTTTGCCTAGCAGTAAAAAGGTACTTGTTAGTTAGGCAAATGTTGTGGGCTGCATCTTGCCCACAAGGTCACTAGTTTAATTAATTAAGGGGACCCTCAATAAGCCTAAGAGGCTTCCCTCTTGTTCCTGACAATTGGAAATCATATGACTTAAAAATCATTATCATGGAGTATTGATAAAATGTGAATATTGGCTTTTATTATCTCACTGTGTCAGGGGACAGGAAGCCAGAGTGCGTTCATACACGTTTTGACTTTTATCAAGGTCCCCCCCCCCCCCACCCAGGGTCGAATTACTTACCCCAGCCCAGGATCCTACAACGAGATGACTAACTCTTTGAGTACCTACTTGCTGCTAGGTGAACAGAGGCATTAGGTGAAAGAAAATGTGTATAACCATTTCTGTCCCGCCAGGGATTCTAACCCGGAATTCTTGATTGTGCGTCGAGAACGAATCCGACTGTACTGCCAGGGGCCCCCTATATACAATATACCAGTACAGTACAATGCTATGATCTTACCACATTGTTATACTATCATCTTTCATTATTACCTTTGTCTATGGTTGAAATTACAGTGGTCTTTGGAAAGACTGAAATTTTAAAGCAAATAGAAAAAGTGACCCATTACTGTTCTCTTTATGCCGAGACCAATCACCTCTCATAAGGACCTTAACTGAGTCATTGAATAGGACTACTCCTGAAAGTCCTGTCCAATTAAAAATGTAAAACCCTCCTTTTATCTAAAGTGTATGGCAGCACCTTACAAACACTTACCAAACTGCATAGTAGCAGAATCACCTCAATATCATACACAATATCTTGCTAATCTGCCTATGCGTGATATATCTCATAGGGGAGGCACACAGATTATCTAGTATACAGTAATAATCTAAATGATAACACAAGAACTTCTAACAATACATCAACCAAAGAAATGGTAATGTGCTATGCTCGCTCTCTGAACACTGATTTCTATACCACCAGAAAAAAAAAAGACATTAGATTGTAAATTAAGCTCTATCTAACATATTAATAGCAGCAGTAGTATATAGCACAGATGTAAAGTGATCATGAATGCATTTGATTGTAAATACATTTCACACCTAAATGTGTGGAATCATACACACACTGGTTCAATGCATATATTAATTGTTGTAAGCACAGCCATGGATAAGTGCTGTATTCAGTGATATGTTTTACTATCCACAACATGCACAGTAATACAGTGGTACCTCAGCTTATGAATTTAATCCGTTCCCAGAGACGGCTCGTGAGCCGAATATTCGTAAACTGAAGCGAATTTCCCCATAATAAATAACTGAAATTGAATTAATCCATTCCAGACTCCCAAAAAAATTAACTTCAACGGAAATTTTATACCTAATTCACCCAAATCTTCAGTACTAAAGTATGTACAAGTTATTATTCACCTTTACTGATAACTCTTGTTGGCATATGGAAGACGGTGAGGAGGGGGAAGGAGGAGAGGTGTTAGTGTTTGGAAGTGGAGTCCCCTTCCATTATAACATCAGGCAGTGATGACTTTTCTGGGGGTACTCTCTCTCTTACATTTTGCAGGCATACCACTAGGACCTACTTGTGGCTCACTGCTTGATTTTCTCACTAAAAAACAATCCATAGAGGATTGTTTTTCCCTTCTTTGTAACACTTGTCTGTAGTGAGGCATCACATTGTTATTAAAAAGGTTACTGCAACGGCCTACTACAGATTACTCTGGGCGAGTCGTTTCAACAAAAGTTTGCATTTCTTCCCACAGCCTACACCACTTCCTAATTGTTGAGGAAGGGATATTCTCTACTGCCTCCTCCCCCGAAGACTTAGGGGACTTAGGGGAGGAGTCTGCCTCAGCTGCCTCTTGTTGCTGCTCCTTCTGAAGGGCTAGGATTTCTTCGGTGGTCAGTTCTTCGCTGTGTTCCTCCAACACACAACACTCACAACACTGTGAATGCCACTTCTTTTTCTAAATTTCTCAAATTGTCCCCTGCTCGCTTTGAGCTCTTTCGTATCAGCAGCACTCGTTTAAGGGATTTTCTTTAAAAGGTCTTCATGCAACTGCCTTGCTTTCTCACAAATGATGGCCTCTGAAACGCTATCACCTGCTAACTCCTTGTCGTGTACCCAAATTAATAACTTTTCAACATCCTCAAGTGTTTGTGTTCTTTGTTTCGTGATTGTTGATATGCATTTTGCCACTTTAGCACTCTTAATGTCATTTTTCTTAGCAAGTACAGTGCATATCATTGACATAGTTCAACAACCCGTGTACTATTTTCACGTTACGAATGATCTCTTGTTTTTCCTCTATGGTCATTCTGACATGTGTTTTCTAGGCTTGAACCTTACCACTGGCTTTCTTGGGACCCATGGCGAGATATATAACAACAAATTTTATGTTCAAATAGCCAAAAAAAAAAAAAAAAAACAATTCTTTACAAAGAACTCAGGCACGATTGTCACTAGGCGGGAGGCACTGGTAAACTGAGGCGCGATCACCGTGCCACCACACACTAGGTCGGCCATATCCGTATCAACAAACTCGTTTCCCGAGGCAAAGTTCGCAACCCGATTCGAATTTTCCAAAGAAATTGGGCTCGTAACCCAAAAAGTTCGTAAATAGCGGCATTCGTAAGCCGAGGTGTCATTGTACTACATATTCAGTACACACTCGAAACATTTTTTTTTTATACAAAAATGAGAATACATGCTATACTGCTAGAATAAGGTAAATGAATAATATCCTAAGAGATATGGTGGGAGCTCCACGTGAGGAACAGTATTGCAAGAATTACAAAGATTCTAACCAACCTGTGAGATTCACTGGATACAAAAATGACTCTAGAAGGAGCAGATCGCACAAGCAAAGGCTGCAATAATAAAGCCAAGTAGAATTGTGACAGATGGTTGACCTGGAATGTAGTTTCATGTCCATCTTCTGTTAAAGAGTGTGGAAGCCCAAAAACTCCAGCATTGAGCAATAATATATCACACCGGCTGAAAAGAAAACAATTACACATTTATTATTGCAGGATATATTGTTAAATTATATGAGGAGTAAGGGGTACATGACTGAAATATATAAATGGATATTAATAAGGTGCTAAATACCTGTACATCAACATAAAAAATTGGATACAAGTTGGATAAGTTTATTTTCAAACACGACCTGTGTAAATACTCTTTTTAGGAACAGTGTTTTAGATTTATAGAACAAATTTCTGGGTAACTAATGATTGATTGATGAAGAGTAAGCCACCCAAAAGGTGGCACGGGCATGAATAGCCCGTAAGTGGTGGCCCTTTTGAGCCATTACCAGTGTCAAGAGCTGATACTGGAGATCTGTGGATGTGCGACTGCACCCTGCGTGACGGGAGATGTCTCCCTGTTCTGGGTAACATAATAAGATGTGGGATCGCTTAATTGTTTCTAGTGAAAACATGCAAGTGAGTTTGGTATAAATATGAGCTGTCTTTCACAGGTCAACAAAGCCTTCTACACTTTCTTCTATTTTTATGTTGTGTGAAATGTGAAGGAAAACTGCACAAAGATGTGCTTATATGTACCTTACTTAAGCATTCAAACAACAAAGCAAAGAAAGAATGAATACTGTACATCTGCAGAGGTAATATGAATGAAAGAATTTGACTGAGAGAGCTTGGATGTGTAAATCATCTATATAAAGAGTGAGCAAGAAAATAACCTCAGCCAATTCTGTGGTACAGTAGTAAGACATTTTGTGGGTCAGATATTTGCACTGAGATAGCTAAAGAAGATGGCATGTAAGAAAGATTACAAGGTGTATATAGCTTTTAAGGACATGGAGAAAGAATTGTCAAGTTAATAATGAGGGCTCTGTAGAGATATAAGTATGTATAAAGTTGGTATAAATCTGTTCTGTTAAATGCAGTGAAAAGTTTTATTTAGAAAGAAATGAATAAGTTAATGGTGTGAGTGAGTGGTTTTATATTACTGTATATGCACACTAAGGTGGGTATAATGACCCTATACGATATCGTACTTACTCAAATCTGATAGAAAATGTGTATGCAAACATTCTGACACTCATAAGTGATGCAAGATCCACCTCAAGTGCATGACATGAGGAGCTGGGTCTCTGCTTCTGTAAGCAAGCGATAGCCGCCTCTGCCTTTGCCAGGTCACGACATGCAAACACCACAGTACATCCATGGTAAGCCAAAGATCGGGCAGTCTCATAACCTGTAAATATGGCAATCACTTAATGCACATTGTCAGTGTACAGTGTACATTTTTAATGTTTTATTAAAAATGAATTGAGATTTTTACATAAGAGTATGATCATGAAACAGTTCCTTTGCCACCTATTAAAAGGGATGTTGGAGGGAAGCCAAGTGAACGAACATTGACCGGTTTCATAGTTTATTAATGCTTCAGGATGTCATAGAGGTTTAATTATGCAAACCCTGACACCTCTCAGATAAGCATGAACAGTTATGAGGTTGTTGAATCCTTCATCGCCAAGTTGAGAACCATGCAGGTGTTGGCAAGTGATTCAACTATCTATGAAAAATAAGAAAAACCAAAACATTTAAATTAAATAACCAGTAACAGCCAATGAATTGAATTGTCGGTCTGACGAAGCACACCTACTTGCTTCCCTCACCCCTGCACCCCATGCATCTCTCACTCCCAGCCCGCCCACCCACCTTCACCTCTCACCCCATTCCCTTGCATTACCTCCCCTTACTTTACTGCTCGACACCACTCGATACTCCCTCATCCAGTCACTAATAATTTACCATACTATCCTTTCCACACTGGTTTCCTGCTTTTTTACCTTCGCTCTTTAAACAGGCTTTTTATGAGGATTGCAGATCTGGGCATCCTTACACCACTATCATCCCTACCGGACCCCCTCGTAGCAGGGTCTATGCTATGTTAGGAACACTTAATGCCTAGGGTCTGAGCTCAATAAATCAGCTATTTGGTTGTAGTAATAGATTCTCAATAATCAGCCTTTTTTATAATAACTTATAAGAAAATCTTTGGAGCAAGAGGGCAGCATCAAACCAGCGTGCTGGGTTACCCCAGATGAGTGCCTTAGCCGAAGGACACTGGTGTGATTCCAACGTGCTGCTCCAAAGATTTTCTCATAAACATATTATATTATTGTGATTTCATTGTGTATAACTTACAACTAACTAAACAACCTTAAACACAAAGCACAATTATCTAGATTATCACCTTCACGAGAGAACAACAATATACCGGTTAGAATCATCGACACAACAGCAGGTGCACAGTACAGTATGCGGCGAGGGCAACAATTGCCCCCAGTGTGCGCAGTAATACTGTCATCAAAGAACTCTTAAACAGAAGCTTCTGAGGATACCAATAACATTCAACAGTATGCGGCGAGGGCAACAATTGCCCCCAGTGTGCGCAGTAATACTGTCATCAAAGAACTCTTAAACAGAAGCTTCTGAGGATACCAATAACATTCAACAGTCTGCTCCATTCTTCATCTCCAACAACTTTCTTAATTTACAACAAGGCCTTACCAAAGTTCAACCAGCAAACCAATTCATCGCTACACCCTCACCCCCCACAAATGCCTGGTATACCAAGAACAGCACCATCACCTCTCACAAGTGCCTGGCTTACCAACAACCACCACCACCACCTCTCGCAAGTGCCTGGCTTACCAACAACCACCACCACCACCACATCTCACAAATACCTGGCACACCAACAATCACCTCATCCAACAGACATTTCCCAACAGCTACACAACTCTTCCACCTAAACATATATATAAATATTAGATTTATCAACAAACTTAATTGAAACAGCCAAGAAAAGCTAAGATGGTGTAATTACCTAAGTGTAGTTACAGGATGAGAGCTACGCTCGTGGTGTCCCGTCTTCCCAGCACTCTTTGTCATATAACGCTTTGAAACTACAGATTGTAGTGCTTAGAAAATTTCTGGTGGATAAGGTGGTTGCTGGTTGTTGTAATAGTCATTTGCAAGCGGCTGCTGTTCTGTTTGACCATTGGTGGAAACTTGTAAGTTATAAATGTTGCTGGATTTGAGGTATGAAGTATTCCAGTACTACTGTTTACTACAATAATCATCACATTATGACTTACCAATTCCACAGTTAGCACCAGTAACAATGGCAACGTGGCCAGTCAGATCACGACCATGTAAGACCTGTATACCAGTAGTACTGCTGTCGAACCTCTGACGCAAGTCAGTAAGAGTCTTTGATTCTTCCACAGCAAAGGCAAGTCTTGGATCTGTGTATGTAGTTTTATGGTTTATGTGATCAACGAAGAATACTTTTCCTTCCTCGGTGATCTGTCGCTCCCATCCAAAGGGCAGTTCTAAGGGGGAAGGAAAAGCATTATTATTTATGAGTTCTATACTGTATGTTTTTGTATAATGCATTGCTCCACCTCTTAACAATTAACTGAATAGTGTGGCACCTCTCTTGCCATATGGCCTGCTGAGCCCGTCCTCACATCAAATCCATTATTATGAGAGACCACATCCCCCTTCCTTCAAACCACCTGGATAGTTATCTAGATATTTGTGATGATCTGAAAGCATATTATGGTTCCAGTAATAGTCTACATGTAAACTGGCAAATGAACCTTTGTTTTAAATAGAACTTATTCTTAAGTAATAATTTTATGGTGTTATAAATCATTAATTTAAAGTATAAAAAGTGTATGCTAAAAAAGTTTTCTTCGAAGAATTTGGTTTCTGTGAACGGGATTCTCGGATACACTGAAATAGTTTTCGATTTCCATATTTCACATTATTGTCAATAATACACTGTATTAATGTATCCAAACTTAATGAAACCTAACCTAACCTAACCATGGATAAAAAGTAGATAACAGCACTAATTATGTATTCGTTCCCAATCCAATTCACTGAGTGGATCTCCTTCCCGAGGACAGGCTGCCTCCCAACACAATGTCCAGAAAACTACCACAAGATTAAACCTGAACTAAAGGCAAGGTTTTGTTATCGAGAAACTTTGTCGTACTAGTTCAGAGCAAAATATTAAATACAATAAAGGCTTGCCCTTATATGTCCTTTATATTACTATCATGGATTATATAGCATAGTACATTAGATGCATCCAAATTTGCAATGTATATTGAGTTTACCTTTTGCAGTGACTATGCATTTGGCTTTCAGCTAACTGGTCCTGGATTTGATTTATGGACAGCACATGATGTTTGGGCACATTTGCTTACATCTAATGCCTCTGTTCACCTAGCTGTAAATAGGATCTTGGGAGTTAGTCAACTGTTGTGTATGCATATTTCTCATGCAACCTCTTCATAGTTTAAAAAATCTTCCATGTATTTTATCATTCTTTCACAATCTTAAACTGTATACAGTTATCATTTTTTCAATAATTTTCCTGGTTTCTAACTTACATAAAGACAAACCATTATTATAGTTGAAGCTTAGCGCAGGAGGAACTTTTTCATAAAGCCCAAAGCTGTCCATAATATAGGCATGTGCTTAATTAGTATTGCCTTCAATAATTATTTACTTAACTGTGATTACAGGGACCTATTTATAGTTACAGTACATGAATAGTGGTTCAAAGCCTACAGGGGCCTGAGTGGATAGTGCTCAGGGATCATAGTCTTAAGGGCCCAGGTTCGATTCCCAGTGGAGGTGGAAACAAATGGGCAAAGTTTTTTTCACCCTGATGCCTGTTCACATATCAGCAAAATTGTACCTGGGAGTTAGACAACTGCTTCCTGGGAAAGTAAATACCTAAGTGTAGTTACAGGATGAGAGCTACACTCGTGGTGTCCCGTCTTCCCGGCACTCTCTGTAATATAAAGCTTTGAAATTACTGACGGTTTTGGCCTCCACTACCTTCTCAACTAACTTGTTCCAACCGTCTACCACTCTATTTGCGAAAGTGAATTTTCTTGTATTACTTCGGCAGCTTTGTTTAGTTAGTTTAAATTTATGACCTCTTGTTCTTAAGTTTCAGGCCTCAGGAATTCTCCCCTATCAATTGTATCAATTCCTGTTACTATCTTATATGTAGTGATCATACCACTTTTTTCTTCTATCTTCAGTTTTGGCATATTTAATGCCCCTAACCTCTCCTTATAGCTCTTGTCCTTCAGTTCTGGGAGCCACTTAGTTACATGTCTTTGCACCTTTTCCAGTTTGTTGATGTGCTTCTTAAGATATGGGCATCAAACAACCGATGCATATTCTAGCTTTGGTCTAACAAAAATCATGAACAATTTCTTTAGTATTTCGCCATCCATATATTTAACAGCAAATTCTCAAGTTAGAAAGTGTAGCATAGGCTCCTCACACTATGTTCTTTATGCGATCCTCAGGTAATAGTTTGCTATCTAGAACCACCCCTAGATCTCTTTCTATATCAGAATTTTTATAGATTTCTCACATAATTTATAGGTTGTGTGGGGTCAATGTTCTCCTATTCCACATTCCCTAACATGGCATTTATTCACATTAAATTCCATTTACCATGTGGTGCTCCACACACTTATTTTGTCCAGGTCTTCTTGAAGGGCCTGGCAATCATCTAAGTTTCTTACCTTCCCTATTATCTAAGCATCATCAGCAAGCATGTTCATATAATTCTGTATTCCATCTGGTAGATCATTCATGTAGACAATGAACATTTCTGGTGCAAGAACTGAACCCTGTGGTACTCTACTTGTGATATTTCTCCAATCCGATACATTGCCTCTGATTACTGCCCTCATTTTTCTGTCAGAAAATTTTTCATCCATGTTAGAAGCCTATCTGTCACTCCTCCAATATGTTCCAGTTTTCAGAACAACCACTTATACGTCAGGCTGCGAGCAGCCGCGTCCAACAGCCTGGTTGATCAGTCTGGCAACCAGGAGGCCTGGTCGACGACCGGGCCGCAGGGACGCTAAGCCCCGGAAGCACCTCAAGGTAACCTCAAGGTATGTGGAACTCTGTCGAAAGCCTTTTTTAGGTCCAGATAGATGTGTGTGTGTGTTAGAGAGAAATATATGTAGTAGATATTAATAGAGGAAAAATAGATTGGGCAGAAAGGTGGGGTCCAATAGCTAATAGCTCAATTCTGCAGGCTCAAATAGTAAATACAAATACTAAATATAAATACCAATGTGTAGCTCTTATTTTAATGGCTGCATTTGATAGCAGCAATGTGAAGTTTGTAGTCTGACTGCGTTCAGTAAAAAAATTAACTTGGTCGGACTGCATGAAACCTTATGCTTTTTTACGATTAACTTAACCCTTGGCCAAGTCTATCATTTAGCACAATGATTAATACCTTTTGACTGTTGGCACAACACTCTTCTGAACCTAGAGAAGGGACTCGGCTGAACATGAGTTTGGCAAGCTATTTGTAAAACAGTATTATCACTAGAGGAATATGGCGAGTAGATTTGCAATACAGTAACCATAGTACGCAAAGGTCATTTAGGATTCAGAAAAGTGATGTCTTCAATAATGATAGTTATGGGTTTGGAACTGTACTATGTTATGTGCTATGATTATGTAGTATGTAGTTATGTACAGTACTATGTAGTTATGTATTAAGGATATGTAAATGTTAAGCAAGCCATTTTAAGACTTAGCCTTCATTAAATATCAACCATCTAGAATCTTACCTCCAGTGACTCTCTTTTTTTTGTTGGTTCTCGGGTGATGCCACTGCGTAGTCTTTGTGGTATGACTGAAAGCAAGCACAAACCATTTAGAAATTGCCTCAGTACCTTCTAAGGAGAATAATGGTAGAATCCTATTATGACTTATTTGCCTTGCACTAAAATATGAACCTAAGGTAAGATAATTATCAGAAGAAAGTGCCAAGCTTGTACAGCATGATTATATATCATTAAGAAGCAATACAGTATGAGGACATGGGGTTAGGATATGACAACGGAGTGCCCAACCACCTGAACCTTAAGGGATCGAATGCCAACCCTGCATGAAGTGAGGGGGCTTTCACTCTACCGATGTGGGAGCCGGTCGGCCGAGCAGACAGCACGCTGGACTTGTGATCCTGTGGTCCTGGGTTCGATCCCAGGCACCGGCAAGAAACAATGGGCAGAGTTTCTTTCACCCTATGCCCCTGTTACCTAGCAGTAAAATAGGTACCTGGGGGTTAGTCAGCTGTCACGGGCTGCTTCCTGGGGGTGGAGGCCTGGTCGAGGACCGGGCTGCGGGGACACTAAAAAGCCCCGAAATCATCTCAAGATAATCTCAAGATAAAGATAATCTGTTCCAGTGGATGGGTAATATGCACCTAAGTGAATACTCAGCTTACTCCAATGCAAGTAAAACACTGGTGTACTTATAAGGGTGTGGCTCATCTTATAATACAGACCTAAGTTAAAATACTGGTGAGTATGCTGGGGGCAGGCAGTATGCAGTCTTGTGTGTGGGATTTGATGTTTTTTATTGGGGAATATTAACCGAGGGAATAGTATTAACAAAGTTTCAGACTAAAGATAAAAATAGCCACAAATTTTGAACTTGTACCTACCCAAGTCCCAGAAAGTAAGAACCAGTTTATATGGTTGTGTGAAATGTGTTTGGGAAGCTATAATGAATAATAATTTTAAAGGAAATATAAAGTTTTATGTGGCTCAAGCTAGGCTCACGCAAGACAAATTTAAAAGTAAATAATGAGTGGAATAGAATAAAGGTTATAAGAACAAGAGTGAAACAAATAAGAGTAAGGAAGATCAGGGTGTGTGAAATGTAAGTTTGTAAGAACGAAGGTGGTGATTATTATTGCAAGTGAGTCATGTGATAACGTAAGTGAAAATGAAAACAAAAATTGGGACAGCTAAAGAGAATGAGCTCATTGTGATACACTATACGATGGTAATATAAGTAATGTACAGGTATTATCCAGGATTTAATATTAGTACAGGTATTACCCAGGACTTAAGTACAGTACTGATATTACTCAGGAGTTAATATAAGTACTGGTATTACCCATGAGTTAATATAAGTACTGGTATTACCCAGAAGTTAATATATGTACTGGTATTACCCAGGAGTTAATATATGTACAGGTATTACCCAGGAGTTAATATAAGTACTGGTATTACCCAGGAGTTAATATAAGTACTGGTATGACCCAGGAGTTAATAAAAGTACTGGTATTACCCAGGAGTTAATAAAAGTACTGGTATTACCCAGGAGTTAATATAAGTACTGGTATTACCCAGGAGTTAATATAAGTACAGGTATTGCCCAAGCATTAATTTAAGTACTGTACATTGATACAAAATCAATGTTTTTTACAAAAACTCACTGAGCATAGAAAACGAGGCCATCAGCTGTGCATCTCTCCTCCCAGCCGGGCGCCATTTCATCTTCACTGTCTGTCTCGGGGATTTCCATTGTGAATTATGGCAAATTAGTAGTCTTGAATCTGTTTCAATAAGAACATACAGTAATTCAGTCTTTACGTAGATGATGATATACTGATCTGATTATTATCTATCTGTTAATGCACAGACATGCACACTTTACATGGTTAGGTTAGGATAGGTTAGGTTAGGATAGGTCAGGTTAGGTTAGGTTATGATAGGATAGGACAGGTAAGGTTAGGTTTCAGAGTAGCAATGCTGTAGAACAACTACCCTTGCAGTTCCTACAAGAAGCTGCAAATTATAATTCATAATAATTCATTGTTGCTGGGGGACAGGTAGCCAGAGTGTATTCATACATGTGTATATATTCGAACCCCAGTTGGAAACAGACCCAACTATAGGATGGGTTAACCCAAGTATCGCGCTTCCAAAAGGGTCGCCCAAGTTGGAAAAGACGAACGCTGAAAGAATATTGTTGAAAACATCTTGATAACTGATTAAACCAAAATTATTTATTAGTCAGAAGAAAGACAGAAACGCGATCTATATGTAAAACCTTTACCAGACAAATATTTTAAGTAAAACCGAAGATATTTGTAGTTGTATAAAAGTGGCAGTTTTCATCGCTCGTCAAACTCGAAAACCGCCGCTTTCATCTCAGAACCATGCCTATTTCACGCAGATTCCTTAATAAACGTAAGAGTTTTATATGTCACAAGAAAGACAGATATATAAGCTTCGTTCTAAATACCTTACCATGGGCATATTTAAATTTAAAGCGAAGATACGTGTACTTTTATAATAGCCGAGCTCCGACTCCGGACAGATCGATCGACGGAGCAACTCTCTCTCAGAACAATGCTTATTTCACGTAAATTTGTAAATAATCGTAAATTTTTTATATGCCTCAAGAAAGATAGGAATATAAGGCTCATTTTAAACACTTTATCATAGACATAATTAAAGTTCTAATGAAGATTCATGTATTTTAATAATCGCCGAGCTCCAACCCCCGAACGCTAACTAGCGCACAAGTACAAGAGCGCCCAAAATACTTTTACACAAAAGACATGTACAGACAGGCGTGTGGCTTCTGACTTCTTTTTTATTGATTAATATTAAATATTAGGCGCTTACCTATAATAGTTATCATTTTATACAAGTATAACTCTCACATAATAAATATAAAAGGAGTTTATCAAAAAACTGACAGAAGTGTTGTGTTTTGTGCGTTGTAACGTGTTTGTGGGCATTCGGGTGTGTTGTGTTTACGCTGGCGGGCGGCGTCCTTACTAACTCCGGATTATGTCTATTACATCACTAAACTTCATTTAATAACTATATGCCTGTTAAATAGTACATTTTAATTGTTAATAGCATTATATTGTCGTTTTATTAATATGGAACACGTACACAAATGCGAAACGTCGAAAGCTGGTGTCCGAAGTGGTAAAAATATTAGTGTGCGATGTTGTCAATGTACGGAGTGTCTTGTATCCGACTGAGCGACAGAGCAACTCTCAGAAGAATGTTTATTTTACATAAATTCGTTAATAAACACAAATGTTTTACACGTCTTAAGAAGGATAGAAATATAAGCTTTATTTTAAATACATTACATTAGACATATTTAAAGCTCAAGTGAAGATATATATGTTTTTATAGTGGCGTTCAGTAGCTTTTCGGTCATGGAGTGCAGACGCCTACGCACTTGCCAATATGTTGTGTAATTAACAAAGATACGCTAATAAAGCCTAAAATATTACATGCTTCCAGAAAGACAGAGCTATAATCGTTATTGTGAGTGCATCAAAGGAAATATATCATGTTGGAGACCAATGATATAGCAATTTTAATTTAAGTTTCGAGTCCCGCCCGGTCGAGAGAGATGGGGAGACTCTCGCCCCATCTATTGGAGTCTCTGTCCACTAAAGACCCAAAGCTACTCAAACCTTCCTAGCCTTACGTAAGCAATGAAGTAATATGGTATATTTACTCACTATAATGTGGATGCAAAAAATGAGAAAACATAATTTTACTCTGAAAAAAATATCATTTCATAACAAAATAAGATGTAAATATGTAATATCAAAGGAAGTCGATGGTCCAAGCAACAATATCGCGGAGCGACTTATCCAAGATATATTGCTCTCTGGAAAGTGTTTGCTGACATATCAACCTTCTGTACACAGTGATCCAGTCGTCGAACTTCTCTGCTCAAATTATCGCAAATTTAATTTATGATGTTAACAAGTAGAATGCGTATTTTTAATCAAATCTAACGATATTAACAAGTAGAATGCGTATTTTTAATCAAATCTAACATAACTAGCCAGAAAACGTTAAAGATTATTTAAAAATACATGGTTGGAAGTTAAATCAACTCCATAGAACAATATTTTTGTTATAGATACTAATCGTTATTTGTTGGTATGCGTTCGCTACTTAAACTATCATGTACTGTATTTATGTAAAATCTCCCTGTTTCTTCGGACATGGAACACGGAACCTTACACGCTCTCTGATTTACTGTTTAATAGAGATTCACAAATAAGCTTATGATTGTATACGTTATCAAAAAGGCAGTGACAAAGTCAATTTTGCATTTTAATCACAGAGATTAGATCTTAGTGAGATAGGAAAGATATTCAGATTTTAAAGAAGGATTTTTGAACCATCGCTCTCCCTATCGATAGAAACTAACTTTTTTTTTTGTTATTATTAACAAGCTTAGGTATACACAGTAATGTGCTGCTACCCTATTTTATATGATAGATTACACAGTGTATATCAAAAACTAGCTATAAGTTCATTAAATATTCCCATCTCACAGGATGGTTAGTTATACATGGAATCAGGGGATAAAATACCAGCCTCAATAAAAAAAAAATCAACTGTGACTAACAAGAACACCACTTACGGGCTATTCATGCCCGTGCTACCTTTTGGGTGGCTTAATCCTCATCAATCAATCACAAGAAACAAGGGATACATCTCCGTCACGCAGGGTCCAGTCGCACCTCCACAGATCTCCAGTGTCATCTATTGATACTGTTAATGGTTCAAGAGGACTTACGGGCCTACCTCAAGGTAACAATCAGGTGAGAACATAAAATATAAGGCTGATCTATTAGCCTCCGTTAGCAAAATCCGGGTACAGCATAAGAATATCTTCCAATATTCCTAAGTGTATGAAGTAATTACAGAGTTCAAAGTACCTTATACCATTTGGTCTGAAGTCACTTATAACAGGGCAATCACAGATATAGTGTTGGTGAGTATGTCCCAGCTCTTGTTCACATAGTTTACAATTGGAATATTCACCTTTGGGGGCTATTCATTACCTGTAGCCACCTGCGATACATATCGATATCCTAGCCTAATTCTGGCAATTACAATGTCACACTGTCATTGTGACACTAGTGGAAGTTTTATGCTGTCCGTTCATATAATTCTCGATTCTAAACATGTTTACTTAGTTTAGTTCATTAATTATGCACCCCATATATCTTGTGGGCAGTAGTAGAAAAGGTTACAGAGGCACATAAACATGTCATAGCTCTTTATACTCTTGCTTTCTGGCTTTTGTGTGTCAGTGACTGTTCTTCTGTCTTCCCTAATTTCCTAAAATATTGCGGCTTTGACAGAAGAGATTGGAATGCCCATATCCCACTCAACTTCAGGCTTATCACATTCAGTTTTAGCTGCCTTGTTTGTGTCATCATGCTGGACAACACCTATATGAGAAGGTATCCATACAAATGAGACTTTGAAACTCCTACTGTTTGCAATAATAATGTTGTTTATAATGGAAGCTACAACTACAACCTTTTGAAGATCAATGCTAATTTTATCTAGATAATGTAATAAACGAAAGTTTTCTATGTCAACAGAAAGGCAGAAATATAAGCTACACTTTAAATACTTGTCATAAATATAACTGAAGTGAAAGCGAAGATATATGCATTTGATACTGTACAGTTTCTTGATGGCTTGCTCTAAGAGTGTGAAGCCCTTCACACCAGCCTATAAATTGTGTAATTTATTTCCATATACAGTATGCTAATTAACCTTAAAATCTATATGTCAGAAGGAAGGAAGATGTAGACGTTAATGTGACAACATTTCAAGAAATATCTCTCTCTTTAAAGTTAAATAATACAATCCTATCGCCGGTGTCCGGACACATGAAAGCTACTTAGGTATCAGTGGCCAGCTAGGTGGAGATCACAGGCTGTACAATACTGATAAATTATGTAATTCACAGAGATCTGCCCGAAACGCTTTGGCTGCTCGAAACGCTTTGCGTAATAGTGGCTTTAGGCATTGTATGTACTAGCTCTATCTATAAAGCCAACAAACTTTGCAAAATCTCTTTATGTATGTACCTTTACCTAAATAAAAATTATTATTATTATTATATATTATTAGATACGTTGATAAATATTAATGTTTTATATTTTATTAAAAATACAGATATATACTTTGTTTCATACATTAAATGTAACAATATTTCAGTATATATTATATAAGCATAGTATATATAATTCAGTATATACAATATATAATAAGAGTGTCAGACCACGGAGGAAGAATTGAAACAGGAATTTCCTTTAGTACTTTCTTATATTAATACATCAATCAATACATCAGCAATCAGCAATCAATACATCTTCAGAGTGAACCATTCCTTCTGAAGATGTATTAATATACGAAAGTACTTAGAGCATTCTATTGTGGTTTTAATTTTGAACAATTATACATATACGAAACAGACAAATCAGGTGTCCGAAATAGTAAAAATATTAGTGTGCGATGTGATCAATGTAAGGGGGATATTGGGTGTGCCTCGTATCCCCTACAACAACAAGAAGTTCGAGAGCGATGAGGCCGCCACCTACTAGCTTCAGGATGTCGTCGAATCTAAATCAACAATATACTACCGCCGCTACTTTCTCGGAAACTTAAGTACCTGCCGCTTTACTTCTCTCACCCTGCCTAGCTTGGCCTGGCCTGACCTGGCCTAGCCAGACCTGACCAGACCTGACCTGGCCTAGCCTTACGTAGCCTAGTCTGACCTGGCCTAGTCTGACCTGACCTGGCCTAGCCTTACCCAACACTAATCACCACACGTGACAGCCCAAACGAATCGCAAATAAGTACACGTAACAAGTCATATGCCCGGACACTCTTTCACCTTGGGGACTGAGTGGTAACTATTGTATAGAAGAGCCGGCTCCCTGAGAGTGGTAAGAGGGCGTGATAAGAGGCTAACGTGTGGTCTTGAAGGAAGTCGATAAAGCAGACAATTTTCAAAAGGAAGGGCAGCATAACGAGCAGACAGGAATGGACAGACAGTCGGTTATCCCGTAATGTGTAATACGCCCCGCACAGCATGGGTGGAGTGGGGGGGGGGGGGGTTGTAGCAGGGCACAGTATGGTGATGGTGCGGGTGAAGTACACACCCACTGAATTCCTGCCATCAATAATTGTTTGCATAACCATTAGAACAATGGCATCCCTCCAGCCACCATCCTTCCACTGACCCCCTCCTCTGGTCCTCCACCTCAGACAATAACCCCCCACACCCCCTCTCCCTTCCAGACATCAGCATGTCAAAATCATAACCATAATGTGTTTAAACTATTTAAACTAAGTCATTGTGTATCTCAAGGTATCTTAATTCATTTGAAAGTGTACATGTGCATTCGTTCATATACTCGCCTAATTGTGCTTGCTGGGGTTGAGCTCTGGCTCTTTAGTTCCACCTCTCAACCATCAATCAACAGGTGTACAGGTTTCTGAGCCTATTGGGCT